TCTTCCTCTGCCGCCTCTGCCTCGACTCCCTCCACTCCCACTCCCACTCCCACTCCCTCTAAACCCTGACCCATCTGGCTTCAGCTTCACTGATTGGACTCGCCTTCTCTTTTCACGATGTGTTTCCTTGTCGTCGCCATCATCTTCCCTATACTTTGCTGAGCTTCTAGAAAGGAAGGAAATCTGTCGAGATCCTCCCGGTCCCAACCTAACATCATTCAAGGCACCTGAAGCTTGCCGTTCGTCAGCCAGAGATGCAACCCTTTCCCCTAATGACAGAGAATCCTCCTTTGCAAGCGATACACGGTTCCAGAATGCTTCTGCATGCCGTTCATCTTTAACTTCATACAATCCGCAGGTTTAATTCCTGTCATTAGGCTCATAGGATAAACAGTATTAAAGAACATCATGTTTACCCTATTTTAATTACAATTCAATTCAATTCAATTCCTTTTCCTATTCTATTTCCAAATTCTAGTAGTTTTGGTTCCAAACATTCGTGGAATAATCTATTTAAAGTAAAAAAAAAATTAAGGGGAAAAGAACGAACCAAACCAATCGATCCTATGTTAAAGTTGTCAGTCAGTCAGTTGTATTAGGTTTTGATTTCGTTGCCTAGGGTCATAAGGCAAGCGGTAGCAGAAGGTGAGATCGAAAGGGTGCGTCCGATTGAGAGATTAGAGAAGAATAATGGTTCCTCACTTTAAAAGGTGCCACCATAATAATGCGCAGAGACTATCGTCGGCCCAAATCTCTGTCGCCGTCGCTGCTGCTGCTGCTGAAATAATCAGCAGCAACGCCGACCTGTTGGTGGAGATCCTTCGGCGTCTGCCAGCTAAATCCCTCCTTCGATTCAGGTCAGTCTCTAAACCATGGCTCTTTCTCATCTCCAGTCGTCACTTTTCTCTCATCCATTGGCTACAGCAGCAGCAGCCTCCACAATTCCACGATCCCAAAATATCCGGCCTTTTCTTCACCTCTAGATACCCATCTGAACCATCAAATACATTCCTGTCATTCACTCTGACTTGAAGAAGAAGAATAATGGATGTAATAGTTCTACTACTACTATTAATGGCGGAGATGAAAACAAGTCACTCGTTCTCTTTCCTGACACGAATACTACTACGACTACTACAAGCATAGAAGGCTCTTGTAATGGTCTTCTACTCATCTGCTGTGAAACTAAGCAATCTAATTTTAATTATATTATCCCTAGGTCTTACCATGTTTACAATCCTACTACCAAGCAATTCTCCACTATTCCCTGGCCTTATACCCTTACCCGCACTTGCTGTTATCCTCCTGACTATTTATATTTGGTTTTTAATCCTCTGAAATCCCTTCACTACAAAGTTGTTTTACTTCAAAATTCACTAAGCACTTGCTTCTTGTGTCAAGTACATATTTATTCCTCGGAAACCCATGCCTGGCGGGAGTCTCAACCCAATGGTGATCATCATCCTTTTAAAGCATCAGTAAGTGTGAAATTCGAAACTGGAGTCTATTGCAATGGTTCCATCCATTGGATTTCCTACAGCCCACTACCAGATGAACCTTCCTTATACTTTGATGTTGATCAAGAAACATTCTGCCCAATGCCATCTCCATCATGTGATTGTAGTTTTGCTTTTAATTTCTATCGTTTTGGGGAGTCCAGAGGTCGATTGCATCTTATTGAATATTGTGGTGGTACTGGATTTAATGTCGACATTTTTGAGATGGGAAGTGATTACTCCAGGTGGTCATTGAAGTATCGGTTTAGCCTTGACTCGATGATTGTTGATCTTGCATCAAAACAGGAGATGGTTGCCTGCCGTAATACGGTCATTGTGCTTGGTTTAATTCATGGAGAAGATGATGGGGATGTGTTTTTGGTGCTATTTGTAGACACAACTATGATCATCTCCTACAACATTAAGGATAACACCTTTAAGAAGCTTGATGATGTAGCAAGCCTTCCTTCTTCTTCTTCTTCTTCTTCCTCTTCTCGTGACCATTGGGGTATCCATCAATACATTGAGAACATCTTTCCTGTTTGAGTATCACTTGGGTTGGGTGGTCACTATTTCAGTGTTTTATGTCCATCAATTGATTAATTTGTCGAGTTTGTTGTTCTACCGATGTGCTTAGAAAATCTTGTCGCTATACTCTAAGTCTGATTTTCAGTATGTTGCTTCCTAGTCACAACACCAAGTAATTATGCCCCAAATACTGCATTGTGTATTGATAGAGTGCAAATTTATAAGATACATAAATCGAATTTGAAAGACGAATTCAAATGTATAAGATATATAAACTTGTGATTAATATCAACACCGTAACTCGTAAATGCAACATTTGCCGCCAAGTAAAGCTCTTCCAATTTCATGCCTAAGTTGCACTATTTGTCATTGTTTATTTGTGTAATCAGTATCCCCTCTTCAAATGATAATTTTGTTATATATTTGTCATTGTTTATTTGTGTAATCAGTATCCCCTCTTCAAATGATAATTTTGTTATATATTTCACTCCTCTTCACCAGCAGTTCTAGAAGTGCCAGAATTTATGTTATTTTATAGATGTTATTTTATAGTTTCAAAAGTGATTTATAAAATTGACGTACTTAATTTGAGAGGTTGATTATCATTATATATAAGGAGAAAATTACAAATATGGAAAGAGAATAAAAATTAAATCGAAAATAAAAATTAAATCCCTAAACATAAGCCTAATGAAGACTCAATAAATCAGCCACAATTAGAGTCAATCTATAGATATAATTTCCAACACTCACCCTCAAGGTAGAGCAAAAACAAAAAAAAAATTAAAAAAAAATATAAAAAAGTCATTTTGTAATTTCCATGTATTTTATAAACTTAAATTTTAAATTAAATAATGATTATGATCAGTTCAATCAAATTGTGAATCTCAAACTTTGGGAAAATCGAGGTTTTGTATAAATGCATCCGTAATTTGATACAAGTTATTTTCAAGTTTTTGTTGCCCGAGTATTAATTTCTTGGTAACCATTTACACAATTCAATCAAGACTCCTTTGTTCCGTATATAAATGCCACGACTTTGGCTTCCGTAATAATAAAGCCAAGTTTACGAAGTTTAGCACCATAATCATTGAAATCTTGCTTATTAAATCAAGCTAATCAGATCGAATGTTTTTTATACTGAAGAGATGACAGTATGTGTAATGTTTTTGACTTTATATATATATATATATATATATATATGTTAAAGTTAAATAAAATTTTATTTACCCGTGGGGCCCACATGATTTCTAAGCCAATATAATGACTTATCTCTTCCTCGCTGCGTATCACACTCTTTCTCGTCCCGTAGTTCTCTTTTTTTTCTTTTTCTTTTTTTTCAAAGCTTCAAGGCTTAATTTCTTTCTCATCTCTTATCGAATTAAGGTGCCGTTTAAGACAAAACGAAGCCCACGACGAGCTCTACGCATCCATACGAACAATTCCAGATTTGGTGCCCTTCTTGGAGTTCGAAATTTAAGACCCATTTTAAGGGTTTTGTGCAAATTTGAGGTAGGGACACCTTAATCCACTACCTTCTTGTTCCATTGTAAGTTATAATCATTTGTTGTGCCAAACATGCTTAATTAAAAGTTAATTGTATATTATTTTAAATGTTGTCTAGAGAAATTCATGTATTTGAATGTGAGTTGTTTTATGTGTAAAGCATGCTTAAATGTATTTTGTTATATCTTAATGTGTTAATAATTACTTGGGAGATGTTGAACATGTTAAATGTTTAATTTTATGGTGTAGAATTTTAAATGCTATGACATTGAATGTATGGAACATATATACATGCACATACTATTGGGTTTGCATGAAATATGAGAAATTGTTCTTGAAATAAATATGGGTGGGGAATTTCAGGGAAGTGTTTTTGATGAAATGGTTTTATGCGAAACCCGGTCGCTGCGGGGTTACCAACGGGCCGGAGGTTAATATAGCCTAGAGGGGACTAGGGAGTCGCCCTAGCGTGGTTGAGCTAGCCGGGCCCCATAATGACGCCGCGGGGTTACCAAAGGTCAGGAACACTAACCAATCCTCCTCTCGTGTCGCGGAGGGGCTACCAAAGGGCGAGCTGTATTAACAGTTTGGAAACGATGTTTTGGATTATGAAAATGGGGAGTGACACTAGCATGCATTGCATCTCATACCATTGCGTTGGATATACTTGAAATTGAATTGTTATGCTGTATTATTTCCCGACATTGTATGATCCCCATTTCCCATTGGCCTATGTTTTGTTTGAATTCACAAGGACACAAGATGTGTGTCTTAAGTGTCACCTACTGAGCTTTATGCTCACCCTACTATTTATATTATTGGACGACAATCCACCTCAAGCTTGAAAGTTATTAGAAGATTGTTTGCTATTTTGTATTTTGACCGTTCTATGTATATTTGTAATTGTGGAAATGTAACTAAGTTAGTATTCATGGCCTTGTAACTTAAGAACGAACTTATCTTTTGTTTGATGTAAATGAAACTAATGAAATTATGGTATATATTTCCATGCAATTGTATCATGTAACGTTGTAAGATAAGGACTTTAAATCTTAACCATGTATTTTGGGACTGTAATTATGATAATTTAGATTAATTGGTGTGTGCATATTCCACCATGAGAGGAACTATGTTGAGGTATAATGAACGGATGAATGGGATGCTGAATGATTTTATGTACTTTGTGTATTGAAATAGACTGTTGAAGGCCCATTTTTAGAAGAGGTTATGCCGAATTTTTTTTAAATTTTTGCATCAGCTAGGTATGCGATTTCTTTTGAGATTATTCAAAAACATTTTATGAAAAATTCAGACTATGCCCTTTTTCCAACGCACTTCATGTCACCGACCCTAGATAATATTCCAAATACACCCCGAAATATCTTAACTCAAGGTATGTTGTTCACACAAATATATTAAAATTCACAAACAAAAGTTTTTTTTTCCCCTAATTGGACCTCAAGTATCACATAAAAGTAAAAAGATATTTTAAATTAAATTAAATTGAACAACAAGAATCCTGACTGAAGAAAATGAATACTAAATTTCACAGAAATTTGACGTGCATATTTAACTTACTTATCCCCAAACCCAAACTAAAAAAGAGGAAGAACCCTCTCCTACCTGGGCATATCCTCTGGTAAATCTCGACTAAAGTGCCCACTTCTTAGATATCCCCATTTGAATATCCAATATATGGCTGACCTAAGATCCCAAGCAAAGATGACCTGAATGTTGTTTATATGGGAAAAATTCATCGCCGACCTCTTCCTCTGCCGCCACTGCCCCGACTCCCTCCTCTCCCTCTCCCTCTCCCACTCCCACTCCCACGCCCACGCCCACGCCCTCTAAACCCTGACCCATCTGGCTTCAGCTTCAGTGATTGGACTCCCCTTCTCTTTTCACGATGTGTTTCCTTGTCGTCACCATCATCTTCCCTATACTTTGCTGAGCTTCTAGAAAGGAAGGAAATCTGTCGAGATCCTCCCGGTCCCAACTTGACATCATTCAAGGCACCTGAAGCTTGCCGTTCATCAGCCAGAGATGCAACCCTTTCCCCTAATGACAGAGAGTCCTCCTTTGCAAGCGATACACGGTTCCAGAATGCTTCTGCATGCCGTTCATCTTTAACTTCATACAATCTGCACGTTTAATTTTAGAAAGAACGAGCACAAATCAGTTACCAACTTTAATTAAAAATAAATAAATCAATCAATCAATTGATCATGTGATTTCAGCATGAGGAGAAAGGAAAGGACCCTACACTCAATGGACCCACTTGTATATAATTAAACCAGCTAAAGTTGGGGCTAAAACCATCAAATAGTTGTTGACCCAATCAAATGTCAAACATATGGATCAAGCTGGTTTAGAGTAATCGATAACTATGTTGTAATATTTCTCCTTGCATTGACATGACATTAAACATTGTTTTAGAACATAACGTCAGGTATCTGAGGGCATATGAAATTGAAATTTGTGTTATATAATGTAAATGTAAGCATGTGTATATGAATGCACTATGTGTACAATGGACCCACTCGAAGGGATTCGAATTCCCCAAGATAAGAAAGTCTGCTTCCTACAATAGATTCCTTTTCAGGCATCTTAATTGGAGACTGATATACGGAGTAATATTTTATGAAACAAAAAATGTTACTCATCCATAAAATACAAGGGTGGAAAGCAATTATATGGTACAAATATTGTATAATATATGATTAATAGTGCGATAATTTCACATAATACTGGATAGAAGCATCTAACCTTGGCACTTGTTTCTTCCTAAATTTTCTTTCGCTTCTGCCGTGCTCGTCTTCTGATGACTCAGGAGCTGCTGATGCATCAGAATCACTTGAGCTCTGATCTTCATCTTCCATAATAGGCTCAAAATGTTCCTCCACCAAGGATGGTTCCTTCTTCGAAGGCATAGGGTGTAAAGCCTTATACTCTTGTGAAAATTCATCAATCTCGAACTCCTGGACACAACAATTAAAGAGAAAAAAAAGAAAGATATAATATAATACAGAAATTCATGAACTTCATAGAAAATGTAAATATGCAGAAATAAAACAAAATCAAACATGCAAAAGACAGGTTATCCCCAATTTAACATGAGAGTGAACACAAGCATGGTGAACTAGCATATCATAAATAATTTTCAAACAGCAGTTTTATTTCAAATTCTTCACTTGCTGTAAGCTGTCAAAACACTTGATGCTATAATGCAACAAATTTAAAATCACACATGTATATGTGTCTATCCTTCATTTGCAGGTTCTTGTTTATTTACACTTCATCTAAACAGGTGGATGCAATCAATTCCTTACAATTACTAGCAGAGTTTGTCATTAAGCCAAATGGTCGTTTTATTATGTACCTTATTTTCAAACATCGCTGCAAATCGCTCATCTTTCAGAACCTCACTGCTGAGTCCTTTCTTTTTCTTGGATGTTTTCTTAGTATCAGCACTATCAGCATCCTTCTTTTCATTTTCAGCTTCTTCATTCTCAAGTAGACGAGCTGCGAGAATGCGGTTAACTTTAGGCAATTTCCTCTTAATCTGCAGAAAAAACAAGGAATAAGAGAGTTCAAAATACATAATATGCCAGAATTCGGACCATGACACACAAAAGTCTCCCACACCAGTCACCCCTTTATTTGTCAAAGCTGTGTAATAGTCGAACATTAGCGATCATTTGTTTTTATTAAAGCACCAACTGAAGGTCAATATTGGTGAAATCGATAAAAGGAACCATAAGAATTAGTTTTTTATGTGATTGATGAGAATAGATAAAAGAGAGGGACAAAAAAAAAAAAAAGGCAAGAATTCATTCCAAAAGCAACCTCTTAAAATTCCAGTTTATTTGCTTGCCTCATTTGGCAATCAGACGAAGCATTGATGTAATAAATATCTGAACTGATTTTTAGTTCCTAACACTACAAACTTGACTAAATTTTGCCCAACACAAGATCCCATAATAGGCTACAGAAATTTGAAAAAAAATAAAATTTGACAAGTAGAAATTAAAAAAATGTATTAGGAAACTTGTTACAGTGTCTGAGGCTTGAAGCCGTGGAGGCAAGGATGAATCCAATAAGGCTGTTGCCTAAGGCTCGCACTAAGCACTGCAATGCTAGCCCATCTGTAATGCCAATAAGGCGGTTGCCTAAGGCTCCATGTGAAAAAAAACTCTAATAGTCTCTCTTTTTTATTTCTTTATTTTTCAATTTGGGTGCCACCATAAGTTTCCTTTGTCAACTAATATAAATTATCTTCTTAAAAAGGCCTAAAGATACTCTGAATGTAGACCCCACTATAACTTCGGTATCTAAAATACAGATACATATGTCTCTCAATTTCATGGAAAATTACCCAGTAGATAATAGATATGTTTTATCCTGAAAGATAATGTAACTTTGTTTCTTCTTTCATGCCTGATATGCTTCTTTGCTCTGTTTCTTCTATCACCATACCAGAAAGTCTGAAGGAAAAAGTTAATATTGAGTAGTGAAAAGGCCTAATTAAATGTTTAAGTAGATGGTCACACCAGATCAACTGTATTTGAGTTTCAAATTCCATGTGCATCAATTTTAGTAGAATATCCTACAAAGTGAGCTCAAAGCAGTCAAAACCACTTTGGTTTCAGTGAGTTTCATCTTATCTTAGTAAGTTTCAGAGATATATATCAATATCACTGATGAGAACCCCTTTTTATTCACAAAAAGTACTTTGTTATAATATATGTATGTCTACATATCTGCATATATCACTCAAACTTTGTAATTATTGAATCGGGTGATCTTTCATGTTTGGTAACATCCAATCTTTTTTAGGCTATGAATGTCCAGGAAGATGTTCACGTTATATTGTCTTCTATAGGCAGTTACTGTGCAATGATTTGCTAGGCCAGTATCAAGCATCTTAAAAGAGTGTGCTTCTGGTATCTACTATGTGCGAGAACATGTTTCCTTTAGTTGTTTGGTTGTTCCATCATTCAAGGATAGTCGATATGTCACAAAATCACAAAACTTCCATCTATTCATCATGCATATCACTATGTTTCGGCTGTTACCAAGTCCATCAATAAAACAAAAAAGGGGACTAGCGCTAAGAAGACCAGGGTGACACTCAAACACTATGGCACCGTCCTCACGTCCATATGAATATCTCTACAGGACTACACGGATGATAGGAACAATACGAATCTAACTCCAAACAAGTTGCCATAAACTCTCAATGTCATTGGCCAAATACAAAGTGGTTCAAACAAAATTTTAGCACCAATAATTCTACAGAAGTGAAAACTAACCGTAATTCGAGAGGCACGTTCAGCTTCCAGTTTCTCTTGCTTTCGCTGCTCTCTATAAGTATCATATGCAAATGGATCTGCCAATGATTGTGCCTGCCGAGTACAGAAAAAAATTGATTTAAATACCATTAGGTCATTCCAGAAAGGTGAAATCCAATTCCAACAGCCATTCAACCACACCCCTTGAAACATATACTTCAACACCATTTGCATTTAGAACTATTGAATTTTAATAACAGAACACAATTCAATTCAGCAAAGGACTTATAATTTGTTAATTTTTTTACAATGGATATCATAACCGCATAGTAACAGTAACAAAGTATTCACTGTATATTACAGATATATATATATATATATATATATATATATATTTTCATCTAAATAAAACTAAATTCTGAAGATATTGTCTACTTTGATTCCTGCAACAGTTCAAACCTACTTTCTGTGATTTCTCAATTTGTTTTGTAGACGCAAAACTTTTATATTGTAAAATATTTCATCCCCAAAGAGACCAATTAAAATAATGTTAAGCTTCCCATTAAAGGGCCAATAATACAGCTTAAATAACACTCAATGGGACATCACATTATGCATGAGAAATAAGGTTTAAACAAGGAGTAATCACCTTTTTATACAGCCGATAATCAATAAAGAAACCATGCATGTAGGCTCTAAGAAGATTGGTGCCAATCAAATTCGTCAAGTTCAACTTTTCAAGCTCTTCTTTTGTCAAAAATTTAAAATCATCATAGATAGTTGTTTGTGCACCCTCCTCCAGCTCTTCCTGTAAGAGAGACCAAATAGGAACATTACCACCTGTACTTAAGATCCAAGAAGTGGATCATAGGCACTGAAGTCAAAGAAAAATAAATAAGAAATATTTGATAGTCATACTGTTAAATTTTCTAGGTACGAACACCACTTAGGAGCAGGTCCAAGGGCAGGTATGAAATAAGATGGTATCTGACTGTTGTCCAGGGCCAACAACATCAACCCACTTTCACCAAACAGACATATATCATTTATTGTTCCAGCTGTTGGTTCAACGCTGGTCATGCCTTCTCCCTGACAGCATAAAAGAATATCAAACAATTATTCATGCAGTTGTTATATGTATTAATATCAAACAATTATTAGCTGGAAACACAAATCAGCTGAAAAAACATAGAAAACTTTGAAAAATAATGATGATGAGAGCAGTAAAAGTAGCAGTATTCATAAGTTTATTGTCCAAATAATTACTGAAGGTGTCGTATACACAAGAACCATCAGTTTTGAAATCCACTTCCAAAAATTAGCATCTCACATTAGTTGTCCTCATTGTTTCTCCAGTCCGAAAGGACCAAGGAATGAGTATTGAACCCTACCTCATCCCACCTTCTTGAGGGAAGGAAAAAATCCTTAAACCTTGTGTATGTGGTTATTATCATGTTTACAAAATATAAGCTGATCAAAGATTAAGAACTGCCCCACTAATATTCCTCTCTAGATTAGAATTCCATTCTACTACTTTATTAGGAGGAATGTAATGTTTTGGATCAGACACTGACCCAACTGCAGTCGACTTTATATTTGGAGTGCGTGACAAGCAGGGTAAAAGTATGGAATCTCACCATTGGCTTGGCAAAGACAAGTCCTACAAAAAGTGTTACGACAAACAAAGTGAACCGAGAACAAAACAAGAATCACAACAGAAAAGTTGGCACGCCACACAAAGAACACAAAGATTTACATGGTTCGACACAAATTGTTCCTATGTCCACGGTGAAGATCCAGTGAAAATTTTCACTATGCAAAAATTAGGAGATTACAAGTTTCAGCCCCCCAAACCCTAGCTCTCGCTCTCGCTCCATATTCTGCGATTTTCAGTCTCTCCTCCCCCCACTCCAAACCCTAAACACCCTTGTCTACCGGGCTACAAGAAAGTTCTCAACAGGGTCCATGACTCCACAACCTGCAAGCAAAGAACGGGTCAAAAAAATTCCTTAGCGCCGCACAAAGCTCACTCTTCAGGTCAACCGGGTCGCGTTCCAAAACAAAATTCGGGCCACAACATCACAAAAAGTTATCAACGGGGTGTAAGAAAAGAATTCTTACACTTCACAAGATGTAGCTGACTCTCCAGATGAATGTGTGTGCGCAAAGACACCCAATAATCCTTATTGGTTGGGTAACACAAAGGCAATGTAAACTAAAGAAAATGAGTATGATTACAATATTAGAAGGTGCATAGCCTTTTGCTTTGAATGGCGCAGTCGTCATGTGAAAAAAAACAACATTTTGGAGACAATCTCACATTATCCGCATGCAAAAAACAAGCAGTCTTAAAAAGATTTGAGGAATTTTCAGGTTTTTGAACAGATTACAAACTCTAATTTGTTCTCATAATCGTTTCAAAAGAATTAAAAAGAGTAACTTACAGTCTCAGGATCCCAAATTCTCACAATATGACTATCAGTAGTAATCAACTTAGGTCGCTCAGAGTTCAGAGTTCGATGCCACTTAATGTTCAATATTGAGCTGCCATACCTATAAAACATTCACAGTTTGCAAGAACCAACAACCAATAAGCAAAGAAAAAATAACTCAATGGTTTGTTGCACCATCCATATGCAAGACCAGCTTGTAGAGGTTAACTCACATGTGATCCTTCACTCGCATAGGAGAAGAAGAACGCAAGTCATAAATCAGCACCTGCATATCCGATAAGCTATAGATAAATAAAGATTATCAAGAAAGGAGGTAAACTCAAAAACAAAGAACAAGTTTATAAGTAAAGCTACATATTAAAAGGAAACATCAAAAGAACATGTATTCGAGTTCTCAAAAATAACCTCCAAGCAGATACTAACACACAACTTGCATACCAACACCACCAAATTCTTCCTTTATAACCTCCTTAATAAATCCCAAACATTAACTAAACTTTGAAATGTCTCAAATTTTTTAAAAAGTGCTAGCCCAAAGCATGAAGCTCCTACCACTGTGGGGCCTGGGGACTGTTTCCTATTTCAGACCCATGACCACCATTTCTCATTCTTATTACTTATTTCCTTACTCCGTTGTAAATATATATAACAAACAAAATATATTAGATACTAGCAATAGTTTATATATAACTTCTAACAGATGTTAGCAGTTCAGTATTGGTAATGGTAGTGGTACTATCATAGCTATAAAACAATAAACAACCTCACAGCCTTTCTTTGTATCCATCAATAATTCTTCCATAATGCCTTTAAGTAACATATGACCCAAGTACCTATTAATTTCCTATGCAAGTATAAAAATCTCCCACTCACTAAGCCCAGATAGCATATATAAAATTCTTTTATCTAGTCATTTTTTTCCCTCCCCAAGTACACTTTTATTTCAACAAACAACTATACTGGAGAGCAAGGGAAAGGCAAACCCCTCCTAAATACAACTATTGAGAAAACCCACTTCCAAAAGGCTGCAAACAAAATACCAAGAACAAAAGGAGTTAAACAGGATCCATATAAAGTCTAGACTAACTAACAACCTCAAAATAAACCCCATTTACAGCTATGGTCCTGAGCATGGATGTTGAAATCCCGATCCGGATCGTGGAATTTTTTTTTTTTTTTGATAAGTTAGATTGTATTAGAAAGCATGCAGTCAAATGGGGAACGCGGCCAAAGAAAGCTACAGAAGGACCAAAAAAGGCCCTAAGAACCCAAATTGCCCTTGGGCTCGCTAAGAAAGCTACAAAATGAAATTGCCCTTGGGCTCACCGTTGTCAATCTTTTACGTTAAATGATATGTTTACAAGAAAAATATTTAGAATTATATGTCAATCTCCGTCTACTCTTGGAAGCATTGGGAATAGGAAAAACTAAAATTTTTATTATGAGATGAAGATGAGAAGAATGCCAACAACAATAATATTATCCATCATAAATGCTAATATTTTTAGTTATCCCTTGTTAGATGACAAATTCTATAGCTACTCCTTATACAAGTTGGTAAACCACTTCTCAATTTTGTTCGTTTATTTTTAGTTAAAATCTTATATTTTTCTATTAATATTTCATCAAGGTAATAGTGATGCATCTTTTGCGAAGTGGAATCAAAGTATGGCCTTCTCCTCTAGGCCAATAGAGAAATACCAAGCCTTGGCTCTCTAGTAGGTGAGACCACAAAACAAAAAACAAACAAAAAAAAATCTAAAATTGAATTTTTGAGAATTTGAAACAATTGTTGAATAAAATTCTACTCTTGAACACTTTTTTCCTTTACCTCTTTTTTTAACTTACCACTCCCTCTCAATTTTTTTATTTATTTTATTTTTTATAATAGTTTTGATCACTACTTATTTAGGTTCATTTTTTTTCCATATCTTTTGGATTGTATTTTCTCAATATATATATATATATATATATATATATATATATATATATACCAATAATAATAATACTATAAAAAAATATATTAGAATAGATTTATAAATTGGCCCCACAAAACCAATTTTTCTGGCTCCGCCCCTGGTTATTTAGCCTCATTCTCTACTTAGGGAATATATTTGATTAAGATAGTTAGATAGAGTTATTTTTCTAGTAGTTTATAAAATCTTACGATCTATGTGATCCCTATGTGCTCCTCATCAATCCTACATAGAATCCCGACTCTAACCACCTTGCCTAAATTTTGATAGGCTTAGAGAATTCATCCCACCCCTTCCAGATAAATTTGTTAGAATTCATCCAACCCCTCCAGATAAATTTCCAAACACCAACACCTCTAAAGTTTCTCACCTCGAGAGAGCAACAACCACCTATCACCTCCCCAAACCGGGTCGAGATGACTCTCCTCCAAACTCTGTGAAGCTCAACACCAAATCTCCACAAATACTACCCAGAAGCACCTTATTAAAAGGCACCACCCTTCTGATCCCCAAACCACCCTTCTGATCCCCAAACCACCCAACTAGAACGACGTGCACACTTGCTCCCAGCAAAAACCCTACCACCCCATAAGTTTCGTTGGAGTCTATCAATCCTCCTAAGGCCCCAAGGAGGGAATCCGAAAAAGAGAGAAAATAGGTAGGAAGGCTTGATAGTATGCTCTTCATCAAAGTGACCCTCCCGGCCTTCGAAAGATACAGCCACCCGGCTAGTCTCCTCTTGAACCTCTTGACCACAGGGTCCCAGCAACCACTTTCCTCAATGGCGAGTCCAAGGGCAATCCCATATAAGAAATTGGAAAGGAGCTGACCCCACAACCAAGAATGTCAGCCATTGAAGAAATCTCCATAACCTCCCTCACGGACTAACACAGTCTTTCCTATATTGACTTTCAAGCCAGACACTGCCTGTCAAAACGCACCTCAAATATCTCAATTGGGACACATGCATCACGAATTACCAAAGTATCATCTACAAACAAAAAATGAGAGATCTACAATTGATGGGCCGAGTCCATACCCACCCTGAATCCTCTAATGAAGCCCAATTCCACTGCCCTCCTCGTAAGCCTGCTGAGAGCCTCTGTCGCAATGATGAACATAAAAGGAGAAAGAGGATCTCCCTGCCTCAAACCCTGCGAACTACTAAAGAAACCGATATGGGACCTACTCATAAGAACCGAGAACCTCATTGAGGAAATGCAAAACTCAATCCACCTCCTCCATCTCTCCCAAAAACCCATTCTCTCCAACAAATAAAACAAGAAGATCCAATTGACATGATTGTAAGCCTTCTCAATATCAAGTTTACAAAGAACCCCTGGAACACCATTGCACAACCTAGAATTCACACTCGCTGGCAATTAGAGCTAAGTCAAGAATCTGGTGACCACCGAAGAAGGCATTTTGGGATTCCAAAATAACTCCATCCAGAACATCCCTCAACCTAGAACCTTACAAACCATGGAATCTTATGATCCTACGATCTCAAATTGCCAAATATTACATGAAAAATGGTGGAATGTAGAATCGCAGTACAATTGGTAGAATCACGGTAGGATCGATAGAATCGAAAGTAGGATTGTAGATCACGTAGGATAGCATAATCCTACTAAATCATGTTGTTATGTTCTTCTGAATTTATTTGAGCCTACAACCCATTTTGGGCAAATAAATTTAGTCATTTTAAATATAATGCCCAACTATTTAGCCTAATTGCATTAAAAAATAAAAATAAAAACTAAAATAAGAGACCCAACGTTAGAGATGATTCAACTCTGAATTTCAAAGGTATCGTTCCAAATCTCGAAGGTTTAATGAGATGATATTGGAGCCAAGACAGACACAGCGAACACAAATAATCCAGCAAGCCAAAACACCCAGCTGCCCCCAATAAGCAGGGAATCCACTCACTAAGCATACCATCCAGCAACTGCATCAGTAAATCAGATGGAAGAATGCCCTCACTGTCAAACCATTCCCACAAAAAACTGTTTGGCTAGCAGCAGGAGCATATCCATTGTGGAGATTTTGGTTCCTGACTCTCCACAAATGCCACAACACAGTGGTATTATCTAGTCATTTCCATTTTCATTTGTGCAATGACCCCTCTTCTAAATAGCTGACAACCTCAACAGTTTTCTAGATCATATGCCCCTTTTTCCATCAACAGAACTCCAAGGTCTCATGATTTCTCAAAAGAATGAGACTACCCATAAATTCACAATAGGAGCAACTATTCTTCATCCATTCGGCATCCACTACCTCAGTTTTGGCTCACCATGTTTCCAAACCCCTCCTTTGGTTGCTGAAAATATTAAAAGTGCTAACTTATGCTCAACAGAAACTCTCCTTTGGACTTTCCGAGTAAAGTTTATCTGGATTGTATCCAATTCACTCATTGAGAAGATTTAATCACTAGCCATAAAAACTATAGCAAAAATTATCAAAACGGCATATAATACTATAACAATATATTGGGTGCTGATGTCATACCTTTCCAGAACTACTTCCAACAGCCATGAGGTAACCTCCCTCTCCATCAAACTCAACTGCAGTAACCTCCTACAAATTCAGCATATATTATTAGATAAGTTCTGAGTCAATGAAATTTTGCAGGGTTTTTGTTTTGACTGGAAAAAGGTTTGTTTAAGAATGAGATTAAAAAATATCATAAAATAGTCCAATAGTAACAAATCCTGGATTAATACACGATGACTCTTTAATAGAACCATCAAACCAACTCGTTTGCAATGATTTTCCGTACATAAAGGGCCAAGCAGGTGATCCACAATGATTGCATTTTAGGCATCATATATGCGCAAAAGTACATTCTTCCAATTGACATTCATAAAAATCAACATATTCCAAATTCCAATTGACATTCAATAAAAGTTGCTCTGAATCACTGGATCAAAAAGTAGAAGGGCTACCTGGTCAACGTCACCAGCAGGTGCAACAGCATTTATCCTACCAACTGAAGATCTCGATCTCATGTCAAAGCATTCCACGGCACCATCATCGCCACCACAGGCAACTAATCCGTGAAGCTTGCTGAATTAAAAAACAAAACTGCCTCAAATATTGGATAAGCATATTTTGATCACCAAGCAAACAATTCCTGATTGCTACAATGACAAGAAATGGGCACTACCATAGCTTAAGTTCCACTACCTTCTAGAGACTACATTTAGTGCTGGAGACCGTGTGCTGAGTGAGGAAAGGAAACGCCCCTGTGAAGAAATATGTCAAAGTCTTGCACCCTGAATGTAAAGCAGCTTAATAAATGTGACGTGGAAAGCAACTGAAATTCAGTAAATATGAGCATGATACCAACCACGGTGAACACGAAGAAATTTAAGATAAATTTGTTTATAAAGTGATTTTAGGTGATTCAAGTGAAATTATTCATCATATGTAATCGAAGACATATTGGCATTTGCCTTTATCAGTTTTCCAGTATGGATCTCAAACGTGAATAAATGATTGACATGATGTTTATATATAGGGAAAGAACAGATTAAAAACAGATGTCATATTATATATGTGACTACAAAAACATATACACAAAAATAATTAATAATAATAATAGAAGAAGAAGGAAAAGAATCCTCCGGGGACATGTACAATGGATTTTACTGCCTCTCTATATAGGAAGGACATGAAGGTTCCATTTTATTAAGCTAATCATATGAAAGGGGAAAAGGAAGAAGAACCCTGAGCACACAACAAAGAGAGTAGAATTGACATCACACATGAATGAAGAAAGGAAGCATAAAAAGTATGAACACTTTAGAAAAGAAGTTGACAGCCAAAATTCATTTGTGGACGACATTAACAAAAACAGAATTTGAAGGGAATAAGGATAACCGAGGAAAAAAACCATGTTATTAACGCTTGGATCAAAGAAAGACTATTCAATCTCTAAAAGCTATTTGTAAAAAAAGCATCTTCCAACCAGACAATTTAGTATTTACCCTAATATGATATAGAAAAGAAGTAATGAAGACATGCACACACCAAAAAAAAAATTGTGATTTGAGCATCAATGAATACTCTCAAAAAGGAAAAAAGATGGTTAGAATCTCAATAATTTGAAGCGCGACCAATAAAAACCAACAAAACCCATGTTATTAACGTCTTGGATCAAAGAAAGACTATTCGATCTCTAAAAGCTATTTGTAGAAGAAGCATCTTCCCACCAGACAATTTTAGTATTTGCCTTCATATGAGATGGAAAAGATATAAACACAAATAAATCAAATAAAATTTGAGATCTGAAAATCCAAGTGAATCAATCAATCAATACTCTCAAATAGAAAAAAGGGGGTTAGAATCTCAACAATTAATTTGAAGCAAGACCGTATTTCTCCAAATCAAATAGAGAGAAGCATTCAAATTCCTTGTGAGTACTCCCATTTATACTTACCAAAACATGATTCCTAGCCACCATCTTACAACCTACAAGCCCACCCTGGAATTTGAGAGATTTTGTTCCTCCTAATGGAACCTAATCCGCGAGAAGTCCGCCAGAGGTTGCACCATCCTATTAGCCACCTAATTAATTTTTGTACAACTAAAAAGTAGACTATTCTTTTTGCTAAAGTAGTTTATATTGAGAGGCTCTACCCTTCAAAGAAATAAAGATGACAAGTATTCAAAAATTATCCTTACCACAGAATCCCAAAATCCAACTAACTAAAAAAGCCGTCAATGTGAATGCTATGGTAATTTAGTAGCAATTGCCAACTTTTAACCCAAAGGTTACCAAAGAAGAGAACGGAATGATATCCATGTTAATTTGGCCAAAATACTTCAACAAATATATATATATACATATATATATATATATATAATATTAAATAATTTCGTAACAGCGAAGAAGATCTTATGGGTTTTATTTTTTCCCTACAAGCAACCAAAAAGTGACTCGAGCCATCTTGTGAACTGCAAATGAGAGGTGCAAAGTCTATTTTTTATCACTGAAAAGCAGACCAAAAAAGGGGGACAAAAAAAAAAAAAAAAAAAAAAAAAAAAGAAAAACTATAAAGTTTCCTGTAAATGATGGGGAAAATTCGACAAAACACATCCGTCATCAAAATAGAATGGAACAAAAAAACAGAAATGAGGTGGGAGCGTGTGTGGATAAGAGAGAATAAATATTAAAATAAATTCAGAAGATTCTTAAATAAGCATACAGAGCAAAGAAACAAACTGAAGCAAAGTTTGAACTATATAGTTATACTTGAAAGTACCAACAAATAAACGTAAAGAAATTAGTATTTTCATAAAATTGAGTCAAACACCTTTGCAAAACCCAAAAGTACCCTTTGAGAAAGAGTGGTGGTAGGCAACTTGATAATTTCAAAAATAAGGAAACATATTATCCTAGTTTGAATCTGGACAACCTTAAGAATTCATATATCCCACCAAAGACAGGGTGATAAAAGAAACTGCATAGCTTAGTAGCTGAAAAAAAGTAGTTCATTATATGTTCTTATAAAACCACCAGTCAACAAAAACTCCAAAAGTAATAACCGTATCTATTTCCATTAACTTAAGTATTCACAACCTTCAGGTTGTATAAGTTCCACAAGACACTTATCTATTGTACAGCATCAGACACCTTACCGAGCAAATTATAATGAAACGTAAAATCTCAAAAATCAACAAATACACAGTCATGACAACAATGATATGACATCACGATCCACTGGTGAACGGAGGGTAGGGGAACAATGACAACATTAAAAAGGTTGCAGCCCCTATGAGCCATTCATTACCTTTCACTGTATCTGCTGTATAAATTTAGAATGACCAAGACAACGACCTCACAGAAATTGACAACATTATTATCACTGCACTCTCACTACTAGTCTATTGCTCAACGCCTGAGGCCCTGAATCATGACAACAAAAAGAAAGACAACATATTGACAGAAGCACTAAACACGAGCTTACTCATATGAGATAAGTTCAGAATGAATAAGACTCTAGATACAGAGATTCTAGTTTTGCATGTTTTTAACAGTTAAATCTTACGAGCCCGTTATCATGCCAGGTAAACATGAAAGTAGAATATATGTCCTACGAAACCTCTGGATTCCACAACATAAACGCCATTGAAAGATAGAAAGAATTAGCAATTAATGTTATGTTATCAAAGAAGAGGGTCAAGTTGTCAACCAACTTGATGTCTTTTAGAGGTCACTTTACCCTCAAAGAGGTTGTTGGAGGTGGATTTGATGATTCTCCCTGTATTACAGCTGTGTGTATTAATTCTTTCTAGTGTTTTACTTTCAACTTAGGTTTTCTTGTTCCTTTAATGTCACCCTACTTCTACTGGATGATCTCCTTTCCTTTCATATTCGTCTTTTGCAGTTCCATTTCAAAATAATTTTGGTTTCTTAATGAACAAAAGAAAATGAATACTGCTAACAACTGTCAACTACTGCAACAAATGAAGCTAAGGAAAAAACCTGTTCCAAATTTATTCTGTATAGATCTGGAGAAGAGGCTGCACAAATCAAGTCACAGGACCAGCTATCATATGCAATATCCCTTCCCATCCTGTTAAAAAGTAATGCAAAATGTACACATTATACTCACACCCACAAATATATATGTACAATTGTACATGAATGTATGCAGTAAAAACTCAACTCGACTCAACAAGGCTATTCCCAACTTTAGGGGATATAGTGGAATATTATCAAAGCCAAATGCAGAAACCACAGGCGCCATATAATGGAAACTCGTGTCATGAACTTATTAAATCTTAGCGTTCGAGGAAACACAAAGTGCCTTAGGAGATTTCTTTTTCTCATTCTCTTTTCCTTTTCTGTTCTTTTTTTTGGGAGGGGGATATCGTGTTATTGATCTAGTCGAGATATGAGTAAAAGAAACAGAGACTAACATGTAATAAAATAATGAAGCAGTTGATCAACAATTCCGGCCCAACTCCAATAGTGAAGATGATGGGGGGTCAACGCAAAAACAGAAATAAAGAAGGCATAGTGCATACTGGATATAAATTTAGGAACTAATGGATCAATTCGCAAAAGAATCAATAATTACAATATAAATAGAAAGAAAATTCTGTGGAGGGTTGCTCAGAAACTAGGCACTGTGCATCAAAGCTTTTTTCTGGCTTTCAGACATGTTAAAGGTGATGGATAAGGTATATTATTCGACAAATTAGAATTAAGTACATCTGGAATGTGAATTTCAGAAGGACCCCCGGGGGGCAGGGCAGGGCGGGGCGGGTTGGTGTTACTGCTGCTCCATTCACTCAATTTCAAGCAGTCAACTTCATACAGTATGAGATGTCAGGATTATACATGATCACGGGGAGTAAGATAAGGAGGTTTGTTTCCACCAGTTAACTATATCCTGTGTTATATTTTTAAAGTTTTTGCCAAACTAAAATTTGAGGAAGGAAGTAATTACCATTTTACATTCTGAAACATTTTTATATTATATTTTCCCATTAGAATATCCTTCTTTTCTCTCCATATAATACAACTAGTACACTTGCAGGAAATTTTAAGTTTCTTTATGACCCACACTGCTATTTAGGAACCGCTCAGCCATGGCAGACATAGTCCAAGAAACATATTGATTGCGGAATCATTTTTTGTCAAATCATTATTAGGGGGAAATTAAAAAGGATATATAGCAAACACTAAAAATTTAAAGCTCAAAATTAACAAAAAAAAAAAACACACATGTAAACCATATATAATAAGTAAACATATAACTTCATAATATTACAAAATTGTTAACAAAAAAACAAGATTGTCTATGATGCTTTTGCATAATCTCTGAATGTCTAATAACAAATGCATAACTAGCTCAGAATCCATTATTAGTCAAAGTTACAATCAGAAAACATTTAAAAACAAAAAGATACATAACAACTTATACTATACAAATACAAAATCTTAAACTGTCTAATAGTCTCAAAAGGATTGTAAAGCAAACATCAAATTTCATGGGCTGCCACATAATTTAAATCCCCATTAGATATCATAAAATTTTCAGACATTGGTAAATTCCAGGTGCGGGGGAGGAATAAGACTATGGGCATACAACATACAAAGCACAATTTTATGATCAACTCAACCAAAGGAGCATTGATTTATGCTATAATCACAAGCAATGTCAACTATACCTCTGAGCTAACATTCCCAATTAGAAGATGAAAATTAAGTTATCTCTACCACGAACACAAAACTAAATCACCTCCATCAAGTTTTTTTTTTTTTTTTTCACCTCCATCAAGCTTTTACCTTACAAAAGCTCGATCAAAGTATCCAAACACTTTTTGGTTTAAAAGGTGAAAGACATCATAGTTTTAGTGGGGTTCACAAGTCCAAATTGCAACATATTGGCATTAGAACTCTGTGTCACAGATTTTGTCTGTGATATTCTTCCTTCCGGAGAAAACAGATCAACCGTAAACGAGATGAAATTCTTATATCACTTGGTATTTCAAAATGCTACTTGCTAAAACCAATATGTCACAGCTAAAAATATATGTTATTACAAAGCACTGGATAAATATACTGAACTGGGACCATAACCTAGATAAAAACTTCTGCAACTGTTTCCTATGGTACTTTGATCAAAATTACATTTCCTTCAAATTCTCCGTAAATACTAAAAAGCAGAAAAGGGGATGAACCATTAACATAAGGGTATTTTAACCTTGAAAATTCACAATCCATCCTTCTAAAAAATCCCCAGAATATTTTTTCTGTCAACATTACATCATTGTCATTGCCATTCACTTAAAAAAGGCTTCCATTATTGACTAACTGAATGCTCCAGCAAACCAAATTATTCGACTTATAATTATGGACATATATATATATTCCATATTTGGCATAACTTGGGTCTTAGTTTTCCTTATTTCATTGTTTACTCCAAGTGTGGTCCCAACTGGTCTTGGGTTTTTTTTTCTGTTAGGAAAATAATACACACACACTTGCCCCATTGGGGAATCAAACCAGCAACCTTCCATTTAGAAGGAGGATATACCACTTGGGCTGAGCTCTCGGTGGTTTTCATGGAACATCTTAAGCTACATAAGAACCTATGTCACCTTAGTACAAGAAGAAAGTGTACAAAAATTTTTGTCACATAATGATTTGAAAAAATGTAAACAATAGACAGTTAGCCACTAAGGCCAAACCTTGCTTATGAATCTCAACTTCAACTATTACCATTTGAGGAAGGGAAGACATTACAAGGATCTTTTTCTCATGACCCCCTACAGTTCTCCAAACCTTTGCCTATTTTGGTACCATCAATCATCATCTCCAAGGCTAGGAAAAAAATGTCATTGACATTGTCACATACAACATTTACATGTTACAAGAACAACATATCATTCAATCCAATGGTGGACTTGGATTCAGCTTTCCATTATCAAGTGGCACAGAGAGACAACTAGAATAAGGCATGCATAATGGAACTACTTGCAACACCACATATAAACAGTGTAATCACTGAAAGAAATATTAAATAAGATAAACCTTGGGATCCGCAAACTGTAGTGACTTCCGTATTTTGCATGTAGACAAACAGAACGATCAGCACATAGAAATGCAATCTTTGAATAGTCATCTGCCAGCACCTATTTAAGCAACAAAACTGAGTCAACACTATTCCAAAAACATGATAAATATTGTTTGGGAAAAAAAAAAAAGCTACTATTTATTTTTGGCAAGCCTACACCACAGATATATTGACTCCAAATATAAAATTAACTAAACTAGAAAACAGAAATAACATGACTTGGAAAAAGTAATTGAGGCTGACCTAACGAGTATTGAGATCAGATTAGAACATGAGAAGACATGAACTATTTCAAAACGTAAATAGAAAAAGCACTTAGACAGTATCCATCCTCTCTTAATTCAGGGTGTATCAACCCATTTTGCTATCAAAGAAGATATTCTAACTTTTCCATGAAAGCTTTGAGAGGTTTGCACTAAGGGTTTAAACGATTTTGTTTTGAGGTTTTTTTTATTTCCAATGGGTTACCAAGGATCACGGAACGGCTCATGGTGTTATGAGCATTTTTATTTGAAAAAACTTGGATTCATCTAGATCTTTAGGCATACCCTTAGATCATCAAACATAGGGTCTGACTTCTTGGCTAATTGAAAGCCCATGCACTTTGGTGTTCCATAAGGCACCTAACCCCCCCCCCCCCCCCCCCCCCCCCCCCAAAACAACAATAAGTAGGGGTGTTATGTTATTTTATTTTTTTGGTTCTAGCGTATTGAGGAGACTCTATTTATACCAACTTAAGAAAACCTTTTAATAAAGTGAATTGTATATTTGAAGATGGAAGCTATCATAGTGTTTGAAATTGCAAACCTCGCTTGCTTTTCAATTGAACAGTTTCCTGAAATGTAGTTTACAATCAAATAATGATCCAACAAAAAGATGTAAAAAAAAAAATTGGGCAAATTGAATAAACCCCCAAACACCCCCCACCACCTTCCCCCCCCCCCCCCCCCCCCCTTCTTTTAGTTTTTGGCACAAAATATCCCTGCAAAATTTTTCAACATAAAACCCCCCTGAACTATCCATTGTTGAAAAGTGATGTTATATTAACAAAAGTGCACCTAAATATAAATTTAAGAAAATTTATGTTTTCTTTAAAATGATTTTCATTTCAGGTTTTCTTTTCCTTTCAAATTTTTACAAAATAAAAATTTAAGTAAATTGTTCCAAGGTATTTTCAATTTCATATAGACACACCATTAAAAAAAAATATCAGAAATAATGCTTAACAAAACTATGCCGAATGAGTTATATGTATTAATTTTAATCTTATAGTAAGGGGCACCATTTTCCTTAATATATATAAAGAGGAACTTTCATCATTATAACATCACTTTGTAACAACTGGACAGTTCAAGGTGGGTTTACGTCTACTTTTTTGTCATTATCTGCCATTTATGCTATTTGCCCTTAATTTTTCCTAGAAACAAGATTAAAAAATGAATAAAAATGGGATAAATTCGGTCTAAGATAGCATGCCTTTGTGCAATAAAGGTCAACTGAAGAACCAATAAGAAGCAACATGGTTCAAGCTAACGACATCCACAACACCACAAGGGCAATAGCAGGCAAGAAAGAACACAGGACAAGGTGTGCAAAAAGCACTGTGGGAAATTATGGAACAAAAATACCTCTGGGTAAATAGAACAGTGAAAAAAATATCATGTAATGGCGGGAGCCTTGCTAGACCTAAAATTTACAACAACTTCCATCATTTATGTTGTTCATTGTTAAGAAAATGCATGAATGAGTAATGTGAATAATTCTCTAGATTCTAGGTTTACACAATTTTTTTTTTTTTTTTGATAAGTAAGATTTTATTGAAAACGCTCAAATGGGGAGCAGAACCCAAAGAAACACAAGGGCCAAAAGGCGCCTCAAACCTTCAAAGAGGCCAAAGAAACAATAATCTCCTCCATAGATCTACAATCTTTCCCTGAAACCCAACAAAAAAGAGTGGAACAAGCAAAACAGAAATGGCAGATTATGACAAAAAGATATTTCAGAGACACATAAGCTATCAAAGGTAAAATATTTCAGGCCTGTAAATGCATGAAGGCACACATTGGTTGGATGAAGGACTATTGAGCGTTTGATTTGTATATGTAAGTACTCAGCTATAAAATTTAATAATATACTTCTAGAGACCATCAGCTTCAACAGAGTAAAAGAAAATGAAAGGAAAATCAACAAGCAATAGTATATGGATTATAGGAGCTGAGTCCTTCCATCTATAGTTTTTAGCAAACTCAGGTAAGGAGTACTGGGTACCTGAAAGTTAATTATCTCTGAAACCAAGTGTCTTTCAAACTTCAGTGATAGTTCTCTTAACTCATATACTTTGACTTGTGGTGGATAAATGCCTGTATTCAAAAGTAGATCAGCATGATAAATACATGTTGTGCAACTGAGCATCTAAAACAAAAGAAATTATGAACACTAAAAGTTATATATAAAAAACATCAACAAAAAAATAAATAAATAAGTTTTCTGTATCACCTGATGCAATAAGAAACTCCCCATCAGGAGTTGCTTTGATTTTAGTTGTTGCGATTTCAAACCTCAAATCCTGGATCAATTCCACTCTTTGCATGTAGTCTATATGACCAGAGAAGCAACAATTTCATAAATTGAGAAACTAGCAATAAAAGATAGGCATTATATTGAGAATAACAAATGTAAAAGGCTCACTTGTATAAATAAATTAAATATGAACATGGATTATACTACCCACATCACATCGGCTATGTAGAATCGATTCTGTATCTTTCTGATAGTATCATACTTTTTAACACTTATTTGTATTGCCTGAGCTATTGGCACACCAATACTATTATATATATTCTTGTAGTGTGTGCATTACAAGTATACATATGTAGTTGAGCTTTGCCCGATTTAGTAGAAATGAACAGTTACTTGTTTCTCACCATAACACAGTATTAGAGTATCGAAGTGTGCCATCAATTTCAAAGGTTATTGAAGATTAGAATGTAATATCTTTCTGGACAGCCGCTATGGTCATATTGTACCACTTTAACCATACTCTCACTGAAATTGCTTTGCTGTTAGATGTTGTATTCCATCATCCCAGGCTGACAGGAATCTAACGAATGAAAGAGCTTTTTCCATCCCATCTTTTTCATATCTCATGGTTGCCCACCAATAGCCGGTCATCAAAGTTAAACCGGTAGAGCTATCTTGGCCTGAGTTCACTTCTTAAATTGCTCATGTTCGATTTCAACTTTAAAATTCCACTTTGATTCAGCATTTTTGGATTACATTCTTTTGTTTGTTGCTACTTTGAAACATTTGGATGACTTAAGAAGAGTTCACTAAGTTTTTGTGTTGACTACTAGTGCTCACTCAACTTGATAGACCTGTCCTCTTGGTGTTCTTGATTCACTTGTCCTTATACCAAGGCTTCCGATAATATTATCACAAGAATGGATGTAGAACTTAATGGGAGAAATTATAATGTTCAGGTTGCATCTTGATGGAACAAAGTATAATGTCTAGTCTGAATCTAAGTAAATGTGTTGAGTGGACATGATAGGTGAGGTCGCCTAGACGGAATAGACACATCCACCTGATAAAAAGGGTATATGTAATTGAGAGTCGATTGATAATAGTGTAACGTACATCCCATATTCCCAACTTCAGCTTGATCAATACTCCTATAAGCTAAGGAGATACAGGAATACCTGAGTGGTTTGTATGTATTTTCAGTGACTTCAGTCAAGTTATGCACGAGAGTACCAATTCATTCAAGAATGTTTATCAGATCATCAAAATGATTGTAGAAATCGGGAGTTCCTATCAGTGATTACTAATTACTGGAGGCGGTTGTCCATAATGAAACCACACATTCCAATTGTTGTATTAAGCTTGCAAAGTCTCGAGATCAGCAGCATTTATTTTTATTTATGATCAACTTTCTCAGTGGCTCAAGGCCCATTGTGTTCAAAATTCTGCATTGATTTCCATTTTCAACTTAGATTCCATCCTATCCAAGCCAATTGCTGAGAAATCTGTCTTCCTGTCTTGCGCACTCATCATTTGATCAAAGAGACTTCACTATCGTCTGCTTTAAAGAGATACCCTCACTCCCCTAAACCAAGTGGGGCTTTCGGGTATTCATTTCGTTAGTACGTATTGTAAGAAAACTGGAAAGGCAACTCAAAAATACCACATATAAGCAAGGAAAAGCTTCTTTAACATGTGATTAGTAACAAATGGTTCCCTATATAACTGCTACTTCGTTGCTGATATCACTCCACATGTTGCTCGGCAAGAAATGATATTACAGGCTGCTAGTATGACTGCTACTTTGCCTCCGCTAATGCCTGCTTCCTCAGGCACCAGTGGGTCTACAAGTCTTTTAGATTCCGGTGTCTATTAAAACATGAGTTCTATTGCATCTATTCTTTCCAATTGCTTTCTACCTTCTCAAACCCAAATTTTTATACCTGACAGGAAGTTCTTACTACCCAGTCCAACTACTCTACTACCTTCACTTTTCCTAGTTTCCTCATGTCACTGAACTGTGCACAAACTGATTCTTGATTAGTCAGCTAACCATCATACTTGCAACTCCATTTGATTCTTTCTCTACCGGACATCAATTTGGACAGCTGATTTCTGGCAATAGACTTGGTAGACTTCACTATCATAAACATCTCAATCCATGTTTTCTGCTTCAGCTCATGTTGGCAGCCTTCATTATCTTCTTTAATTTAGGCACCATGGACTAGGTTATGTGTCCAATTTTAGACCAAAACAGTATGCAGTGAACACTTGATTCTTTTTTATCTCAATGTTTGGGATGTGAACTTGGAAAACAGTTGGCATTGTCTTTTTTATCTAATGACACTCATCCTTACTCATATTGAATTAGCGAATTCAGATATTTTCAAACCTGCTCCTTCAGAGGGTGGTAAAATCATATTAGACTTGTTGATGACTCTCATGCAATATTTTGTGCATGGAGCATGTCTCAAGTCGTCAGATTATAAAGATTTAACTACTATGGTGCATACTGAATTCTCTAAAACCATTAAGTCTTTTCATTTTATTGTGCAAATTACAAGTCATTCTTACTTCTCAGAGACTTTATATGTGAATCAAGCTTTCATTGAAAAAATATAAAATAAAGGGTTTAAACAAGGGTTTGAGATTCAGTTTTTCAGAATATATGATACTTCTCAAATACGTTACTCTGTATATGAAGTTCTTTAAAGAAAAATATTCTGATAAATCCCACCACCTCTAAAATTTAAACAATAACAAAAATCAATGGTGAAATTCATATCAATTGTTACTCTGTATATCAATTGTGGTGACTTATGCGGACGTGTGCGAGACACTGGACGAGCTACAGGTAGAACAATCCCACATCGCCTTGGTAAGGTGAAAGTGAGGTGCTTATATGTGCTAGTGCTACAGGTAGAACAATCCAAATTGTCTGCTCATGCCCAAAGCAGACAATATCATATCATGTGGTGAAGTGGGCTATTACAAATGGTATCAGAATCGGAGCCCAGCCAGAAGTGTGGCCAACGGGGACATTGGGGGCCTTGCGGTGACCCATGTGGGTGGATGCGAGACACTGGGCGAGCTACATGTTACACAATCCCACATCGTCTAGGTAAGAAGGAGGTGAAGTGCTTATATGTTGCTATCTCCAAATGGTATAAGGCCTTTTAGGGCAAGACTTGCAAATAAAACCGTGCGAGCTCAGGCCCAGAGTGGACGATATCATACTATGTGGTGGATTGAGTTGTTACAAATGGTATTAGAACCGGAACCCATCCGAAAATGTGGCAACGCCCCCTTGGCGAGGTGACTGTGGCGACCTATGTGGGAGGTGCGAGACACTAAGCTACAGGTTGCACAATTCCACGTCGCATGGGTAAGGTGAAGGTGAAGTGTTTACATGTGCTAGTGCTATCTCCAAATGGTACCAGGCCTTTTGAGGTAAAACGTAAGACCAAAACCGTGCAAGCTCAGGCCCAACGCGGACAATGTCATATGTGGAGTGGGCTATTACATCAAGTTCTTACAAAACATGGTTTGGGGCTATTACATCAAGTTCTTACAAAACATGGTTTCTTTTTTTCTTTTCTTTTTTATGATATGTCTCAACTAGCAAGATTATGATAAACACTGCCGCCTTAAATTTTAAACAAGAAAGAAAATCAATGGTGAAATTCATGTATGAGACAACTCAAATATGTTACTTGATGTATCAGGTTCTTTGATAAAAAAAAGATAATGACCTCTAATATTTAAACAAAAACAAAAAATGTAGAAATTGATACAGCAGGAAGCAATAAAAAAAGAAGATAAGTGTCAGAAGTAAACCTTTGTCTTTGCGAAGAGCTCTTAGCTTCTTAGGAGGAAGCCAAGTGGCCAAAGAACGGTGTTGTCCTGATACTGTATACATCTTAACTCCATTAATGGAGGTGGACTTCAAGTTACCTCCCTGATATGCCATTCTTTGATTCTTTCTCAATCCAGTCGCTTGAAGTACTTTAGAATATATCTAGAGAATGATGAACAAGAAAGGCCGCTTAGCTCAATGAACAAAATAATTAAGAGCCTACCCAAAATCAAAATATAAATTTCATGCTACAAGGAATTAAAAGCCTTTAGCCCAGTGAAAAATATAAATATCATACAAAGTCGCCTTATTAATTTTGATTCAAGGGGGAACTCAATTTACTAGCAAACATTCAGACACCTGACTTTTTGGTCCACTGAATTAACTAGCAAACATACAATCTGAAACATACAGTGTTAGACCACAACTAGCAAAATTTAAAGGGGAATTCCATGCATATGCTTTAGTGGTCAATGGATATAAACATGTATTGAAAAGTCATCATGCATCAAGCATTTAGCAAAATATATATATATATTTAAAAGCTGCAACTTTTGTGTTCAAAATTATATAATGTGCAATTCAGATAAGGATCAATCCCAAGAGCAAAGACCTGCTTACATAAATGGGACTCAAGAAGCAGAAATTTAAGCAGGATAGAGAGCGATAAATAGAGATGCGGTCGTCGGCTCTCCTGAAGAGCAACAAAGGAAATTCGAGGTTTGCTGGCTGATGGTCGACGGGCGACGGCGTCGGTGGCTGAGGGTAAACTGAGAGTGAGAGAGAGACAACCTTGAAGTCGCCTGTGGAGTCGAAACACGGTGCAGTGGATGGATCGCCGTTGCAGAGGCAGTGCCGGAGTGGGGTTGCAGAAGCGTTATTGCAGCTTCTTTCGGCTATGTTTTAGGGTTTTTTTAAAACCCTTTCTGATATTGTACAGTTGATCTAAAATTCTAAAGCGACCGTGGGCCAGTGGGCCACTGAATTAAATGTACTTTATTTGTTACATGGGCTTCCAAATCATACAATACTAATTGGACCAATGAATCGTGTATGTGAATTTGGGCTAAACTTGCAAGTATGGACTAGGCTTTAAAATAAAATAAGGGTGAAGCGCAAAACAAAAAAAAAAAAAAAAAAAAACACTCGAACTATTATCCTTTTACAAATAACCCCTTGAACTAAAGATTGTTTCTTGAATTATTGATTTATTGTAGTTAAGGATAAAGCCATCACAAAAAACTATTTTACCCCTACTTATTAAAATTGTTATTTCGTATTAAATTATTTTTTATTATATTTTCTCTTATTTAAATATTAATTATACCATTTACCTTAATTTTATAATTAGTATCAATTTATCATAAAAATAAAAATAAAGATTTGCAGCTGGCATTTTATAAAATGGTTAACTTATTATACTCACTTTAAACAAAACCAAAAAATTAGTGTAAAAAAAATACATTATTTTTCATACAATATTCATGAAAATTTAATAAATTACGTAAATAAAATATATTTTTTATGCAATATATATATATATATGAAAATTTAAGAAATTACTTAAATTTTTATCAAAATTTTCTACTTAAGATTTTTATTTAAATAATTAATTTCAAAAATTAAAGGCAAATTTAATAGATTATATTCCATCAAATTAGTATTAATTTTTTTTCATAATTTATTTCAACAAGAAAAATAGATCAAGTGGAATTCAATAAGAAAAGGGTACTATAATCATTTAAGGAAAAATAGTCAAGACAAATAGGACATTTTGCAACTAAATGTGATAGTTTAGAAGGTTTTATGCACAAAAAGTACTTCTGAGAAGTTATTTGTAAATTTGAACATAGTTTATAAAGATTTTTTGCACTTTACCCATAAAATAATTTAAACTCGTGTGAAGACTTAAATATTCTTATAACAATATTTTTTATATTATTTTAAAAATATATATTCTAAATGGAAAATGACCAAATTAAACATCGTCCATGTATGAATTTGGCATGACATGACATAACTTGGGTTTTGGTTCGGTGGTGTTCTGTTTTCTATCACAAAATTTGGCTTCTTAAACACAACAAACACCAAAATGCGGGCATTGTCCTAACATGCGAATATTTTCTTTTCTCATGAAAATTATAAATTTATTTTTAAAATATTGTGTCACTACAATTTTTAATGATTCTTCTTAACCTCGTCCTATATAAATTGAAATGAGGCTCATTCAAATGGAATTCCACCGAATTTTAGCATTTTAAATTGTTTGACTATTTGATTTATACACTTAAAAAAATTTCAATAGAAACTTTAAATGACTAAAATTTAATTCATTGATAAATAGATTACACTTTATTAAATCAAATGAAATTTTACAAAATCCTCATCTATGATATATTATTTCAATTGGTAAATTTTTATACTGTGTAATGAGAATAAATCACGATAGATTTTCGTGATGGTATACCTCAAAGAAAATAAAATCCATGGCATTACTATTCTTCCTTTCCATCAAAAATTTGTGATGGATGTATAATTTAAATATCCATAATTAAGAGAAGATTACTAAATTAACGCACTATTGAGATAGGCTCTGCAGATTACGATAAGGATTACAGATTGAGATAGGCTTTACAGATTACGATAAGGATTAAAGATTGTGATAAGGATTAAAGATTACGATGAGGATTAAGTCTACAGATTACAATAAGGTAATTCTACGTGACATCTTAACCTAAGCCCTATAAAAAAGGCGGGGGAATCAACGTTTTGAGGTACGCAATAAACCCTAACTCAATTTCTTGATTTCTCTAGGGAGATTATCATTCACGCTGACTTGTTCGTCGGAGCCTACTCCACCGGTAACACACCGGTGTTCGTAGGATCACTTTTTCTTCTCTTTATTCAGGAAGTCAGATCAGATCCAGGTTGCACAGAATCCATCATCAACAGTTGGCGCCGTCTGTGAGAACGATTTTAGTTCTCTAAATAAAGTATGGTTCGATTGCGATCTGGTCTGGTTGCTGGCGAATACGAAGCGTTGCAAACTTCTGATCAAGGGGACTCGACGAGGCAACCCCCCGCCGTCCCAAACGATCAGGAACGCTTCACAGAGTTGGAACAACAGGTTTAAACCCTAAATAAGGGAATGAACCAATTAGTCTAGAAAAATTCAATGATTATACAACGCTTAGCCGCCTTTAATGAGGTGGAGAATAATGAAGTACCCAAGAATGACTCCCGTAGGATTGACAACGACGCTGAGCTTAGTTAAATAGGGGGTCAACAGAGAAGCCATCACCATCGGTCTCTTGAACGGAATAATACCAGGCTCCGTGCAGGTACCTCTGGTTGTGCTGGTGACAAGACTGAAGACGTCACTTATTTCAATCTGTAGATGCAAGATCTGAGAACTAGGGTCAAAGACGTCATGCAAGCAATGAAAGGGAAGGGCCAGGCCACAGTGAACGATCTGGTACAGAAGACCAACCTAGCATTTAGCCTCGCTGTTATGTTATGAGTTGTCCTCTACCTAGCAAATTTAATATGCCAACTCTTGAGAGCTTCGATGGGACGCGGGACCCTCTCGATCATTTGGAGACCTACAAAGCTCTTATGTATTTGCAAGTCGTACCGGATGAGATTATGTACAGGGCTTTCCCTACCACACTAAAAGGTTAGGCTCGTCCTTGGTTCAATAAATTAAAGCCAGGCTCCATTGAAATCTTTAATAAGTTGAGCAAACAATTCATTGGACACTTCATCGCTGGGCAGAGGCATAGGAGACAGTAACACACTTGTTGAATGTGAAACAGCAGAAGGGAAAGCCTCTCCGTGGTTACATAAGTCGTTTTAACGCTGATATGTTGCAGGTAGAAGAGGTGGACGACAAGGTTGCCCTCACAGCCTTTATGGGAGGACTACAGACTTCTAAGTTCCTATTTTCCTTATCAAAATAAGCCCCTACAAGCATGACAGAGTTGAATGTTAGAGCATGGAAGCACATGAACGCTGAGGATGCTATGAATGCACGAAAAAACAAAGATGGTGAAGATAAGAGGTCGGAGAAGAAGAGGCCAACACCTAACACTAGGGAGGAAAAGGAATCGAAGTACAAGAAATTCTCAAACAACCAGGTTGACAGATCGTCTCGCCGCCCAGTCAGCCCAGGCAGGTATAATAATTATACCCCCTAAATACATCTGTAGATCAAGTCTTTCTGCAGATTCAAGATGATGCATCATTGAAATGGCCGCCAAAGCTAAAAGCTGATCCAACAAAGAGGTCTCTAGGTAAATACTGTAGGTTTCACCGGGACCATGGACATAACACAGAAGATTGTTTCGACCTCAAAAACCAGATCGAGAACCTTGTTCGTAAAGGTCATTTACGCAAATTCACAACTGGAAATGGAAAAGGAGGCTCCAACCCAGCCCGGGAGGGCCGAGATGATCGCCCTCCTCAACACCAACTAATGGGTGAGATCAAAGTTATATCGGGTGGCTTCGCTGGTGGTGGTGAGACGAGTTCGGCTCGGAGGGCTCATGCTAGGAGTATTCGGAGTTTTTCAGAGGTGAATGAAGTTGGAATGACAAGTCCTCCAACAAAATTACCTCGAGTTGAGGAGCCGGTCATAACCTTTTCTGAAGAAGATGACAAGGGAATTCACCAGCCCCATGATGACCCCCTGGGCATACGAGAAATTGAAAATTGGCCGAGAGAAGCTCTGACCCATGAAATCACCACTGGTGGGATTTTCAGGCGATAAAGTACATCCACTGGGGGCAGTTACCCTTCCAGTTACTGCAGGAGCCAATCTAAAGCAGGTCACTGTAATGGTGGACTTTGTAGTGGTGGACTGCCCATCATCATACAATATTATCCTGGGAAGGACAACATTGAATGCCATGAAAGCAATCACGTCCACTTACCATCTCCTGATGCGCTTCCCAACTGAATATGGTATGGGAGAGCTAAGAAGGGACCAAACAATGGCTCGCGAATGTTATGTCGCCTCTCTTAGAAAAACAAAATCGTAAGAGGCATTTACAATTGAAGGGCTGGAAGGGAAAGATAGACCAGACTTTCATAGAGCGGAACCTACAGAGGAGCTAGAAGAGGTCATCCTTGGTGACGGTGAGCCCGAGAAAAAAGTGAGTATAGGGTCTTTACTCCCCCCAGGTATCAAAGATAAACTTACTCAATTCCTCAGGAAGAATCGAGACGTATTTACATGGGTCCATGAAGACATGCCGGGTATAGACCCCACTATCATAGAGCACCACTTAAATGTAAACCCTGACTTTAAACCTGTCAGACAAAAGATGAGGACTTTCGTTCCAGAAAGGAATCAGGCTATATCAGAAGAGGTGGAAAAGCTCTTAAAAGTCGACTTTATTCAAGAGGTGTACTACCCCGACTGGCTGAAAAATGTGGTCTTAGTGAAGAAGGCAAATGGAAAGTGGAGGCTATGTGTGGATTCCACCGACCTTAACAAAGCTTGCCCGAATGACAGCTTTCCTCTCCCAAGAATCGATATGCTCGTTGAGGGAACGGCTGGACACGAACTATTAAGTTTCATGGATGCATATTCTGGATACAACCAGATATCTATGTACACCTCAGATAGAGAAAAAATGGCCTTCATCACTGATAGAGGTTTGTATTGTTACAAAGTAATGCCGTTTAGGCTCAAGAACGCTGGTGCAACATACCAAAGGCTAGTGAATGCAATGTTTAAGCATCAAATTGGTAGAAACATGGAGGTATATGTTGATGACATGTTGGTGAAAAGCTTAAAAGCTAAAGACCATTTGACTGACCTGCAGGAGACCTTCGAGGTACTTAGGAGGCATAAGATGAAACTCAACCCCAGCAAGTGTGCCTTTAGGGTTTCCTCAGTAACGTTCTTGGGATATGTGGTAAGCAGAAGAGGAATTGAGGCTAATCCAGAGAAGATCCGAGCAGTCATTGACATGAGATCAACAAGATCAACCAAGGATCTACAATGACTAACAGGGAAGATTGCTGCCTTGAGTAGGCTAATCTCTCGGTCAACTGACATGTGTCTACCTTTCTTTCGTGTGCTAAGGAATACGTTTGAATGGACCCCAGAGTGTGAGCAGGCGTTCAAAGAACTAAAGCAATACCTTAGTTCTCCCCCACTATTGTCTCGAACCATACCGGGAGAGGAACTATACATATACCTTGCAGTCTCCACGACAGCTGTCAGTTCAGCTCTGATGCGAGAAGAAGAAGGGGTCCAAAGGCCAGTATACTTCGTGAGCAGAGCACTTAGGGGTGCGGAGGAAAGATATCCAAGGATGGAACAGTTGGCCTTTGTTTTAATTGTGTCTGCCAGGAAACTGAGACCATACTTTCAAGCGCATACGATAGTGGTCCTAATAGATCAACCCCTTCGACAGGTCCTACACAAGCCAGAAAGCTCTGGTCGACTGATGAAGTGGTTAGTAGAGTTAGAAGAGTTCGACATTCAGTATAAGCCAAGAACAGCAGTAAAGGCTCAGGTGTTGGCTAATTTCTTAGCTGAGTTTACCCCTCCAGAAGAGGAGAAACAACCCCAATTTTCGACAGAACCAGGTTTAAGTGAGCAGATGGGCCCAGAAGTAGTCTGGGACTTGTTCATGGATGGGTCATCTAATGTTCAGGTTAGCAGAGCCAGGCTTGTTCTTGTCTCCCCAGAGGGAGAAAGTATACAGTACGCACTTCGGTTTGGTTTCAACGCAACCAACAACAAAGTAGAGTACGAAGCCTTGATAGCAGGATTAAAAGTGGCAAATGCCCTAGGGGTTGAGCAATTACACCAACTCCAAGCTGGTCGCTGGACAAGTTCAAGCGGAATATGAGGCACGAGACGAGAAGATGAAGAGTTACCTACAAAAGGTGAAGGAATTAAAGAATCACTTCCAAAGATTCTCAATTTATCAAATACCACGAGAAGAGAATGGGAAAGCAGACGCTTTAGCCCGGCTAGCTACTGCATTGAACCTGAGATCAATAAGAATATACCAATGGAATATTTGGACGAACCATCTATATCTCAGGAGAGACAAATTGAAGTGCAACAAGCGATATTGAATGTGGAATGGACAGATCCTATCATCAGATATATCAAGGATGGGGTGCTACCAACAGACCGAGCAGAAGCTCGAAAGGTCAAGATGTGGGCAGCTAGGTATATGCTTATCAAAGGGGTGCTCAACAAGAGAAGCTTCTCCATTCCGTATTTACGATGCGTTTCTAGCGAGGAAGCTGACTACATTTTAAGGGAGATCCACTTAGGAGTTTGTAGAAACCATGCTGAGGGTAGGTCACTTACTAACAAGGCCATCCGACTAGGATACTATTGGCCCACCATGCAGAAAGATGTACTTGACTTTGTTCAAAAGTGCGACAAGTGTCAACGATTTGCCAACATCCCGAGACAACCGTCAGAGGAGATGGCTCCCATGTCAAGACCATACCTCTTTCCCCCTTAAAAGAATGAAGGGTCAGCTTCATCTTCTTCCTTCGATAAAAAGATAAAGGGTTAACTACTTCCCTTGTTAAAGGGTGAGCTGAGTGAAGCTCATATTAATCTATTTCCCCTGTTAAAGGGTGACCTGGGTGAAGCTCGTATTAATCTACTTCCCTTGTTAAAGGGTGAAATAAGTGAAACTCATAGTAATCTACTTCCCTCGTAAAAAGATGAGGGGTTAACTACTTCCCTTGTTAAAGGGTGAGCTGAGTGAAGCTCATAGTAATCTACTTCCCTCGTAAAAAGATGAGGGGTTAACTACTTTCCTTGTTAAAGGGTGAGCTGAGTGAAGCTCATAGTAATCTACTTCCCCTGTTAAAGGGTGACCTGGGTGAAGTTCGTATTAATCTACTTCCCCTGTTAAAGGGTGACCTGGGTGAAGCTCGTATTAATCTACTTCCCTTGTTAAAGGGTGAGATGAGTGAAACTCATAGTAATCTACTTCCCTCGTTAAAAGGTGAGCTGGGTGAAGCTCATAGTAATTTACTTCCCCTGTTAAAGGGCGAGTTGAGTGAAGCTCGTATTCATCTACTTACCTTATTACGAGTTACGTGAAACTCGTCTTAATCTACTTTCCTTATTAAAGGGACGAGCCGACTAAAGATGTCAATAAAATCAAGTATAAAATAACGGTAGCATGCCAGCAGGGCAGCTTGCCAAATAATGGGAGCATGCCAGCAGGGCAGCTTGCCAAATAAAGGCAGCATACCAGCAGAACAGCTTGCCAAATAACGGCAGCATGCCAGTAGGACAGCTTACCAAATAAAAGCAATATGCCAGCAGGGCAGCTTGCCAAATAAAGGCAGCATGCCAGTAGAGCAGCTTGCCAAATAACGGCAGCATGCCAGTAGGACAGCTTACCAAATAAAGGCAGTATGCCAGCAGGGCAGCTTGCCAAATAAATGCAGCATGCCAGCAGAGCAGCTTGCCAAATAACGGCAGCATGCCAGTAGGACAGCTTACCAAATAAAGGCAGCATGCCAGTAGGGCAGCTTGCCAAATAAAGGCAGCATGCCAGCAGGGCAGCTTGCCAAATAACGGCAGCATGCTAGCATAACAGCTTGCCAAATAAAGGCAGCATGCCAACAGGGCAACTTGCCAAATAAAAGCAGCATGCCTGCCAGGGCAACTTGACAAATAACGGCAGCATGCCAGCAGGACAACTTGCCATGGCAGCATGGCATGGCAGCTTGCCACATAACGGTAGACTACCAGCATGGCAGTTTGCCACATATACGAGCTGCCAATGTGGCACTACGACAAATATACAAGCTTGCCAATATACGAACTTGCCACATATACGAGCTGCCAATGTGATACTATGACCCTCGACTGTATTCGCGAAATGACAATATAAGTTAGGCTAATGGACCAGGCTCTGCAATTCTAACTATATATTATTGTGTGATATTTTGGAATTAATGTTTCGGTAGTTTGACAAGCAATCATCCAAAACGGGGGGCAACTGATGGATATATAATTTAAATATCCATAATTAAGGGAAGATTACTAAATTAACGCACTATTGAGATAGGCTCTGCAGATTACGATAAGGATTACAGATTGAGATAGGCTTTACATATTACAATAAGGATTAAAGATTGTGATAAGGATTAAAGATTATGATGAGGATTAAGTCTACAGATTACAATAAGGTAATTCTACGTGACATCTTAACCTAAGCCCTATAAAAAAGGCGGGGGAATCAACGTTTTGAGGTACGCAATAAACCCTAACTCAATTTCTCGATTTCTACAGGGAGATTATCATTCACACTGACTTGTTCGTCGGAGCCTACTCCAACGGTAACACACCGGTGTTCGTAGGATCACTTTTTCTTCTCTTTATTCAGGAAGTCAGATCAGATACAGGTTGCGCAGAATCCATCATCAACAATTTGTGCAACACATTGTAACCTATCCAGACCAACTTAGATGTGAACAAATTTTTTCTTACATTGTTTTTTCTAAATAAAGTAATCAAACTTTTTTTTAGCCCATTAATTTAATTAGGTTCAATTGTTCTATTTAACATTGAGGTTGAAGATAATGTCATGATTGTCCTGTTTGTGTAAGAGAGGGCGTTGGAGTGCTTATGTGAGATTATTGGATTGAGAGGCATAGCTGTGAGAGAGAGAGAGAGAGAGAGAGAGAGAGAGAAGTGCAAGATATTGCCTAGAGGCGATAGGTTTAAATATTGTAAATATATATAAGAAATCACAATTATATTTTTTAAAGTGTGTGTGTGTATATATATATATATATATATATATATATATATATAGAATTAGAGTGGTCATCCTGTGCATAGCATATACTACACCTTAAATATATAATATATTTTTGTGTAAACAAGTGTGTTTATGAGACTAACAAGTGTATCTTAATATATTTCAAATTCGGCTTATTTATTAAATGAATTTTAAAAAATGAGCTTGAATTTAATTTATTTTATTAAACAACAATTTTGAGGCAAACGAATTTAACCTGAATCGTTAGACAACGATTCCAAGCCAAGCCTCTAATGCACCAAGCCTGACTGGTTCAGTTGATTTGGGGCCCTAATTTATATTAGAATAAATTATAATGTTCTAATTTGAGATTTGAAAAAGTTACACATAGGTAGTTCAACACACTCGTGCCATTAATGACAATTCAAAACATAAATAAATCATCATTTTTTTATGTTAAAAGATCTCCTTAACCTTATATTTTTACATAAAATTATAAAAATATCATTAAAAAATACAAAGTATCAATTTTCATACCAAATTTTTTCCATTAAATTTTACAAAAACAATCATTACTATTTTTTGGTTAATAACATTTGATTAGATTATTTTTTTTCAAAAAAATAATATTAGGTAGGGTAATATAAAGTTTATAAGAAGGGGGAAAAGGGTAATAGAGTCTTTTGATTTAATTTTTTTTTTATTTATTAAATTACAAAAGGGTATAAGAGATATTAAACACTTTTAAGGGAGGTCTTGCCCTTGATATTACGTACATATTTGATTTTGGATTGAAGAGCGCTCTCTATTGGTGATTTTCTGCATCTCTCTCCAGAATTATCTTCTCCTCTTTCTTGTCAAAAAACTCACCTAAGTTCTCACTTCACTGTTATTTGACCCCCTCTCTTTCGTTGGTTTGTTCTTGGTGATGTTTGCATTCTCGATCACAAGAACTGAACTCTCCCGCAAAGTTTCATACGAGATGGTATCTCTCTCTCTCTCTCTCTCTCTCTTATTGTCTTCTTGGCACTTTCTAATTATCGTTTCCGTTATTCAATTCGAAATGTTCTGTTATAATCATATGGACATTGTTCTGGTTTTCTTGACCAATTTATGGAACATTTTATTGATACCTGGTTCTGGTGTTCTTCTCTCCTTTCATTTCCTTTATTGAATTTGCAAATTAAAAATTTTCATTTTGCTCTGAGTCCTATTTTGACCTAATGCTGAATCAGTGGCCACATTTTAATACTATAAAAAGTTTTATTAAACAATACATAACAGTTATATGTATATATGTATGTTGATCTGAATTTTTCTGAATTAGGGAATACAGAATACTTTAAAGAAATTAAACTTATCGAATTTTTATTAAATCAGCTGAATTTTTTTTTTTGTTGTTGTCATCTAAGTTTCTTATATACGTCTCTAGTAGTGTTGATATTGGTTGATTCTAAGCAACTTTACTTCGATTTTCATCCACATTAAGAAACTTCTTCTGTTTTTTTGAGTTATAAATTTTGGAGATCCCATCTTGGATTATTTTACATCCTTTTCCCCATGTAATTATTCTTCTGTCAGATTTATGGGTGTTGAAGTTTTCCTTCACTTAAAACTATACATTCGATATTATACACACACACACACACACACACACACACACACACGAATTACGAGGATGCTGAGTTTGGTTTCTTGATTTTACTATTGCATATCATAGGTTGATGAATTTAGATTTGTTGTTTAATTTCAATCACAGAACATTGAGGGAGGCATAAAAGCAGTCCATTTTGTTTTCCACATACTCTTTACCATTTAAAATGGAGCAATAAAAAAGAATATTGAAAAAACCCTAGAACCTCAACCAATGATGGTAAAGGAAAAGAAATAATACCATGATCATGCATGATATATACAATAGCTATACGTATTTTAAGTAGTTATAAAGAAGACAAACAGACATGTTTAATAATATTAAACTTTCAAAGGATTTATTGTAATTGCTCTGTAAAACACAGTACACTGACTAGATATTCTAGTGACATATAAATTCATGCCCCATGATTCTACTCCAAATTTTATATTATTATGCAGTGTTTGGTAGCAGATTAATGTTGTTTAACAAAGATAAATGGTGTTTTGCTAGGCAAGTGGAAGCAAGGGATTTCTTACCTGAGGAAAAATATAGAAAAGGCTTCCAAGGATGGAATCTGTGGCAGGTCCTGATGTTGGGAATGTGAAATCTACAAAGATGAAAGCTCCTGTATCACGTGGGACGAGAATAAGTAGTGAGGCAAATTCATTTTCTCGGTCACGTGGTGCTATATTTGGAAAAGGTTCTCCTTCAAAGTGCAAAACAACTGATTTAGAATGGATAGATAAAATGACTGAGTGTCCTGTGTATCGTCCATCAAAGGGGGACTTTGAGGATCCTCTAGTTTACCTGAGAAATATTGCTCCAGAAGCTTCAAAATATGGTATAACAATAGTTCAAGTTTTTCTTGTCATTGTGCCATGTAATAGAGTGAAAAGTTAGCCCTGAATATTTGCCTTGACTCAGAGTTAATTGTGTTCTTGACGGAACTCATCTTAAACTGAAGAATGTATAGGATTTCAGTAGGTGAGCTTATCCTATTTTATCAGGTGTGATCGTTGCGCTTTTACTTTTAAATATAAAAATTATGGTTTTATATGATATTCAAAGTATAGCCATCTATTTTTATTCTTATTGCTCTGCCAGATATTTAATACTGTTTTCGAAGTCACATTCGGTACTGTCAGACACACCATTATTATGTTGTAGAGTGTGGTGTTTCTTATTATTTTCATTGGGTTAAAAAGTTAAATTGCTGAATTTCAGGAATTTGCAAGATTGTTTCTCCTCTGATTTCTTCAGTTCCAGCCGGCGTAGTGCTAAAAAATGATACAAAAGGTCTTAGGTTTGCAAGTACAGTGCAACCTCTTCGGCTTGGTGAATGGGATATGGTTGACAAAGCCATTTCCTTCACGAGAGGAAGGTAAGTTCCAGAAAACATAACTAAGGTTTCTTGTCTTGCTTTGAGAAAAAAATCACTTCGATTTTGGCTTATATAAAGAGGAAAGTCTATGGCGGAATGTTAGTCATTTTGGCTGTTTATAGTTGTTTAGCATCACAGCTGCTTTTCAGAAATTGAACTCTCCATGATTTTGATGTTATGTCTTATCTTTCAGAAAGTACACCTTACAGGATTTTGACAAGATGGCAAACAAGGTATTTGCTGGTAAATATTTTATCTCTGGATGTCTTCCTTCTGCATACTTGGAAAGAGAATTTTGGAACGAAATTGCCCATGGTAAGAAAGGAACAGTTGAGTATGGAGCTAATGTGGACGGCAGTGCATTTTCAAGTCATCCTCATGATCAACTTGGAAGAAGCAAATGGAACTTGAAGGTTTTAATACCACCATTTTTCCTCCTCCTTTTTTGAGTGTTTCTGATAAAAGCCTTTCTTATACATTCTGCTTCCAAACCTCTTCCCTCTTTTTGTGCCGCTCGTCTCTCTCTCTCTCTCTCTCCCATGCCAATTAGCTTTACATGTATCTGCATGTGTTGGAATGTGCTGTTGACTGTTTTCCATATTTTCATGTACAATTTTAGCTGCTTTGTGGCTTCAATTGATTATCAGGATCCGATAGTACATCTCTGTGACTGCATCTGCATACTCTCTCTCTCTCTGTCTTTTATTTCTTTCTATTATCTTATTTGTTTTCTCTTTGTTGCTTTAATATCAGAAACTTCCACGGCTGCCCAAATTTACATTGCGTTTGCTGGAAACTGCAATTCCGGTAACGCAACAATTACAAAGCCCTTAGTGCAAAGATTCTCAATTTATATTTAAACCTTATGGTATGAGCTTAGCCATAACTCCTGTTTGTTCCAGGGAATAACAGATCCCATGCTTTACATTGGAATGCTATTTAGTATGTTTCCATGGCATGTGGAAGATCATTACTTGTACAGGTATATTTTGTTTTATTAACATTTTTATCTTATTTTATAGCTCTAAACTGTTTTTCATGTATTTTTTAATTATTCCTCTTTCAGCATTAATTACCACCACTGTGGTGCACCCAAAACATGGTATGGAGTTCCTGGTCATGCTGCTCCCGAATTTGAGAAAGTTGTACAACATTATGTTTATAGTGATGATATCCTATCAATTGATGGAGAAGATGGAGTTTTCGACATGCTTGTGGAGAAAACAACGATGTTTCCTCCGAATATTTTGCTACAACATGACGTCCCTGTTTATAGAGCTGTGCAAATGCCAGGGGAATTTATAATCACCTTTCCCAGATCATATCATGCAGGATTTAGTCATGGTAAAACATTTAATGTCCCTCTCTCAACATGCATGAACACAGAGACACACACAAAAGCGTATGTACTTATATTACCCATTTCTTCTTGTGCATCTTCAGGCTTTAACTGTGGTGAGGCAGTTAACTTTGCAATTGGTGACTGGTTTTCATTTGGGGCAGCTGCTGCCAAGCGTTATGCGCTTCTTGAAAGGATGCCAATTGTTCCTTATGAAGAGCTTGTTTGTAAAGAAGCAATGCTTCTTTCAAATTCTTTGAATCGTGCAGATTATTGCTTTGCAGATCCAATCTCTCTCGATTGTGTAAAGGTTTCTTTTGCATGCCTGATACGGTTGCATCATTGTGCCCATTGGTGTCTACAGAAATTAGGAGCATCTCCGAGTGTTTCACCAGATTCTCAAGGAACCATTTTTTGTAGCCTCTGCAAACGGGACTGCTACGTGGCACACATCACGTGCAACTGCTATATCAATCCCATTTGCCTTTTCCATGGTAGCAGATCGTTGTTCACTGCTATACTCTCACTTTTGCTGAATTTGGCATTGTTTTTGCAACATAATGTTCTTTCAGTTTGTTTAGTTCCAATTGGTGCTTTTGTTTTTCATTGCATTTCAATATCTTGTGAACACTTTAAATTGTATCATGTAAGGATTTCAATGAGCATTTTATCAGTAATCCATCTAAAGCAATAAACTTGGGTGTTAAATTCTATGTAACTCCAATGCAGTTATTTCTCACTCTTCATACTTATAATTAGTTGCTATTTCTTCTGATCTCAAATGCGCATCACAGTGGTAGAGTCCTGCAACTGCCCATGTGGGAACAAGCGTTTTCTTTTCCTTAGAGCAGATGTATCCGAAATGGAAGCTTTAGCAAAAGAATTTGAGCAGGAGGAAGGAATATTACAGAAGGTTCAGCAACAAGTAAAATGTGACACTGACGTGTGGATGTGGAAGATGATCCCTCGCACGAATGAGGAATACAGCCCCTATTGTGAGGTAAATTTGCATTGACCCTGAATATAATATAAATCTCATTCTGGTATGCCAACCAGTTAATTTTACCCATGTTATTTTCCAGGGGCTAGCCAACAAATACTAGCTTTGAGCTTTCGAAAGCTAGAACCTGTGTAGTTCTTATATTGTTTAAAATTCTGTATTATTTAACATTCTGATATATATCAATGGAGGTGAAGTACTCTATCTGAATTTCTCGGCTAGTCTAAATACATATTTATCAATATGGTATATTTCAGAATTGTGACTATTAAAGCAATTAGGATTGATCATGTAGATAGTAGATTTTCTGTCAAAGCAAATAAGAAAAACTTTGAAGAATGTCACCACTCCAAAGCTCTGAGAACAGTAGATAGGTGAAGTAATGCTTTAATTGGTTTACGTTGTATATGCTATTACTCTTCACCAATGTAGATACTGAACTCCATTTTTTTTTTTTTTTTTTGGTAATTGTCATTGTAATTGGATTCAGAAAATAAATTTGCATATGTTTATTTTAAATGTTTAGGAAGTGCTTGTTTTTAAATTGGATTGATGCACCTTTCATCCTGCTCTCAGTGTCCTCTCCTTTCTAGATCTCTTCTTTGTAGATTTGATGCTTATTCTGTGGAACTTGATCCACATTTTGAGATCTTTTTATTACCACCCCAGAAACACGTTATAGGGAATACACTTAATAGATAACATTTTTCCTACATAAACACCACCTAATATCATTGTGAAAAATCAAAATATGTAGCAGATGATTATTGGGCAACAGCAGATGATTCAGTGCATACTATTTGATGGATATGTGTATGCTTCTACGATTTAGAGCTGACTATATTTTGGGTTGACTAAATATTGTTCAATTACTTCCCTTAAATACAGACAAATTGAAGTTTAACTAATTTGCTTCTCGTGTTATACAGACTTCTGTTCAGCATCTTGACAGACTGAACGAGCTTGACTGTGAAGGAAGATGTAGTGTAGAAACTACTGCATGCGAAGATGATAACGATGACATGAGAAGTTGTCTCATAAAAAAAAATGTCCAGGCTGATGTTATAACAGCTATGAAGAGTGGGGCAAAATGTGGTAAAGTGAAAGGGCCATCATTTTCTGAGGTTAAAAAGCGAGCTAGATCAAGTCGTAGACCACAGAAGATGGAAACTAATTCCATCAAGAGATAAATGAAGCGGTATTAATTCTGAAAGAAGCAAAAGCATTTAACTAGCTGACTACAAAAATACTGAAAGGTTGAGATCTATGGGGTTGGGGGGCACTTTCTTTTGTTCTTCTAAACTTTTTCTTTCGTCCTGAAATGTTAGAAATCACAGTTATAAGAGGGTTCCCTTAATAGATTTGCTACAGTAGTTGATTCTTACCATCTCTAGGATAGCCTGTTGCTTCAATTTCTATATTCTTCGTTCTTCTGTAGCAACCAAAGATTGCATCTTTTGTATAGCATTACATAGAGAATATTGTACAACAATGCTTTCATTAAAAAAGAGCTGTGTCATTCTGTGGTTTAAAGGTGAGACCATTTCTTCATGACAACTAACACACCCAAAAAAAAAGGAAAATTAAAACTGTGATTCTCGTCGATTATTGATGAAAATTTGTTTTTCATGGTACTTATATTTTTTATTACAAGAGATACATGCTTGGCTTGACAATGATATGGATACAACAGGAGAAAACTTTCCAATCCGAAGCAACATTACCTAGCACTTATGCAGCAGTTCTTGTAGTACTGATGGGATTTGCCGTGCCAATTAGTGCAATGAACTCAACTGCTACACTAAGAGCATTCATAGCTGCCAAAGAAGTCACACTCTCTGATGAAGATATCGCGCTTGCCCCAGCCAAATCCGATATGGCACGAAACACAGCACAAGGCACTCCATTTGTTAGACATGTCTGCATCAAGTAGTCACCACTATGAATGTCATGTATACATCAGAACAGGAAATTATTCCCAAGTTTTAATTGTACTAACCATTACAATTGCAGAACTCTCCTCATCCACAGTTGAGATGTTGAATTCGTTGAAAAGAAACTCTCTGTATGCTGCATTTTTAAGGTATATATCCGCCGTAGAGCCTCTCAACCCGGAAACAACTTTTGGTGTTTCTGGTAGGCAATATGTCTCATTGACACATTGTTGTAACTTCAAATCCTGTAAATGGATGTACATATATATATATATATATATATACACACATAATATTAATATACACAAAATGGATGTATATAAAACAATTAATGCAAGATTTGTTACAGAGATCTCAGACAAAATTGACATACCACAAGTTGAGAAGCCACAGTGAACCATTCTTGATCAACTGGAAGCCAAAAGAGCTCTTCCATTGGTTGTCCAATGGAGTATAATTCCTCTGCTGTGAACTCAATCTTTGCCAACAAATTATCTCCCTTTGTTGGGAAATTGTAAGCCCCAAATTTTAGTTCTGTTAAATCCCCCTTTTCTGACTGATGGTTCTGTGCAACACAAACATACAATATAGGCCTAATTTATGACATTATTTATATACCAAAATAAAAATTTTAAAATCAAACTGGGAAGCATTATATTTGTTACTACAATAAATGCAATTATTCATTGTTGTCCTGGTAATAAGAGGTAATGTAAATTATCTATTGTGGGTGTGTATGCGTTTACTTTAACTTTTAAGAAAATAAAAATAAAAATAAAAATGCGGGAAACATTATACTTTTTACACTACACATTTCTCACTTCTATAATACAAATAACATTTAAATGAGTTGTTTTGGGTAGGCAACATACATGGTAAGCATAATTATATATATATATATATATATATATATATATATACAGATTATATTGCATATATGAACATAATAATGAATCATATTTGTATTGGATCCAAGTTTTATGTAACAGTACCTTCCATTTCCAAGAACCTGTGAAGGCAACATATTTGAGGATAGCAACACTGCCAATGGACAGTGAGTCGTTAGCACTACCAGCAATCCCATAATGAACGATTCCTCGAATATTGAAGACATCAACAAGGATTTGCACTGTAATACCTGCATTTAGCTAAGTAATATGTATACCAATGTCAAAAACACACACACCTAATTTTAAAATAGTAGCATAATGAAATTCAGGTTACAAAGAGGAATTGAAACAGATTAATAATTATTATAAAGAGCGAAAGAAATAAAAAAATATATAGATTTACCGTTTGCTCCCCAGCCATTACATAAATTACATCTACACCCCCAATACTCCCAATGTTGAATCTCCTCCCTGATCAGTAAATCAATCAATTCATCAATCAATATAGCAAATACAATAATCATTCTTAATAGTCTACTCTATCAGTCCCAATAATACTTAGTTACTGCACTCCCAAACAACTTTTCATTGATAGGTATAATTGAGTGTTCCAGTCCAACTAGCATTTATTAAACTTTTAAAAATATATAATAAATCAATAAAATATTTCATTAATCAATGTTAAAATTCGGTGGTATTTTCCCTCAAAGTAAAAGATTGAGGATAATCGGACATGAGGTTTTCAAATTCACTAAGTGAGTGTGCTAAAAGGAAAAAAAAGTAAAAAATCAAAATTATATAATTGTATTTTTATAAGGGAGTGTTTGACGGTATGGAATTGAAGTTTTGGAATTGGTAAAATTGAAGAAAATTTTGGTTTAATTGTTTTTCTCAAATTTCACAAATTCTAATTCAAAGACTTCAATTCCATGCAATCGAAAGCAACCTAAGAAAAATTCAAAAACTAAGGATTTGTGGCCCATGTGATTGTTTCTCTGGATAAGTGACCGCATTGGCATTTGTGTCATTGCTCAAACCTAACATAAAAGGTCTTTGCCCTAGAGTGCTTTATTTTAGTGGTCCATATCAATATCATCATCTAATCAGCTGGTTATACTACATCACTAATACAATACAATCGGTGGTGCAATAAAAAAAAATTCCAACTAGTTAATGATAGTGATACCATATCACTAATACAACTTATGCAATAAAGCTTTTTTCCTCGTGGGAGGTTGAGAGTTCAAATATGTTAATAGTATTCTTGTTACAAAATAGTTGTGACACTCTCAAAATTGTGACTCAATAGTGCCTAACTATTTTAGGATGGAAAGAGTATAAAATACAAAATCTGTGAATAATATAAAAAAAACTAGACCCAGTTGGTCCCACCAAAGTGCAACAAAGAAAGGGTCCTGTTCTATTAAGAAATCATTGCACTAAAGAAAAAAATAATCAATGAAAAAAAAAGAGAAAATAATAATAATAATAATAAGAGAGAGAACATGCCAGCCAAGTCAAGCCAAGGGACATCGGATCTGGGAAGGAAGAGAGCAGAGGATTGGAGTACATTGAGCTCAGTAGAGAAAGCCATTACAAGGCCTATATACGCATTCTCGTTCACTCTGTCAACCAACCCATGTAGAGGATGATTTGACCGTAGCTGCATCGACTGCTTTACATTACTCATCCCTAATAATACAAGCAAAGTCACCATCACTTCCAGATCAACGGCCCTGATCGGCCTCAGCTTCCACCCATCACTTGGTACTGCCATTGACCACCAACGTTCGATTAATTTACTTCCCCTTAAGTGGGGATGATCAGACGGCTGTGGGTGAGTGTGTAATTCTCCTCTCCAGCAAAGTAGGAGGAGTAGACTGACTGTTGAGTGAGGAGACGAAGCAAAACGGGAAAAATGCGATTGGTTCTATTTGATTGGGTGTGAAAGAAATGTAGTACAGTTAGTACTATTAGTTATTCAAGTGGCACACGTGGGAACAAACTCCAATAATTATGTCACAATGAAATAATTACATAATTTAAATATAATATGACCAACTAATTCATCAACTAACCGACCTTAGCTCAGTTGGTAGAGCGGAGGACTGTAGTAGGCTAAAGCTCACAGCTAATCCTTAGGTCGCTGGTTCGAATCCGGCAGGTCGGATTTTTTGGTCTTTCTTTTTTTTTTTTTTTTTAATTTTTTGTGGGTGCTCTGAGAATATTTGGTCACTTCACCTCTTTTTGTTCTTTTCACATTGATCATTCCGTTGGAATAACAAATGTGTCTCATTACTCTCTCTCTCTCTCTCTCTCTCTCTATATATATATATATCTTGCACATATGTGAAATTTTGAAAGCCCCAGTCTTCTGCCAGACAATGTAGCATCATGTTCTCTGGTTGAATCCATAAAAACAAACCCTCAACTGGAGCTGCAAACTGAGTTAAACTGCAAATTTGCCAATGCTTGAATCGAACTTAGAACTCATTAAACTTTCACTCTGCGTAAAATCAACTCCTCACTGTCTCTCGCCTGACAAGTCCTTGTAGAGTGTAGAACTCAAATTCATCAACTACATTCACGGGAGCCAAAGACTGACAAATATTGAAGCGTAAAGAAACCACTGCAACATAACAAGATACCAAGTGCAAAATTGAAAATAAATTGCCCCCTTTTGATTCATTTATGCATTTGGAAGTACAATTCCATCATCAATAATGAGTCCATACAGAAATTTTTCATCATCATCATCGTCACAAACATAGTAAAAGTGATTTAACGGCTCTTCTCCTTTCACGAGAGTGGATTTTGTAATGCTCAAGGCAAAACTGAGACACCAAAGAATCTCTACCATTTAAGGCCAGATGGGCAAGGTAAAACGCCAGCATGAATGAAGCAACCACACTACAAAAGCTTCAATCCACCTGTTACATCGTCAACCATGTCTGCAGGACCTGCAAATTCATGAGCAATATAACTATTTCAATGGAACTATGGGCAAGAGAAAAATAATAATAATAGTAAATAATGACAGAAATGTGTGCGAATGAGAGTGAGATATGCATAGGAAAAACTTCAACTCTCCTACAAAACGAGTTATCAAGTCATAATTCCTATGTCTTATTAAAAATATAAAAAGTTCCTATCCCATTCATGGTGCTAAAAGAACCAATAAAAGCCCATACTAAGGCAGTAGGCAGGTACAGAAGAGATAAACTTACCAATAACAGCCATTACTGTCCTTGAATCTGAAGAATACAGAAGAATTAGATACATTGTTAGATAATAAGAAGCTAAAAAAAAATAAATTTTGGGTACAAATGTCAACTGAATAGGACTTGAAATACAAAGGCAAGGCAACACATTTATCACAATTAGAAATTTCGTTGCATGTACTTGTTATTACCTAAACGAATAATTGCCACGATCACCAATAGCTGGCAGAAAGCATATTACCTAGGACTAGTAGTGTAAAGCAGGGAAAATATGCTTCGGAAGCTTCCAACAAAGTACACAAGAAAAAATAAAATTGCACCATCTACGCTTAGTAGTTCTTATTTCTTAATCTTCAGGGCTTCAGGCCTTTTCCTCTCAGAACATGTGTAAAGAAAAAATTATAACCACACTCACTTTTTTGATCAGATTATTAAAATTATGGAAACCAGGAATTCTTTCAATAGGAATTATAATCACTGTTAGGATTAAATTTTTAAATCATTTCATAAATAAAAGATACCATAATTTTACTGCGATAACATCACTTGTAAGATTAGCTTCCTGTGCTCCTTCTGAGGCTTCAATGTATCAAATTTGGACATTTAAATGGAACAGATCTGATCAGAATCCCATCCCAAAACCAATCTGATTATCCAGATCTGGTAAATGAATGACTTGATGACGATCAGAATCTGACAGATCCGATAACCAATTTGACGAACATGGACTAGGACTAATCCGGTCCAATTATTAACTATGATATGTTTCAATCATGCGATCTTCATTAGTCTTGACTCTTGTAAATGAATGATGCTAGAATATTATCTTGCGAGCAAAACAAACAGATAGGGCGACAGTGTGAAACAGTTTTTCATGGACAGAGAGAGAGAGAGATGAAGCCATGTTGAGTACTTTGCATGACAATTAAGAGCCGATATGGTGATGGATGCAGATGGTGTCAATGCCCTCAAGATCACTGGTAAGGATCCAATTGCTGTTGGAAACACGCTCGTCAATGCCTACTTCATTAGTGTCAAAGGCGATTTGAATTTTGAACTCAACATCAGTCCTATTTCTAGGGGTTTGGTTTGTAAAAATTGTCCCCTGTGCTCGTTTTCTTTCAACAAAATCTATGCTTTATATGTATGTTTGAATATCATCATCCTCATCATCCTTTATATATATGTTTGAATATGGAATATGTATATGTGAAATCTCTTTTCTCACAAAATAGAGGAGAAGAATAATTAAAGAAGAAAACAAAAATAGATTCCCACGTCACAATGTTTATGGCCTTAACTACATTCCAAATAATCTTGGAACTTCTAATCCACTGTGGATGCAAAAATCAATCATCCACTAAATCAGCGTAAAACAAAAAAGTTATAACCAATGGAAACAATTTGCAACTTACTTGGTGCAATTTGTGTTCTTCCTGCATCAATTGTGATATGGGTTGGTATGTTGAGTGATTTTGCCCTTTCCTGTCAAAGAATGATTTGTAAATAGGACGATGAGGTGAGATATAATGATCAGAAAATAAAGAAACTATGATAAAACTAAAAGAAAGAAGAAACCAACAGTGCTGTAAAAGGCAAAGTAAAAGGTCCATTCATGATGCTTCACATTTCTGGGTGGTAATTTTTCAACTTTAAAAAATAAAAGGACAAAACAATATGTATGATCCATATAAGAAACAGAATATACATAGCAATGGTTCATATTGCTTTAACCAATGTCACTTTAACGTCTCCTCCAGAAAAATCAGATTTCCCTGCACCAAGCCAATGACTAAATTCTGTGACAATTAACAGCTATTATATTACCAGTGACCTTGTGTTCATGAGAGATGAAATATAACAAAGATGATTTCCAGTTTGTTTGAGATTTATGGTGATAGTAAGAAAAGAGTTACTCCACATGTCTTACTCCAACGAAAAATGAGAACATGTCTTAGTCCAAAGAAAAGTGAGAATATGTTTCAAGGAAAGAGTCTATTTTATAACAATCGTGACAAACCAGGATCATTAAAATCTTTTCTCTAATTTAAGGAAGTGTTCAGTATAACATGCTAACACATGGGGTATAGTATGGTATGTTTCTAGAAGTGCCAGCTTATCTGTTTATGTTGTAAAGCATAAAACAGAAGTGAAGAGAGAAATGAAACAAGAACACATATATTACGTGGTTCAGCCACTAGGGCCTACGTCCACGGCACAAAGCCCAAAGCAAGGTTGTTAAAATAGGGATTTTACGTAGAATCGTTTTGGGCTCCGTAGAATCGGAATCATAGAATCGGATCGTGAATCGTAAGATTCTACCAAATTGTGAAAAAAATAATTGAAACTAACTTGTTAAACAAAAAGATCTATAAAATATAACAAAAATAAGGCCAAAACACACAATATTATATATCCACGAGAAACCAACCCAAAACAAAAGGAACCAGCCCAAAAATAAAGGCCAAAAAAGTTAGGAATTTAATTTTTTAGGTTATCCTACCTCATCCGTGATTTGATGGAATGACAAAAATTTAAGGATTTAGTTGAAGTGATATTTTTTCTTTATTCACATAGTAAAAAGTTAGGAATTTAATTTTTTTAAAAGAGGAATAGTCCAAACATGTGAATTTAATTTGTTACTCATCTGTCAAATAAATAAACAAAAAGAAGACAATCAGAAAATGACTTATTGGTGTATTTTGGCTTCAAAATCATTTATACTAATGAATACTTTTACTATAATATAAAATATTTCACCAAAATTATAAAAAGGAGGGCTGTCTGTGGATCCAATCTGCTCTGAGCCCCGCCGCCTATGAAATTTTGCTACTGCTAGGGCTTTCTTTGTAGTTTGTAACTTTGTATACAATACTAAGTCTATACTTTTATATTTTATAGGATAAATATTTAACTTTGTATACTATACTTGGGCCAGGCCTATAAATATTAAAAGACACTTTGTTCTAAGTAGCCCAGAAGAAACCAACCCAAAACAAAAGGACCCAGCCCAAAAATAAAGGCCCAAACAACCAATTTTGTAGAATCGGTAGAATGGTACGATTCTATACCGATTCTACCCCCGATTCTACCAAATGAACGATTTTGTTAAGATTTGGATCGATTTTGGATTTTGAATCGTAGAATCGTGCGATTCTACGACTCAAAATCGGGATTTTGACAACCATGGCCCAAAGGGCTATATCACTTTTATAATGCTCTCTCACCCATACACAATACAATGGTGGAGGCTCCTCTATATAGGAGAAGAAATTATGACTATGGAAAGAGAGAGAAAATAGGAAACAAGGAGGATTTTTCTCCATTGATTCCTCTAATAACAGCAAATCTTCAATAATAGAAAACTATATCAATTACTCGAGGATTTTCCTCCATTGATTGCTCCATTAAATCTTCAATAGTTTCTAATGTTTTTCTTCATCCAAAGGAATATATAGAAGAGTGATAAAGGACAAAAAAGAAAGAAAGGGATGAGAATAAGAAAAGAGATGCAGCTACAAGAAAAGGGGTTCAAATAGATGAAAGAGATTAGAAAATAGCTAGAAAGATGAGGCTGGATGGATTGAGGGGTTGAGAAGACTGAGGAGCAAGAACAATGGGGGGAGAAAACACGAGAGAATTATGTGACCCAAATATTACTCAGTTATTAAAAATTAAAAAAATTAAAAATAAACTACTGCTTCATGCGGCCTTTCTAGGCAGAAAACCTAAAAATTAAAGAAATAAAATATCCAATAAATCAACATTCCTAATTAAAAAAAAAAAAAAAAAAAACTAAAATTACCCTAACAAAGTGTCCTATGCCTATGCCTGACATAGCGAAACCCCTCAAAATCTCCATCAAAGAGGTTCTTGATCTTCTATTCTTCTTCATCCTTCAAATTGCAAAATAATGAATCTGAAATAATGTTTTTTGCAATATATTTATGTTTTATAGGTTTATGTATTTGGAACATCTAAAAAGGTTAACATTGGCCCGTGCTCTTTCACATAGAACATTAGATGCAAAAACCAATGAAAGCAGATCATATATATATATAGAAGTAGAAAGGACAAATATTTCCACAAAATTTTGACCTGACACACTATGGCCCTGTTTGGGAGTTACCTGAAGCCTTAAAAAGTCTTTCTAAGTTTGAAAAGTCCATTCGAAAAAATTTGTGACTTTGGTTACACATGTAAAGGACTTTCTCAAAAAGCAAATGGCCAGGAAGCCCATTTCAGAGAAGTAAGAAAATGTTGCTTTTGAAACCTCCTTTTAAGAAGCCAAATTTTTTCTTTAAGTATAAATTTGTTATTTTACTAATTTGCCCATGTACTTTTCATAGATTGACAAGATTATCCTACATTCTCTATTGGTCCTTCATTACACCGCCACCACCACTACTGCCACCGTCACCTTTTCAACACCGTAGCCGCTACCACCACAGTCAACCACCACCCTCCACCGCCACCTTCCACCACCACTGACACCACCACCACCACCATTGCCACAGCCACCTTCCACTACCACCACCATCGCCTTCTACTACCTCTGCCACCAACCACCACCACCTTCCACCACTGCCTCCTACCATCGCCACCGCCACCGCCACTGCCACCGCCACCACCTTCCACAATTGTAACCTTCTGACCACCACCACCACCATCGTGACCTACCGCCACCTTCCAATACTGGTGCCGCTACCCTCAACCGCAACCTTCCACCACCACCACCATCACAATTGCCTTTTGTTGCCGCCACCATTGCCATTGCCTTCCACCACTGTCGTCTTCATACTTTTGTTGGAGGCTTGCAATAATTGTTTACGATAAAGTATATTATTGTCAAGAAAAAAATTATCTAAAAGTTAAAAGTAAATTTAAGAAATATGCTCACCAAATTTCTTTTTCTTATGAATTCCTTCCAACAAGATTCCTTTTACGAATGCCTTATCAATGAAGGACTTTTGATATGAGAAAGCTCCCCCAAACGGGGCCTATATCCCATATGAGAAGATATAATGTTCACTTTCAAATAATAGATGCTTGCCTGATGTTAAGTAAAAATATAAATTTGGACTAGTGTGTAAGATGACTTCTTATGTTGGAATGTGTTAGATGCTGCTATCATTGAAGAAAGTGTTTGTGGAAATACGTTAGCTATGTTCCATACTTCCACCACAATGATTTAAAACCATACTAACCTGTAAAACTAGCATATCATCCTCGCTTTCAATTTTCACAACCACTTTAACCTGCCCACACATTTCCCATCTGCATGTAAACAAAAATCCTTCACAAAGAATAGATAGAAAGAACAAAACAACAACCCAACCCCTCCAAATATTTTTGAGAAATACCTGTTCAGAGATTTTGGTGCCCGATGAAGGAGTTTCTTATAAAGACCCAAAGTCGCATGACTAACCGACCAACACAAAAATGTTCAATACCAAATTAGAATGAGAGGCAAAATCAAAGACCAAATGAAATGCAATATAAAGCACAATAAACCAGAGGCCCAACATTTAAAGAAGCTTTCTACAATTGTACATAGCAAATTAGTAAAACAAGAATACAAGGCAGGTTCCATGAGATGGAAATACCAAATACCACTCAATGTACAAAATTCCTGGTTTCAAAAGCAAATCCCATTCAAGAGCAGTTCAACATTTGCAAGTTCAAGAAGCATGGCTCAATGCACATTCAAATAACAGGCAAAAAAAAATGTAGTCTCGTGTTCCTAAATGCTTATGACAGTCTCCAAGTTCATAAATAGATTGCTAAACTTTTAACTGGAGTTCAAATAAACTTTAAATTTATGGTATTAACAATAAATTTCAGTATCGTCTGCTGTGCAAAACCCTCCGAATACTATGAAGTTAACCACAAGCAATCTTTTACCTCTTCTATCTTCATATTTAAATTGAAAAAATCTAGATATCCATCGGTTGTCTCTTTTGTTTTGCTGATGAAATTGCTATTCTTTAAGAATTACATTATCAGTTTCCTTGGCTAACATGACACCCTTGACCCTACTACCAAATTATTAGTGTGACAATCAGATATACAATGCATTCAGAAACAATATGCTGGCTAGCTTTAACTAGATATTGCAGAGAAAAAAACAGCACAATTCATGTTTAAGACTGAAGAATTTAGTGGCCACCTGCACTGGGCAGCAATCTTTCCTTTCCCCATCTTTAAGTCATTCCTCACAACCAAAACCTGCATATATATGAAGAAAGCAAAAATTTACTCAGTTCTCCTTACATCTGGAGAAAGAGAGGAGAGGAGGAGGACAAAGAAGAAGAAGTGACACCATTTTGAAATCTTCAATAATTTCGGCCAGCTTTTCAATCTCGAGAGGTTGTTTGATCTGATTCTTCTTGTTTGCATCAACAATGGTAGTGTCTTTAGCTAATCTGCCTAAAAAAAATATCCTAGCAGGATGCCGTGCACCGATGATGTATCCCAAAGCGAGACAGCCAGCCCCAACTATAATGGAACTGAGCCATGACATATCCATCATATCTAACCCAAATCAACACCCTGCACTGTAGTCAAATCCCAGCCAGAATCAATATAAGAGTATAATGCAATTCATGGTAATGACCGATTGGAAAACCCAGTCGGACGGGCATATTCAGATAGACTGATAACTGTGGATGAACCATTAACCTCTAAAAAAATATATATGTATTCCAACAAGAAGAAACTATAATTCTATGTTCAACAAGGTGGCGCAGAGGTTTATTTTTAAAAAAATTTAAAGTGTGAGCTACTTCAATAATTAGTTCCTTGTGACGAGCTTAAATTTCTCTCTTTTTTTCAGTTTAAACATCCTTTTAGGTTTTCAGTAATATGACTTGAGCAATCCTAATAAACAAAGGTGCCACTCCATTGTCCGTCTTTCTCCAACTTTGTTTGTATTGTCATTTGACTCATTTCAAATTTACTATCCCAATTCCTTTCCAACATGATAGACTTTTTTAACCCTTATAACATACACGTCAACACCCATTTCTTAGAATTTGGATTTGTCAATATAATTTTTAAAAAACTTCATATAATATAAAAATATAAATTTATAATTCTCAGTAGAATTTGAAAATTGGGTGTTTTTGAATGCAAGTGAATTTAAGGTCGAATTTAATTATGCTATGTTTGTTTGAATGGAATTGACCCCTTGGAATTGGAATTGGAGAAAAAAATAGTTCAAAGTTTATTTCAATAACAATGACAAGCACGGAAATGTACTTGATGATCGCAAATACAAACAGAGAGAGAATTCCACATAAACCATAAGGAACACATATGACATAACAGAGAGTGAGGACAATAATATGCTTCTATGACCTCTAAAACACCTAGTATATTGTACAACAAAGTTCAACATAACTTTCAAAACTTGTAAGTCTGAAACTGTATATTATATACATACAGATAAAATCAGAATAACTTATATTCGAATTACCAGCCAATATTTTCTGATGCATTGCTTGATTCCCAATGAAACATAAAAAGGAAAAAATATAAAAATAATAATAAAACAGTTCTTTGGAAATCAAATGTTGTTTCTTGAAGGGATTAATCCAATATAAGAAATATCTAACTCAAACAATTTGGGTATCATAACTTATAGATATCAGAAATAAAAATTGATTATACAACACTCCTTGTAATAACAAATCTAGTCGAATTTATTGAGTAGAATAATAAGACTATAATCTAATTACACAACAGTAATAGTATACCGAAGTTTCTTTGTTTGAAGTCTATAGCAAAAATACCTGCAATCTGACGCTACAATTAAAGCATTTGAAGACTGGTCAGCCCTAGATCGGACGGTTCTGAGCTCAGCTATGCATAACAGCGTAGAGCTTTTTTTATTCGATGTATACATCCAGAAAAGAATTCCTGGGAGAAGAAGAAGAAGGCGTAGGACTGTGGGAGACTATTATATATGTTCAGGGTCAGTTTGGGTCTTTTACGCGTCGGGTTCATTTTGTAAATTGCAGTAACCCCTTTCCGGTGAATACATTACATTTTTTTTTTGACAATTAATCATGAATAATAAAAAAAAATTCTTTTTTAAAAAAATCTTTAATGAAATTGGAGTTTTGAAATTAAAATTTTTTGAAATTAGAGAAAAATAACTCATATAAATGTACTAAATTTTCTTCAATTCTACTAATTTTAATTTCAAAACTTTAATTTCAATCATCTGAAAATAATCCAAGCGTATTTAATAAGCTAAACAAATATAGTTTGAAAGAATAAACATAAGTTTAAATAAGAATATATTCTAAACGCTTGAAATTTGCAAAAGAATCAAAACTAATTTTAATTTATAATTAGCATATAAATTCAATTCTTAGAATTTTCACTTTTTTGTCTGCTCTCAATACTACTATAAGACCCATTTGCAATGAACTTGTCTCAAACTCTTTTAAATTAAAACATTTTAAAAACAAAAATAATGTTTTTCATTTTTTATTTTTTATCCTTGCGTTGCTTGTAATTAATGGAATCAAATCAAAATAACTTAGACCAAAATTAAGTTGAAAGGAGGTTTGAATATGAGGAAATTAAGTAGAAAGAATTTGATACTGAATTTGTCATATTGCTTGTCCGTGAAAAAGGACGAGTTAATTTTAAGGAAATTAAATCTGAAAGAATTAGAACAATATTCTGCTTATACAAACTTCGTATAAAAAAATAGGGTTAATTTCACCTACACCCTGACGTTTATTTATATTTCACTTATACTTTTTTTACGTTTTATAATTCCACCTACACTTTTTTTACGCTTCATAATTCCACCTACACTTTTTTTACGTTCATAATTTCACTTACACTTTTTGTTGAGGTAATTTACAGTTTACAACAACAATGGAGAGAAAGGCTAATTTTGTAAATTTGCATTGTCAATGAAGTTAAAAATGTCATTTCAAGTATTGGAAGGGTAAAATTGACCTTGTATCCATTTGTTCATGCTGACACCGTCAGTTACTCAACGACAGGGAGTAATTTGTACATAAATTAAAACCTCAAGGGAGGTAGGTGTAATTATGAAATGTAGAGGGGGTGTAAGTGAAATATAGGCAAACGTCAGGAAGTGTAGATGGAATTAACCCAAAAAAATATTGTGTACAATATTCTGCTTATACAAACTTCGTCCCTTTTTAATTATCCACCTCGCACACTGTAACTCACAAACAATAAAAAAGGGACGGAGGGAGTATTATCAATCACCTTTCATACGGCTATAAGTGATGACTACCACGGAGAAGCCCATCTTATCTCTCTCTCAACCTCTACAGACCCCTCTTTCAACCGCCTCCTACTGTGTCTTCTCTTTTTTCTCCTCCCCTTTAATGGGTGTGGGAAACTGATGTTTCCTACCTCCCACCAGCTAAATAACATCGGCGTGTAATAGAAAGTATGTTTTTTTAGTGGTTTTTATGTCGTTTTGCTTTTGTTTTGTTAGATCTGCTTCGGTTTGGCTTGTTTCCGGCTAGACTGGGTGGATCTGTGTTTCTTTCTCCAGCTAGATCTAAGGTCTATGTCAGTTTTTGTGGTCCCTGACTTGTGCGGGGTTTGTGTGGTTTTTCCATCAGTCGGAAGCGCCTTGTGGATGGAGTTTTGAAGCAGTTGTCTTGCTGATGGCCTGATTTGTGTCACCCCCATTGATGCTCGTCTCATGTGGTGGCTTCCATTGTTATTTTCAGCAAATTTAGATCCTGGTCTTCATTTTTCTTCTTTTCGCTTCAGGTTTTGTTTGCCTTTTTTATGGCTTGCCTTTGCCCTTTATGGCATCTTTACTGTCCTTTATGGATGTTGTGTTGTGGCTGTTCTCTTATTGCTCAAAAAAAAAAAAAAAAAAAAAAAAAAAAAAAAAAATCCTTTCGTGCGGCTATATGCATGTCTTCGTCATATATGAGCGTGTCGTGTAAAAAATAAGAAAATTTGTCATAATTTTGATTCACGTCAAAATAATTTAATTAACCCTAAACCCTAGATGCCATGAAAATAATTTTGAGATTGTATCATGAATCCACAACTATATTTTCTTGGGAAAATTTCACCCTAGTCTGATTTTTGAAGCCTAAAGACAATCAAGTCCCAAAATAATTTTTAAGGACAATACTTTTGCTACTTATTTCCAAATAAGTTCAATTTTTTTTTTTTTCCAACATTACCCCTTTTTTTTGTCCTTTTCAATAATTAGGGTTTGGAATTTTCACCTTCTTTTTTGCGCTTTTTAAAAAACATTCCTCTGCATCTTTGATACGGCTGGAGAAAAACGAAGAAAACCACATGCCAAGATAAGAAAACGAAACAAGGCGAAAACCATTTTGCTTGTTCATCGCCATCCATCATTTTTTCTGGTGATTTCAGGCAAGTTAGCACTTCTTTCTATTCTTTTATTTGAAACTTTATCTTTTAGATTTAGATTGGGGATTTGATGATTGACCCAGATTCAGGCTACGTGCATAGTTTTAATCAGGGTTGGGATCCCCATTCTCTCCTCTTTTATTTTCTCTAGTCACTTAATGCTTCTATAAATTTATGAGATGCTATTAAATCGGTTCTATTAAACTATGTAGTATGTTTCCTGATGTGTTTTTTTTTTTTTTTTTTTGGTCAAGCAATTCTGATTTGTTGTTAATTAGGATTGTGTGGTGATTATTTTTTCATCGATATATATTTTATAATTTGATGGTTAATTGAATAGGTAATGTGATTCCTTACTTATTGCAATTTTTGAAAGAAACTGACTTGATTTTTGACTTAATTAGAAGGTTGAAGAGAAAAGCAAGCAACAATCAAAGACAAGCAACTGTGTCAACTGTTTGGGTGCATCTCTCGTATATTAAACAAGTTCTTATAGAACTTGTTTTTGTTCACCATGTTCTTATATAACTATATACATATAGATGGTCATATTATTAAGTCCTTGTTTTTTATTTTCTGTGTATCAATTTGTTTGGTGATTTCACTGCAATCCTATGTTAATTTTCTAACCCGCGTGAAAAGATGATGAAGATTCCCCAACCTAATTATTGAAAAGGACAAAAAAGGGTAATGTTGGAAATAAAATAAAAAAAAAAAACTGATTTAGAAATAAGTAGCAAAAGTAGGACTTGTTTGTCCTCAAAAATTATATTAGGACTTGATTGTCTTTGGGCTTCAAAAATAGGACTAGGGTGAAATTTTCCTATTTTTCTTTTAGAAGATTGTTTTCGGGCATGTAATTATATATATTTTTGTCGGAGTCTCTTACATTTATGGACAATGCTCTCTCATTTGCCCATAATGATCTCTCTCCCTCTTATTTAATATAGTAAAAACCCTGACTCACATTATGTAAACCATAGTTATAATATGTGAACCCTACCGCTCTATACCCTCTACTTGATCTCACCAATTCAAGTAATAGATTAATTTCATTTTTATTTTTCAATAAATGGATCATCTGTTTTACATTGAATTCAACTAACATGAATAAACAAGTTTAAATGAAGGAATGGTAAAGAAGATCACTTTTTCGACCTATTAATCATAATTGAATTCGAATTATGCTAGGATTCTGACTCAGCAATGATAATTATTGAGGGGCATAAAATCCCACTGGGCAGCCTGACCCACCAATTAAGGAGGAGGCCCAGCAACTTCCTAGCCCATTCTTTCTCATGTGAGGCCCGTTTTGACCCAGGGATCGGCCCAAGCAAAGGATGAACCCGTCGAAGAAGGATTAAGCCCATATTGTTTAAGGGTTTAGAAAGGTCCAAGGAGTTATTAGGGTAAATATAGTCTTCCATAAATATAAAAAGAGTAAAAAATGTAAATGATTCGATTGAGGTGTAACAAATATACTTTTTGAATATAGAGAACAATTTATTGCATCTTCAATTACCTTTCTTATTTATTAATATTTGGGTTAAGTGCAAAACCCCCTACCCCCGGCGCGCGCGCGATATATAGGGTTTGCGCAAAACTAGTCCATATTTTTTGAAAATGTGCATGTTAGTCCATAAAATTTTAAAAATGTGCAACTAAGCTCATCTGACCACTTTTTTTTACCAAAACTAAATACGAAAACCCTATATTACCCTTTTGATTTACATTTTGCCCTTCACCCATAGATGGCTCGGCTCGACTGATACTGGCTAAACGGCTCAGCTCGCTGGGATGTGACCGGATTCTTATCGGAAATTTTGCCAGAATTGGATTTTTGTAATACCCCTAATTTTAAAAGGGACAGTCCTGGAATTTAATAAATTGTTTAAATAGTATTTTTATTTAATTAATTGTTTAAATTGTATTTTATGTAATCAACTGGTTAAATTGCATTTGTTTATTTCTTTGGTGTGGTTTAATTGTTTTAAATTGTTTTAGGACATTTAATTATTTATTTGCTTTAATTTAATTATTTTATTTTATTTATCTGAATTTAGTGTTTTATGTTTCTAGTTTAGCCGACACTGTTTTAAACCTAGAATATTCAATGGGCCAAGTTATTTATGGATTAGGGTTAATATTTAAGTCTATAAATATAATCGCATGTGGGTTTAGGGTTTTAGAAAATTCAATAAAACCTATTTACGTAACAGAGTTCTATAAAGAATAGTGAGATGCAGAGAGAGAAAAGAGAGCAGGTTTAGACCAAGGTTGGACCAAGAAGGAGGAAGGAGAGGTGTGTTTTGGAGTTGAACCAAGGCATTGGAGGAGCAGACTTGCAGTATAGGACACGAACATAGCTTACAGAGACGGTGAATTAGAATTTCAAATCTGAAATTCAAAGGCAAATTCTGTTCTTCTCTCTCCCGTTAATTCGTGTTCTGTGCATGACTAGTTGGACTCCAGGGATTTAATAAATGCTAAAACGGTTGTAAATAAACATAATAACATGTTTTGTGCATATAGGAATTTATGTTTAATGTCGTGAATTAATTGTTTTGCATGATCTTACTATTCTGTTTTTGTTTCATTCTATGGGTTACGATTAAGCTTTGATGGTTGAGATTAGGGATGCGACTTGATGCCTTGTAACTAATCTGGGACTGAGTTTGAACTCTAGAACAAATTCTTAGAACATGATTTAGTTGCACTAAATTAAACTGAAATAAATTTCTGTTGGAACTTGCTTAAAATTGGACAACAGAGGTTTTGTAATCGTAGCTTTAAAGCTTGTGTTCCATGCATGTTTTAGTTGAATATCAGTGGTTTAATATGTGCCTAGGATTGAGCTTGAACTTAGAACAAAGTTTTAGAAACACCTCAGAGGCTCTGTAATCACCGGAGCTGGAGAAGATGAAGCTAAAACGGGCAAAAGGCTACTGAAGGGGATTGAGCAGGCTCTAAAAAGCCTTAGAGCCGGCTCAAAGGCAAAGGAGCCGGCTCTATCTTTGTTTGGAGCCGGCTCAATGCTAATGGAGCCGGCTCCAAGTGGAAAATTGAGCAGGCTCAATGTTTAATTTGAGCTTGTTCTCTTTTATTGCGCACATATTTGGTTTTAAGGGGTTGTTTGGCTGTGCAGTGTTTTCTGAAGCCGTTTAAAAGCTACTGTGAGATGTAATAAAATGTTAGGGACTTAAATAAATGTTTAAAACATTTAATACCATAATGGTTTAAGGGTAGGAGCAATGAACAGATCAAATAATGGCTATACGTTGCACTGTTTTTGCTAGGTTTATATAACTGAAACTTGGCAAAGTTTTTATATATAATTCAATTATATATAACCCTATATTGTTACTGTATTATAAGTATGGTAAATTAATTATATTTATCTATACTTAGTTGGATTTAAATTGACATTTAACTTGTTTAATATGTATCAATTTATTGGCTGTTTTGGAGGATTCAAATGCTATGTCTTATTCTAGCTGTTTAAATGATTGGAGCATGATATTTAGGTTCTGTAGTGAATACCTAATATTGATATATGTATGAATTTATACCAATGCATATACTGGAGGATAGTTGTTGATTATATAATGTTGTTTTAATAACTACGCTATATGGAGAATTTGTATGTACCGGTATGGGACGGTGACATACTAGGTATGGATTAGTCAAACACTAAATCCTACCTAATTTGGATCAAGGTATGGATTAACCCTATGAGTTAAGTCCATCACCTACTTGTGTCATATCAATCAAATAATTGAATGACTTAATATGGTTTCAGGATGGATTTGCTTTACATTTATCAAACCACTTTTCAGATGGTTGATATTTTGTAATAGGAGGACACGGACTTTATATATTTATTATATGTGTCATGGTATGAGCTTGAGTCTCAGGACCATGGTTAGGGTGCGTATATTGCCTAGGATGGATAGCTGGACAGAGGTGTTGTTCCCTGGTAGGTCTAGATACACATGACCACAGTATGTGCGATTTGCATGGTATCTCTATTCAGACTGAGACAGACCTTTTTGGACTAGTGAGCGTCCTATAGTGTGTACTTATACATATATGGACTACTCTAGATATTGTTGAGTCTTTCTAGTATGTATCTGAGTATCGGATTCCTGTTTGGATTGTAGTAGATCAGGACTTGCATGTGGGCTTGACCCACCCTTATATTTTTTCAGGTACTCGTCAGTTCCAGGGTTCGAGTTTGATTGTGCAGAGCAGATACAGACTTCTATTCTACCGACAACGTAGGACTTCTTTCCAGATATTAGATTTGGATTTTAGCTTCAGTTTTCTTCCATGCAGTTTGGGATTTTATTAGGGGTCCACTAGAGATGGATTCCCGAGTTGTTAAACTTATGGAGTTTGGATTGTCAAGGTTTAAATATTTATATTTGAGGATTTATTTTAGTTTCTTTCAGCTTAAATTTTATCTCTTTAATCACTTTTGTATTCCGTGTTCGTTTTAAAATATTAATTGTTTGATATCTCTCGGATTTAGGCCTGGGCCTGATCAACCCGTGTCTCGGATCCGAGGGGTATCACAATTTTCGCCGGAGAAGACTCGTGGGACACGTGACAACGCGCGAGATCTACGCGTAGAAATTCAGGTGGCGGGTGTAGGCGCGTGTAACGTCGTATGTGGCTTTTATTTGCAGTGTCGTGTTCGTCTTGGTCCTGTGGACCTTATTCTGCGATCAATAATGGTTTTGGACAACCCAGTGTGGAGATACGCCAAAGTATCAGCAACCTCCTTGGCTACCTTCAACCTATAATCCCAAGGTAGTAGCTGTTGATGATCGTCAAATATATGATCAGAAAGAGCTCTATTTTCTGGATACTACACTAGGATCGGATATTTAGTTTCAATGCAGTAGCCCAAGAGCACGTGTATGTTTTTGTGGTTGTTTAACTGTGATGCAAACACAATTTCATTAATACCAAGTTCTATGTTATATTTGTTGTAAAAAGATTTGACAAGTATTGGACGGTCATTGAAGAACCCTGTAGATCTTGTACCAACCATCTTCCTGAAATTGGTCAGAGTAGTCATTGGTTGCAATTACAAGCTCTTGAGCTGAGAAAATTCGGAAGGGATTATATTTTCCGGCGAATTACCCTCCGATCTAACAACATATATATATTTATATATATACATACTGGTTAGATATCTATCAGTATGTCGTACGGCTGCCTTCGAAACCCTTATAGGGCGCCAGAGAAGGCATTGCGTTGATTACCCACACCTTGCTTAAGAAAGATTTCAACAAAAAACAGTTAAGGATTTGGCTAGTTCTCACGTGAAATATGAGTCTTGTTAGGTCTTTTATTTCGATCAAATAAAAGGTGGATTTCCTTTCCTATCCCTTCCTTTACTTAATAAATGAGATCAAAGCGCAGTTTCAGAACCATTTCAATTAGGAGTCATTTTCTTACAAGAGGTCGAGATCTGAGAACCCCGATTCAAAATGAAGAGAAATGCAAACTTGAACTTTCAATGTCGTCATGTGCATATGAGTATGAACCCTAATTTCCTCCATGGACCATCCGGCCATTAGTTTATTTTATTTTATTATTATTATTTTTTGATAAGTAGATAAAATGGTCATTTTACATAGCCGGTATTTATAGCTATTAATTTATTCAACTGAAGTGAGAGTATTATCGTCATTTTATACCACACATGGACCTATTTGTACCAAATTGATAATATATGGTTTTTTTTACCACACAGGAACTGATATACACTATATCGATAGTAGAGAGAGTTTTTTGCACTTAACCCTTAATATTTTTTCTCTCTATTATATCATATATTCTTCCAGGAAAATTGCTTTCTACACTAAACAAGTTGTTATATCATTAGCTACATCATTGGTCACATAATTCGAATTATTTATTTAATATAATAATTTGTAATGTTTAGCATTTCTTATATATTATTAAACTCATGAAGAAATTGAATAGTTTTGATTGAATTAAACTATACAGTAACAATGGTTCAAGATCATCTAAGTAATTTTTCCTTGTAATAAACACGTTGCTTATTACTTGTTATAAAATTGAAAATTTGAATTTAAAATTAAAGAAAGTTTAATTAAACCGAATCAATACATTGAAATTAAAATCAAAAGAAATTTACTTCAAATTTCTAAACACTGACTTGGTATTTCTAAACCTCAAACGACACTGTTTTGGTTCCATTTGTATGGGTCGGCGCAGAGCCCAACTTGAGCCCCTCCGACACTACAAGAGGGGATCCAGATCTTGTTGGGCTGATCCCAGACATTTGAATTTGGGCTTGGTCGGTCAGTCGGTGGCCGGCGAGACGTTAGTGTCAGCCTTATCTGACACACTGACTATGTCAACGCGAAAGTAAGCGTGACCGAGAGCGAACCTTCCTTCCCCATCACGCGTATAAAAGATCGCGCGCGTCTCGCCTTCGCTTACACGTCAAAAATCTATCGGTTCATGTTAAAAGTGCCCATCTCAACACCTTATTCCAGTGCGGCATACCTCAGGAATGTTATCACGTGAACCTCAACGCTTTGCATTCAAAAGAGTGGGCCCATCAATCAAATTACATCAAATCACGTTGTAACATCACCAATGATGATTGATAAAGCCTTTTAACGGTGCAAAATCAACAATAACTCCACACGTCGATTTGTAGGTTGAGGCTCCATCAACAAAGATGCGGTCCTCTTGCATTTTCAATCGCTCTAATTGCTTAATAGTTAACGTACAAGACTGGACTGATTGAAGGTTTTGAACTTTGAAGAGGCCAATTAGCCAACTCTTCCGGCGAGCTCTACACCTTCAATTCTAAGGTACAATTCATCGATAATTATTATTAATTTAAAAAGAATTGTTAGATTATTTTTTGATCTGATCATTTGATTTTGTTTGACGGGCGATTTTGTGCTTTTTAACCGGTTATTTGATACATATACATATATAATATATAATGTATGTATATAGATAGAGAGAGATATAAAAGTAAAACCGCCTTGTAATTTTCGAAATTTTGGAAGCTCTTGATTGAGAATTTGTGATAGTATGATGAATCGTTCAATTTCAACAAATTTATGCAAATCGATTTTATGTTCTTATGCCTTGTTGATGAGTTTGTTGTGTGATTGTAGATTTGTGTCCTAAGCAGTTGGATTTCAGTCTAAGTAGGGTTTCTCTTTTGTTTGTTATCCTTTTAGGGTATATACGGTTGCGTCCTTGATTTAATTCCTATAGTTTTGAATATCTGAAGAAATTTTTATCAGGATTGTGGGAGTGATACTGAAACTAGGGTTTCGAAGATGAGTGACAATTTGATGGATAAAGTTAATGCTTTTAGCGAGCGCTTGAAGGTTGAAGGAGCTGAGATTGGTAGAAAGATGACTGCTGGCATGAGCTCTATGAGTTTCAAGGTGAAGGAGCTCTTCCAAGGCCCCAATCAGGTTGATAAGCTCGTTGAGGAAGCCACGGCTGAAACTTTAGATGAGCCCGATTGGGCCACCAATCTTGAACTTTGTGACATGATCAATCATGACAACATCAGTAGTGTTGAACTAATTCGCGGCATAAAGAAGCGGATCGTGTTGAAGAGCCCTAGGGTTCAGTATTTGTCATTAGTGTTGCTTGAGACTCTTGTCAAGAATTGCGAGAAGGCTTTCTCGGAGGTCGCTGCTGAGAGGGTGCTCGATGAGATGGTGAAGTTGATTGATGATCCTCAAACTGTTCTCAACAATCGGAACAAGGCTCTGATGTTGATTGAAGCATGGGGGGAGTCGTCCAATGAGCTCCGGTATTTGCCTGTTTATGAAGAGACATACAAGGTATACCCATGCGTCATTCTAGGCCATTTGGTTTTGGTATTCCCTACAGTTCAAAATGGACAGTTTTGCTTTCTTTCTGTTCTCTATTTTTCCTTTTGCAGTTGCAATTTAATACTACTCTTTGTCTTAATGCTAATAAAAGCGTGGAAGAAAATAGTAGATAATTTTGAATCTTATTTACATGTTTATTTAAGTTCCTTACAGCTGAATAATCTCATCATGTTAATCAAATGGTTATTATTAGGTTCAACTGAGTAATTTTCTTTTCCTCTTTTTCCTTTTCCTTATGGCTTTGTTTGGTTTGATGGAATCAACTAGAAAAGAAATGAAAGAGAAAACTTTTATTTTTATTTTTTGGAGTTGTTTCTGGCACTTGCCTATTTCCCCCAAAACTTTTCCCGCCTAAAACACGCGAAATTAATATTTTCACGAGAAAGGGGTTCCTCTTTATTCGATATTCCTATTTATCCAAAAATTTAATCGTGCAAAACAACTTGCCAAAAAAAAGAATAAACTTGTTTCGTGATTTCTTTCTTTATTTTTTACTGGGTTTCTTTGTGTCCGTGGGCCATAAACTACTATATAGATGGGAGGCTCATCTAACCCTTTTTTTTTTTTTTCCCCAATATTTGTCTGATCTAATACTTGATAATAATATACTTGGCAACAACAGTATATAATTTCACCCGAAAAAAAAAAAAAAAAAAACATATAATCAATTTTTTATTTTTTTTTAAAGTTTCCTTTCTCTTAAAACTAATAATTAGTTCTACCTAAAAAAATACTATGAAGCCTTATTTTAAATATAAATAATAGAAATAAATATTAAACAAATATTTTATTAAATTTAATAATCCATCATTTTACTATTTCTTTACTAAAAATGAATATAATTAGACACAAATTTATTTATTTATTTAGCATTTGAAATTATAAGGATAGTTTTGGTATGTATAATCAATTTCTTTTTACTTTCACGTTATCTGAAGTTCCAAACTAACCAACTAATATTTTCTTGAATTAATTTTCATGCTAACCAAATGCATGCTAGAAAATTACTTTTCTTTTCATTCACTTCACTTCACTTTCTTTTCATTTTCTATTTCTTTTCTTTTCTTGCTTATTTCCATCTAACCAAACGGAGCCTATGGGTTTTGAATGATGAATAATCTGTAAGTAGTAATCCCCCCTTTCTATCCTCTGACCTCAATATAACTTCGTTTATTCTCTTTTGCCAGTGTTTTTTCATTACAGGGAGAGACAATTTTGATTGAAGATGTAGAAATTAAATGAATTACATGCTGAAGTTAATTTGAATAATTTGGTTTTGAAAGAAATGTGAGAAATCCTTAGAGGAAAATTGTAAAATAAATTACCTCTGATGTGAATTTGGGTGAGAAAATTGCTGCTGCAAATTTTTCGCTGAAAGACAGGTGCCTTCTGGAAATGATAAGAGTGTGAAGAACGTACACATGGAGTTTATGCATGGGCAAGCCAAGTATATGTATTGTCAACAAAGATAATAAAATCGTCTATTTTTTGAGCGAGAAGTGTTGGAATGTGTGTTATTTTCAACCTTTTTCATGACATTTTTTTTTTCTTAATAGAGTTTGAAATCAAGGGGTATACGTTTCCCTGGTCGTGATGATGAGAGTTTGGCTCCTATATTTACTCCTCCCCAATCAGTCTCAGCTCCAGAATTAAATGAGAGCCTTGACCAACAAATTCCTCCTGATATTCCTGTGCAAGCACTTTCAGCTGAACAAACGAAGGAAGCATTTGATGTGGCAAGAAACAGTATTGAGCTTCTTAATACGGTTCTATCCTCTTCACCCCAACAAGATGCTTTACAGGTACTTTTATTTTATTGCACCAGTAACCCGTTATTTGTGGATGTCCTGTTTTTAATTGGTATTAAATTTCTCTCTCTGGGAATCCTTTTGTTGTGACTTTCATATAGGTGCTTATATAAAACACCTATTTGGTTGCTTTTGTTATTAATTTGTTTTTTTGTCCCCCATCATTGACCTAGTCAAGTATAATTACTTGTGCATGATGTCGATCTTTCTTGGTCTGCTTCTTTAACAAACTACCAGGTAATTGTTGTCAGCTTAATTTTCCGTTGTATGTGTTGGGTATACCACACTTGTTAATATTGGAAAGTATATGTACTGCTATTTTCTTAATTATAGAATTAATGGCTATCCACGGTCCTTTATTTTTTTGGTGGTAAACAATGGGCTTCATAGCCATCCACGGTCTTAGTTCACCAATCAATTGCTATTTCAAGTGCTTCGCCTTTTCTTAACACAATATAATCCGACTTAGATATAATTAATGCCAGTTTTCAGAGTCAACGTGCAAGCAATACTATTGTTATGAAATACGGTTCTGCAGTGCTTTATCAATGTTTTGGTCCTAGATCCATTAATAGGAAGCTGATTGTCTCCTTTATGGAAAAAAAGGGGTGGAACAGGAAGGGTTCCCGAGTCTCTCAATCTTAAAATAATTGTTTCAAAATTTTAAGTTGGCAAGTGTCTTGGCAAACTAGATTTTCAAGGTCTTATCACAAAAAAATATCTTGTCACTTATGATAGATATATGTAATATGTTTTTGAAACCAGGAATCTATTGTAAAATTCTTATTTATTGTTGTTGGATTGCTGTTTTGTAATTTTTTACTGCTTTTAATCCTTTAGCTTCTCCTATGTGATAAGGTTTTTGGTTATATATTCCCATTTATTGAATTCTTCGACCACATTATATGTGCCATCTGATTATCATGTTGACATATTGTATATGGTATCTGACATCATTTTTGAGCCTATTCCTTATGCTCTATATTTCATTAAGCTTCATAAACAGAGAACAATGCTGTTTCTTCCCAAACTTTTATAAGTTGAACAGTAATCATCCAGAGGCTAATTGTTGCAAATAATCACTTTTTTCTGGTCATCTATTTGTTTTTATATTATTATTTCAATTGTCTTTTCAAGGGAGTCTGTTGCTACAGACATGATACTATTTTTTCTGCACCACTTTCCGTTTATAACTGAATAATCATTTAAGGAGTCCTAAAGCTAGCAATAACACAGTATTTAACAAAAACTTTGCAAGTACATACAGATTCAGTAGATTGGCTACCTTTGTGACTATGTGAGGAGCTTTAGGAATACTGAAGTGACTTTGATGTACAAGTTTTGGTGGAAAGCAACAGCAAGTTAAATCCAAATAAAATGGAAGCCTATTTAGATTGCAATGAATAAGAAGGAAGCCTTGAAAAATGTTACCCTCCAGTTGTAGGAAGGCTTTGGCTTGACTATAGTTGTTGGAACCAGTGCATGCATGTCCTGTAGGCTGGTGTGCATAACTATTAGAATGTGGTAGTGGTACTTTATACCATAATAAAATTAACTTCAGTTCAAATGAATAGCTTCAGGGTTCAATTGTTTAAGAAGTACAGTTTAAAATTACATTTAGTAGTTTAGAAGTTTGTAACAATATGCATGGATTGAATTGAGAAAATTGAATTGAGAAAATTATATGTGCTTGATTTCAAATAACGAAGTACAGAGAATTATTTAAAATCCATGCCACAAGAATTCTAGTTGAACATTGATTATTAGAAATTATGTCTTCCATTCCTTTAATTTAACATCACCTTGGACTTCAAAATCCAACTTAACTTGTCAATCTTTTTTTTTAAGTTCAAATCACTTGATTAGTCGATATCAAATCCATTCATTTATTCAAATAAACCATCATCATCGTTGTTTGAATTCCTTATGAATGGGGTTGGTTACATGAATTCTTTTTTTATTTCATTATTTTCTGCTACAACGATTAACATTTAACTTTGTAAAATCATTTTTAGTAATTTCATCCAATGTTAATTTTGGTCGCCTTCTCAGCTTCCTACCTTCTAGAAAATTAATCTTCCCTTTATTACCGGTGCTTCGATAGGTCTTCTTTATATATATATATATATATATATATATTCATACCACCCAAGTTTACTTTCTATTATTTTATCACTAATATATGTCAATCTTAATTTATCCTTCACATCTTCATAAGTAACTTATCTCTTCTAGTCACTCCTATCGTCAATCTTTATATTCTCATTTCATAACACAAATTCGATTTTCTATTTCTTTTTTAAAGCCCATCACTGTATACCATATAAATAGTCGGCCTAATAACTTTCCTGTAAAATCCTTTTTTAATTTCTTTGTTATTCTTTTATCACATAAAACACCACTAGCCTATTTACATTTTGTCCAACATGCTCTAGTTCTACTAATTATACCACAATATATCTTTACTATCCTCTTGTTTTATTGATCTTAAACAAGGAAATTGGTTACCTAGAGAATCCTTTGTCTTTGAAGTGTGATGGTTACATTATCAATATTTGACTCTTTACTAGATTTACATTCCATATATTCAATTTTAGTCATCCTACTAATTTTTAAACCTTTTGATTCTAATGCATTTTCCCACATTTCTGATTTTATTGTTAAATTTTCTTTAGAGGTATCAAATAACATTATGCCAATCACAACATGCACAATGAATTTTTTTTTTTCTCTCGGAAAGTACAATGAAATGTTTTCTTGTAAGTTTTTTTTTTATGTTATTTCATTTAAAATTATTATGAATAGATATGGTCTGAATGCTAACCCTTGTGTGATCCCACGTTTTTATATAAAAATAATAATAAAAAATACTAGTCTCACCACATTTTGTGAACTCTAGTTTATGTATTCGTATACATATCTTGAATAATCTTCATCATTTCTAAATGAATTTGTTTTCTTTGTAAAACCCACCAGATTATATCCCTCGGCACCTATCATACGTTTTTTTTAATAAATCTATGATAATGTAGATCTTTTTGCTTACTCCTACACTTTTCAACTAGTTGTCTTATTAAGTAAATAGGTTCCATTGTGTTCTCCCTAGCATAAATAAGAATTGGTTATTAGATACTGTGATTTTCTTTCTTAGTCTTTATTCTACTATTGTTTCTCATCAAGTCCATTTGTAGATGGAAGCTTATAGCGGAAGTAAAAGTAAAAGAAAGTGAATTGAATGAAAGGAAAATTTTCCAGCATGCATTTGATTAACATGAATTTTTTTCAAGAAAGTTATGAGAAATTTTCATTTCATGATTTAGAATGCATGAAACTAACAGGAAATGAAAGGGAATTTTTGTAAATTCATATAACTCTCTCAGGAAATAAAAAATTCCCGACTTCTATAGGAAAGTTAGGTGGTGGTGAACAATTACTTCCCTCAAAAATTTTCTTTTCCAGTCAATCCAAACTCCTAAAGTATTTAAAAATTTTTACTTTCATTTCCTTTCTTTTTATTTTTATCTAATCAAATGGGGCCATAGTTTTATTTGTGTGTGTGTGTGTTTTTCTTAAATAATTGTTGCAATTTTATATATCCCTTTGTTTATGTAAATTGGTACCATCGTGCTTTTCCTCCATGTGACATGGTTCCTTCTTTTAGAAGGTTGAATAAATTTGTTAGCCATTCAATTCATACTTTTCCGAACGATCTCCCTGCCTCTATAAGTATGTCATCAATGCCTATATTTCTGGTCCTGCTTTTCATACCCCGTTTGTGTGCATGATTTTCTTGCCTGGTTTAATATGTAGATGGATGAATATTTCTCACTTGTTCTGTTATTGCTGGTGAGATTTTAATGCCATAAGTTTAATCTTTCTTCTCATTTTGTTATTCTGAATTGTATTCGCAGGATGACTTGACAATCACGCTTGTACAGCAGTGTCGTCAGTCCCAATTTACTGTTCTGAGAATTATTGAGACCGTTGAGGATAATGAGGCCCTGCTGTTTGAAGCCTTAAATGTGAATGATGAAATCCAGAAAATCCTCTCAAAATATGAAGATTTGAAGAAACCTTCAGCAGTCCCAACGGAGCCAGAACCCGCCACGATACCCATTGCCGTTGAGCCTGAAGAATTACCCGGTGCCGGGAAAGAAGACGCTTTAATTAGAAAACCAGCAGGTTCTAGAGGTGGTGCCCCTGGAGCGAACGATGACATGATGGATGATCTTGATGAGATGATCTTTGGCAAGAAAGCCGCTGGCACATCAGAAGTGGGGCATGATACAAAGAAGCAGCAATCACCAAAAGACGATCTCATCTCCTTCTGAATTTCCCCTGCGTATAGGACTTCACATTTGGGACTGATGAGGCCTTTGATCGTGTTGATACGAGGCCATTTAGGTGTTGAATACGTTTAATTTGATGCTTGAAAGCCTATAACCATCCTAAACAGTTCTGGAATTTTTTTTTCTAATATTTTTCATTCATTTTTGGAAGTTTCACTTCCATTGTTCATGCACATTTGAAACTTTAAATTTGGGTAAATAATTGGTTGACGACATGTAGAAATGATACATTGTGAACAAATTTATGCAGTTTGTGTCTGCTATTTGGTACAATGATATGAACAGTCCCATATTATCCAAACATGGATGTGAACTCTGATTCTTAGCCCCTCTATAGTTCTTTGTAGCGATTGCTTTTAACAATTGGTGTAATGAGAAGGGCATGCAAGATCTAACTTGTTGAGAAGCTCGTACCTGACGGACGAACCAAACTGGGCCAAAAAGACCACCTGGGCCAAAAAGACCACCGACGAGCAGGCGCAGTACATCTTTTACTGTAGCCAAAAGTGTGAAAAGGAATTAAATGGTAATTAAAATAGAATTGGTGTTGGTGTTTGGAATAAACTGAATTTTGTGAAAATAAATTAAAAAATATATATATATATATATAGTTGTAAAAGAGGATGCGAAACCTGAAAACAATTTTACAATGGAAGAATATAAATCTTATCAATTTTCTTCCAATTTGTCGGTGATAAATTGGGATTTATTTATTTATTATTATTTTTTAATCCTTTCTAATTCCATGACTCTTTAAGCAAGTGAAATTCTCTTTAAAATTCAATTCCTCTGAAATCCTGATTACAAACACAGTTCATACTTCATATCAGTGATAAGAGTCATTACACTCTCTCTCCCATTCTGATTTGCTGTCCAGTCTCTCTGCGCATACATATCTGTTTGCATATGTAATATGTGAGTATGTATATTATGAACCAGATTTGATGCTTCTGGACCAGTGAAGACCCTTAAATCTCTCCGTGCAAATGGCCGGAAAACACTTTTCGGCTTACGGAAACCCTAGATTCAAATCTCTGATCCTCATCTTTGCTTTCTCTCTCGTCGCTCTCTCCATCGTCTTTTACTTCTTTTCCGTTTTCTCTTCTACTTCTTCTCACTCCATCCCAATCCGCACCTCTCAAAACCCAAATTCTCATTCTGCCGAGTACTCCTTCGTCGCCTCCCTAGAGAATTTCCTCGTGTCAACCTCCACGTTTCAAAGATCTCACACTGTTTCGGATGATACGGTGAGTACAGTGCGTGTAGAGGATGTGAAGAAGCTGGATGATATGATATGGAATAGAGAGACAGAGACTCTCTATGAAGACTCATCGTATCCAGCATCTCCACTGTCGGTGGCTTCGTCAGCTATCAAGGTTTACGTTTACGATATGCCGGCGAAATTCACTTACGATCTGCTATGGTTATTCCGAAATTCATACAAAGAGACCTCGAATCTCACGTCTAATGGTAGCCCAGTGCACCGTTTGATCGAACAGGTATGTACTCACCGTTTTTCTGTTTTCTTTGAAAGTCCTGGAAATAATTCACCGATAATTGAGTTCGATAATTGAGTTTCTGATTGAGCTTTTGTAAGAATTTCTATAGATATTATAATGAAAAATTATTATTATTATTATTATTATTATTATTGTGGTTGATTAAATGAGAAATAGACTATGTAGTTTCCTTTGAACTTTTTCTTTTTAGTGCACTTTTTTTTCTATCCTAGAATTTCAAACACACGAAGACAAAAGCATTAGATAGTGAATTTCAATTATTAGTTTGTTTTTTTTCCCTGTTGGACTTCATGTGAAGTTGCAATAAAGTTTGAAGAGCATGTGGAACACCGAGTACCTTGAAAATTGTTTGTATATCCTTTTCTCCGAAGATTTTTAGCATCTAAATGGTGGATATTCTTTTAAAAAAATCACTTTTCTTTCTTGAATGCAACTTCGAAATGAAGTCATAGGGAACAACTTTACAAGATGTCTAAGAAAATGTTCAGGTATGAAACCTATTCAGAAAATGTGTAGGAAACAAACTTCTAGCTGCATTTACTAGTCAATCCTTTTCTTTTTTGGATTTTGAAACAGAAATCATATTACAGACTGTTGCTAAACATGCCCTTAAATCCTCAATTTAGATTTTATGATTCTCTTGCCATGTCCTTACCCTCTTTGATTGCCTTTGAATTGAAAGTTTTTGCTCTTTTCTTCATGCAGCATTCTATTGATTACTGGCTGTGGAGGGATTTGATTGCTCCAGAATCGGAAAGGCTTCTGAAAAATGTTGTGAGAGTTAAGCGGCAGGAGGAGGCAGACCTATTCTACATTCCATTTTTCACAACCATCAGCTTCTTCTTGTTGGAGAAACAGCAATGCAAGGCACTTTATAGGGTGTGAGTGCATTTCTGACGCTAAAGCGTTTCATTTCATATATCAACATCATGTTCTATCTTTTATCACTTATCTTCAAGGTCAATTAAATGCTTCTTTGTTTTTAGATTGTAGTGTTTTTCTACTTATCAAACAAAAAAAAGATTGTAGTGTTTTTCTAATGATTTTTAGTTTCCTGTTTATGACTTAAAACTAAACTCAACTGAAAAGTGTATTGCCCAACAACTACAGCTGTGGTGTTATTTCTAAAGATTTTTAGTTTCCTGTTTATGACTTAAAATTAAAATCAACTGAAAAGAGCACTGCCCAACAACTATAGCTGCAGGTTACACGAATCCTGTTTTAACGTTTGCTTATGTTTTGTCTAGTATCAGCTCTCATATTCTTCTCTTTATGTTGATATGTAAAGACTTGTTTGAAAGTCTATCCTTGTGCTATTTTGATGTGGTAACATGGATGCATGTGCTGCTTCTGTGGTTTGATCTCATGCATGAATGATTAATTTGCTAAGAAACATGTTAGCATTATTGTTTATGGGCTAATGCAAACTAGATGGTAGATAAGGTTGCTGTGTAGGCCTAGAATTCAACTAGTTAAGAAACCCTTGCAGTTATTTTTGTCAACCTCATTAGTAAATTTTTGAAATGTTTTTGTGGAGTTTTTTGTAAATCAATTATTTTGACAGAAATGTTGATTTCTTGGAAAATGGAACTTAATTGTGTTTTCCTGATAATTATTGGTTTTATGCATTTTTATATTATCTCATATGATCAAACTTGTAATTTCTGATTAGGTGTTACCTAAAAAAGGACCATTATCTTGTGTTGGCCCTTACCAGCACCCTCAATAATGGGGACCACATTGGGTAATGACCATTATCCATTGCTGTCCTGATTTTGTAGGGTCTTGGAACTTGGCAGGGGTGGAATGTACGAATCTAACATCAGTCACTATTTTTTTTTTTTTTTCCAAAGTAACATTAGTCACTAGTAGCACTTATAAACTTTTAGTTCAACCATGCACTCTCACACTTGCAGCTCATGCTTTTACCATTTACAAAAGCAATGGCCTCTACTTGATACATGCGATATTTTATTGTCTGGCATATTCATATATTGTGTATTTAGTGTCTGTTTTAATACATTTACTAAAAATTCTATGAGCTTGCGTCATTTTCATATTATTGGGCATAATTGCACCTGGGGACCAAGATTAAATGTATACGTTTTAATTTTGCGGTACTCTTTAATATGTTGAGATGACGATTGGGATTACAATTGTCGGACTTGCTTCTCTCAAATCCTTCCATCCCTTATTTGAATTCAGTATGAATTTGTATATGCGAACATGGTATAGAGTTTTATTATGAGTTCTAAAGATCTAATATATATATATATATTTACACACACACACACACACTTGTGAATCTAGGAAGCTTTGAAGTGGGTGGCAGATCAGCCTGCCTGGAAGAGGTCTGAAGGAAGAGACCACATACTTCCTGTTCATCATCCGTGGTCTTTCAAGTCTGTTCGCAGATTTATGAAGAATGCAATTTGGCTTCTGCCTGATATGGATTCCACAGGCAATTGGTCACTATCTAACTCAAATTTGAAAATACTTCTCTATGAAGTCCATACTCTATTGTAGCCTCTGATGAGTGTTTATATTCAAATTTCAGGTACAAGCCTGGGCAAGTTTATCTAGAGAAAGACCTGATACTTCCTTATGTTACCAATGTTGATTTGTGTGATGCGAAGTGCTTATCACTAACTGAATCGAAGAGAAGCACACTACTATTTTTTCGGGGGAGGCTTAAAAGAAATGCTGTAAGTGTTTTGGCTGAGATTAAGAACCTAATTTTCTTGACTATAATTTGATTCATATATGTAAAATTTTTGGAAGTCAAAGATAGTTGTAGATTTACTCTTTGTGTCATCTTCGTTGTCAAGTCATGTAAGAGTACTTATGCATTAGACTTGATGTGTGGAACATGCAACATAGAAGCAGGTAGTTCTTTGTAAGGTTGGATCACAACTGCAACTGGAAGATGTATTTACTAAAACAAAAGAAAAAACAACTCCGTATATAAGATGACCAATTAATTATGGCACAAATGTTTAGCGATGAAGCTTTGTCAAGTTGAGCATAGTGGGAGATTACATGGCAGTAATGATGAATTGTTAATGAAAGACTGAGAATGTCTTGTTTGTTGGAAAATATTTGATAATATGCATATTGGCAGAATTTATGGCACTTATTAGGTGGAATGATGGAGAAGATAGAGTTTACCTTCCCACATGTATGGTATGGATAAAGGGTTTAAGGGTATGACGGTGATTGCCATTAAGTAACCATCCCCTATTTCCATTTCTTTTTTTATGAAGGGTAACTAACTACTAACTAGCATATCTTGAGTGAGAAAATTTTTGTGGCTTCTTAATTGTTGGTCAAGAGTTAAAACAGATCATTCTTGTTAGACAAATAGAATGTTGCTGGACTCATATGATTTTTTTCTAGGTTGATACATATTTATTTGTGAGGGTTTCATGAGGCTTCATTTCAAAATCAGAAATCTATCTAAAAGCTTCACTCATGCCACCTCATTTGAAATCGTCACATGATTCAGTCTAGTATTGTATATATTAAATTACCAGCCTAGATAAGACGTGCATGATCACATGTTATATCCATACAATCTAGAGCATTATGATTGATTGTAGAAATAAGAAGAGATCATAAAAAATATGAAGAGATCGATCAGGTATAAGTGATCACATTGTTGATTAGTTGGTCCTGATTATTTCTTCTTTTTGATTACTGGCCTAACTGTAATCATTGACACTGATACATTGGATTGGCATGTCCTTATTATGTGTTTTATAAGGTGTAGCTTCATAATCGTGGCACTTTCCTTTCAGGGAGGAAAGATACGTGCTAAACTTGTGGCAGAACTAAGTAGTGCTGAGGGTGTAGTTATTGAGGAAGGGACAGCTGGAGAGGCTGGGAAGGAAGCAGCTCAGAATGGCATGAGAAAGTAAAATTTGAGCTGCATAGAATTCTTTATCAGCGTAGTTCTGTTGTACTGTGCTAAAAAAGTTGAGTTTGCTTCTTTGGTGATCAGGTCTACTTTTTGCCTAAATCCAGCTGGTGACACTCCATCATCCGCTAGACTGTTTGATGCTATTGTCAGTGGGTGCATTCCTGTCATAATCAGTGATGAACTAGAACTTCCTTTTGAAGGAATACTTGATTATCGGAAGGTGTGTATGTTCTTTTGAAGCTTTTGATGTTAGTTTCTTGCGTTGATGCATTTCTTGAAAGCATTAAGAAAAGGTGAAGGACCTGACTTATGACTTAAAGTGATGAATGATTTTGAACTTGCAGCATAGTCAACAAATGTGAAGAAAAATTATTTATAACAGGGAGTATATTAAAGAAATATTCACATCTAAAATTCACATTTTCAGTTTCTTACACAAGGTAGATTTAAGGGCACAAAATTGCTTGAATTCTTATATTATGCTTTGCATGTATTGCTTTAGGTTTTTTCTCAATTTGAAGATCTCATAAGTCATAACCTGTTATATTGAGTTCAGGTTGATTGAAGAAGCGCAATTCAAAATGAATTTGCAAATTTAATTATAATTTGGATTTTTGACACCTTACGGTCCGAAATGTTGGTTTTTTAATTTTAAGGTTTACCACAGACCAATAACTTCATGGAGAATCTATTTTATGTATCTGACAAAAAGAATCTAAGTTTTAATAATGTGTGGTTCATTCTCTTTAGTTTCTTTTCTGGTTTGATTTTTGGTTGGACTATACGGACAGACCATGTTTTTGTGTGATATGAATTGTTTTGTACCTTTTTGGAATTAGGTAGAATCTGCTTCACATATATATTGCACTGAGAATTTGCAAATATGTTTATATCTTTTACCACATTGTCTTCTATTTCATGTATCAAGTAGGTAAGACCGTGAAAGTACACCAATGGTTAAATTCCAATAGAAGGATTGACGGATTTGCTTTATAGTAAATTGGTATTGGTTTGTTCTTCATTGCAGATAGCTCTGTTTGTTTCTTCTTCAGATGCTGTGCAGCCGGGTTGGCTTGTAACATTTCTCAGAAGTATTAGTCCTGCTCAAATTAGAGTGTTGCGGATGAATCTAGCTAAGGTTTGTGACTTGCAAAGGGATGGTCATTATCATGCAGTAGTGCTGTGGTGTGTGCATCTGGGGTCACTTTGAGCTGATTAGTGATTTTGGGCTCTGGTGCACAGTTCTTTTAGCTATAATGATTATTTTTACTTTTCTTGTAAAACTTTTTTCATTGCTGGACCACCTTTTGTTCCCTATTCTATATTAAGCTTTTATTTATTATTTATTTTTTGGTGGGGGATTGTATATTGTTCTGGTTGGGTCACAACTTGGTTGGTACTGATATTTTTTTTTTTTTGGTGACAGTACTCGAGACATTTCTTATATTCCCATCCAGCTCAACCTTTGGGTCCGGAAGACTTGGTTTGGAGAATGGTTTGTTACTCTTTCCTCTTTTTTACCCCTAGCTTAGCTTTCACACATAATATTCAATTTTGTTGTCATCTTAGTTTAAGAAATTGATGCCCAAGAAGTGGACTTTATAGTTTTAGTTTTTATTAATTAATAAGCATGCCATCTAGTAATTATGACTCTGAAGTGTCATTGAAAATTGGTACTTTTTACCCTCTTTATAATATTTTTTCCTAGTTGTTTTACTCTCTTTGTAGTTATATGAATTTTATTACCAACCTGTGGCAAAAACTCTGTTGAACCTTTGATGCTGGGAACTCCTGTTTTGTCCTCATAGGGAAATTTAGTCAGATCTGAGCGACGTCCTTTACATGAGCAATTTTTATTTATTTATTTATTTTGCCATAATTATTTTCTCAAGCACGAAAAGCTATATAATGGTTCCCTTCTCCCAGCTGATGCTTGATCCTTGTCTCACGTTGGATATTGTTTTAACTTTTTTAAGTCCATGGATGTTGGCTTTACATGCATATGGAGGCGGAACCTACCATCTTTAATAGCTCTGGGCTTTTGTTATAGTGACCCATGGTCGACCATTGATAACGAAGGATGAAACTGGTGCAGTGGTTAAGTAACTGCTCTGCAATCTTGGTGCAGCAGTGGATACTCTTTATGGGCTTAAATAATCACATTTGAGTTGTTCTATTGACCAGTTACACAAACTAGATGAAGCTAGTGCTAATTGCAGTTTAAAATGGAAAAGCACTAGAATAGTTATATATCAAACCTGATTACATGATTCATTCGTCATTGAAGTTTCTGCATTGTACGAGTCATTTTATGCTGCTCCAAAAAAGATAGAAGAGGCAATCCATGGACTAGCCTTAATAACTACTAAGCATCATAGAACAATTAATTTTGTTTGGCACTTTGGCTGGTATTTATATTTGAAATCTAATATTTCCTTGCTTTTTTGGTTGTTTGACTAGATGGCTGGTAAGTTGGTAAACATCAAGCTTCACACCCGAAGATCACAGCGTGTGGTGAAAGAATCTAGAAGTGTGTGCTTTTGTGATTGCAGGCGTGCCAACTTTACAAGTCCAGGTTCCTCTTCTTGATTGTTGAACACGGGTTTTTTTCAATCATCTTTTATAAGTGTCAGGTTGCTCGTCTAAAACTCACAGATACATTATCGTATTTTGGAATTTACTTTATTTATAGTCAAATTTATATGTAAACGATGTAACAGAAAACTGTGTTTATCATCAAGAATTAAAGAAACACGTGATTCTGCTCTTCCTTCTCAATCTTGCTACTTGAACAGGCAAAATAAATTGAATGACAGAAATCATCAAATCATTTCCAGAACGGGCCAATCGTTTTCTTATGCTAACATGGATTGATGTAAATGAGTTGGCAAACTTCTTTCTAACCTTTCGTTTCATTTTTCTTTTGCTTTGAAGATATCATCCTCCTGTAGCTGTTGCCTGTAATTATTTTTCTCGTCTTGCTTAGCACAGAAATTTGGGGGATAGATTGACAAGTTATCGGCATCTCACCGTGAATTATTTTCTCTGATTTCAAGTTTATTATCAGTTTACACTCAATATAAAAAAAATGGGTTTTGATGTTAATATTGGAGGAGTAAAGTTGTTTAGACAAATGACAGATTTGATGAAAATCTGAATGTCACAAACAAATCACCTTTCGTAGAGCTATTTTCGGGTTGAATCCCCTCCCGGTTATACTATTGGGCTAGAAGCCGATTAAAAAAAGACATTCAATTCCGTGATATTCACTGTATTTATTCCGTGATGTACCTATCATAATACTCCAAGTCAGCCTGCTAATTAATTTTTAAATAAGCAGTATTTTTCAATCAAAGATGAGATGTGGTGAGGAGTGTTATTGAGTTGTATGAGGAGGAAAAAAAAAAAATAAGGCGAACGGTAACGTGCACAAACATTGGCGACAGCACATGGTTCCGACCGACCACCGTCGCTTGGTGTGACAAGCGAAGCAAGCATTATTATTCCCTACCCAACGTGCAAAGCACAAACCGAAGCTTCTTTACGGAGTGGACGACTTTGTACGAAGCACAAACTGAAGCTTCTTCTCGGAGTGGACGACTTAGTACGATTTGAAAATGCCTTTAAATTGTAGGTCGTATCCTATGAGTGGGTTAGTTATGCATGACGCGTTCGGGAGCTTCATGATTTGGTTGTGAACTACAGCTATACGTATACGTGTATCATGGCAAAAGCACAAGGGTAGTTCCGTCATTGCAAACCAACCGTCCAACGAACCCAATATTAAAGTAGTCTATAGATTGCCGCGCCTATTCACCGCCAATTAAATAGTTAAAATGACAGACAAAATACAACTGACCCATCACGACCGCGTCCAATAATATGAAACTCTCACGGAGGCTGTGAGATTTTATTTTGTTTCTTTCAACTATTGTTTATTAGTATACCAATAAAAATTTATAATTCTCTCTACTGTGAGATGGCTATTCTTTTATATTCATTTCTTTTTATTATTCACTTATTTTTCAAAGACAATTACCTGCATAATAATTATAAAAAAATATATTTATGGGTGATTATCATGAATTTAATTATGATGTTTAAAAAGTAAAACAAATATACCGATCACATTAAATTTGGCCCTTTTTATTATGCTTAACAACAAGATATTATTAAATTATGCTATTTAGTGGAAATAAGAATGTTAAAGCGTTGATGAAAAAATTAGAAAGAAAAGATCTCAATAGGTGTCGCTCTAACATTCTACGCGCGCTCTTTCGTTCAAATTCTTACTACTTATGACTTAATTTTACCGTTCTCACGCTTCCGCTCTCGAATTTGCTCCTACTTTCGCTTTATGTGACTTAGGTCATACATATACCGGAAAAAAAACGGAGAAGATGTCTAAAAATATATAGCAATAGAAGGAAAATAAATAATTTTAAAAAGTTGGGGAAATGACATGCAATAGAAAAGATTAGATAGATAATTCATATAAGATTAAGATAAAAATGGTGATGATGATGATGATATTAATTATTTAAATATGCACTTTAAAAAGAATAATTTTAAGAATTAGAAAAAGAAAAATGAAAGAAAACTGAGAAAATTTTAAAAGGAAAAAGTTTCTATTCCATTAGGGGGATCAGGAGCAATCGAAAAAGTAAATCCATTATTTCTTAGAATCCTGAATAGAACGCTACTGATAATTGTACTAATTCAGATATGTTTTTCCCCCATTAATCGGTACCAGATAAAGTAATGAAAAGTTTCATATTTTGTATATGTTGGATGAACCAAATTTTCCTTAAAAAGAGTTTTAATTGACAAAAGGAAAATTTGACTTTTTCTTTTTAATAAAATTTAAGAAATTTGAAGAGTAAAGAAAAAAATAAGAAAAAAAATAAAGAGATAATTTTAGAAATCACAAAATTTAAGGAGATATGTATAATTTTTTGTTCATATATATATAAAAAAATAAAAATAAAAATTATTACATATATGGCCAGGGCAGGGGCCGTGCCCCAGGGCGCTCTTTAAATGGTCATAACTTTAATTTTTGCATTATTATTTTGGTTCAAAAATTTCTTCTTTTAATCATATTATTAAGGAAATTTTCTTCAATAAAAAAATAAAATAAATAATAATTAAAAATGCTGCTGATTCTATGAAGAAAAATGATTTTTGCACCGACTTTATTGCAGTGAATTACTCGATCTATTATTTTAAATTAGTTTATCTATGTAACAAAATAAAGAAATAGGACCCTCTCGATGTTTGTAAGAAAAATGATTATTTCACTTATGTGCATAAATAATCAATCATAAATTTTAATTATAGTAAATCGGCATCAATACTTTACTTATATTATGCATAGATAACTAAGAAAAAAACATTCATTTAGGCCATGAATCTCATTTGGATTTTTTGTTTAATCAACTCTTCTATTTTAGGTCCGAAACGAAGAAGAAGAAAAAAACAAATAGAAGTTACTAACTAGAAATCAAATAATGAAAGATTTCGCTGCAATCAATAAATAAAGTAATAATAAACAATGAGTAATAGAATGATTTCTAAATTATATTTCGCAGTAAATTACTCCAACAAGTTTCACTATTCTTATCCAAAATACCAAAATTGTCCTTCGCATCCTATGAGCTTATTTTAATCACACTTTACCAGTTTACCTCACTTGAACTCCGCTCTTTTATAATCCTTGTCTGAGAACTCCGGGATTGGTTGAAAACTCATGCCGGCGATCTTAAGATAGTGAAAAATACGCCCTTCCGAATAGAGAATATATACAATTATATATATAGAGAGAGAGAGAGAGAGGGTGAGATAGAGAGAGAGAAGCTGAATGTGGAGTGCCGGCGATTGTCCAGGCACATTTCCTTTTTTGTTTGAAGGCTTTTAGAGCTAGCTATACAAAATATTTATATCCATATATATACAATTATACATTTATAGCCCCACCCGATATTCATATACATTTATATATATACACACAAACGATCATGGTGTTCTGCTTGTAGCTTTGCACACGACTTGGTCTCTCTCTAACAGGAATGGAGGCATTTGGCAGTTGGGCAGCATCTCAAAACTTTTGAACTTTCAGATTCAATCAAGAAGCTTTAAAAGAGGTTTGCTTTTACATGAGCCCTAGTTTTTAAAGGTCTGATTGATTTATTATCATACTCTATCAATTTCACTTGTAGATGCTATTTTCTGAAGGTATTTTGATTTGCTTAAAGCGTTATAGCTTTTATTGGATTGGTAATATGCGCTTCTTCAAACATGAGTTGTGTTAATTTTGTTGTGAGAGTTTTTTACTTTATTTTAACTTCTTCAGTGTTCAGCAGCAAAATGATTTGTTGTTATACATTAGTTCTTTGATTTTTGTGTTAAAATGTTTGACTTAATTTGAACTGCTTCAAATGCTTCTTCAATAGATTTCAGTTTTTGCAACCTCAAGATCTATACTTAATTATCTTGAAACAATTTTGATAATTTTTTAGTTTTGTTTGAAGACGATTTGTTGATTTTGTTGTTGTTGTTACACAGGTTCTGCAATTTTTATACATATTTTAATCTGATTTGAAGTCTTATAAGTATATATGCATTGGCTGTCATGATGATTTCTGATTGATGGGTATATCTGTTAGTTTTATAGAGATATGATGATTGATTTTGAATTTATTGCTGTATGGAAATTCCAGGATTTGGGAACAAATCTGTGCAACTGTTAAAATATGGCATCAAAATCATCCAAGGCTCTGGATTCACAGCACAATAAGTCTCAGAAGGCCCCAACTGTGACATTTGGCCGGAGAACTTCATCAGGACGATTTATTAGCTACTCGAGAGATGACCTTGACAGTGAACTTGGGAGCACTGATTATATGAACTATACAGTGCACATGCCACCAACGCCTGACAACCAGCCAATGGATTCGATCTCCCAGAAGGTGGAGGAGCAGTATGTGTCAAGCTCACTTTTTACAGGTGGATTCAATAGTGTTACGCGAGCTCATCTCATGGACAAGGTGATTGAATCAGAAGCAAATCATCCTCAAATGGCTGGTGCAAAAGGATCTTTGTGCCAAGTTCCTGGGTGTGATGGGAAGGTGATGAGTGATGAAAGGGGTGTGGATATTCTCCCTTGTGAATGTGATTTCAAGATATGCAGGGATTGTTATTTGGATGCAGTTAAAACTGGAGATTCCATTTGCCTAGGGTGTAAGGAACAATATAAGACCATGGATCTGGATGAAGTGGAAAATGGGCGGCCACTTCCACTTCCACTTCCTCCACTGGCTGGAATGTCAAAAATGGAGAGGAGGTTGTCATTGATGAAATCAACAAAGTCAACACTGATGAGAAACCAGACTGGAAGTTTTAATCACAATCGGTCAGCAATGATGAGGAGCCAGACTGGTGTAGATTTTGATCACAATCGGTGGCTGTTCGAAACTAGGGGCACCTATGGGTACGGCAATGCAATATGGCCAAAGGAAGGAGAAGGGTTTGGGAATGGAAAAGATGATCAGGTAGTCGACCCTTCAGAGTTAATGAACAAACCATGGAGGCCGCTCACACGCAAATTAAAGATACGAGCTGCTGTTATCAGCCCATATAGGTACATCCTCTTTTTTTCATGATGTTTTTATCTATTTATTTATATCTTTCTTATATTATCTAGTTCCTAAGTTATGATGATACCTAGATCATGGATGTTTTCTTTTTAGACAGATTGGTTAAGAAATTTTCTTCTTTCTTGTTTTCTTTGGGTTAATATCTTTCAGTCATGATGATGCTGTGCTTGTGATTTCTGATGATGATGTAAAAGCATTGGTTCAATGCATCTCATCACACCAAAAGGATTGATTATTAATAAACCACTTCATATTGATGCATTCCCACCTATAGGCCTACAACCAGTCTATTATCAATTATCTTAGGTAGTCACACATATCCATTTTGGCTTCTTGTTAAAGTTAGAATCGAAAGGAGTCACTTATTGCAAATCACTAGGATTCATACGAAACACACTAGTCCTACCAGTTATTGTGCCATTATATGACTTGGTTCAGAATAAGATTACTTATTCTCTGATCTCACTCATAAAAAAGGTTATTCACTGATCTCTGTTTCTGTACCTGTCATGATCTGCAACCAAATGATTTGAATTTCTCACCTAGGATTTTGAAACTTGTCTAATCAAGCATTTTGATTCCAAGATTTTAGCCTTAAGGGCCACAGTGGGGGTACTTTATCAGAGTGACAATTGATTATTCCTCAGTGACAAGGATACATTGGTTTCGGATCCTAGTCTGTTAGCATTTGTGCCACGTATTTATTATTAAGTTCATATTTATTCTTATAACTTATTATTGACACTGAAGTTTTGAATGAAGAATGAATTTGACACTGCCATGCAAAATGCAAGGGGGCTACTAAAAAACAAATTGAATCATATTAAAAACCATTTCGGTGATCTATGGATATGATAAGAGAATATAAGATGTAAGATTACTTATTCGTTTATACTTATTTTTTGACATGAGCATAGATATATATTTTTCTTAACTTCTTCAGGTAAATACTTGGTTTGTTTGTTTCTTTTTATCTTATTTCTTTTTCTTTCCTATTTCTCGGAGTGTGCGTGAATGCATGCACTTCTATATACACTAACACACTGTTAAAACTTAGGATTTTAGAACTAGCACTTCAAAGATTGACAATTCCTTCTGACTTGGGTCATTTGTATTTCCAAATAAATTCTGTGATTCTAAAAGTACTTTTCCACATGTTTGCTGGTATGTCCATTTTGTTTTCGTTAAGTGCATTTCTTTCATATAATGAATGCTGACTGCTGACAAATGCTCACAGGCTTCTGATTGTAATTCGGATGGTTGTTCTTGGGTTGTTCTTGGAATGGAGGATCAAGCACCCAAACAAAGATGCTATCTGGCTTTGGGGAATGTCTGTGGTTTGTGAAATATGGTTTGCATTCTCTTGGGTTCTTGACCAATTGCCCAAGCTCTGCCCTATCAATCGTTGTACAGATCTTAACGTCTTGAAGGACAAGTTTGAAACACCTAGCCCTAACAATCCCACTGGAAAATCTGATCTCCCTGGGATAGATATCTTTGTCTCTACTGCAGATCCAGAGAAAGAACCCCCTCTTGTCACTGCAAATACAATATTGTCTATTCTAGCGGCTGATTATCCTGTCGAAAAGCTTTCTTGCTACGTTTCTGATGATGGAGGTGCCCTTCTAACCTTTGAGGCCATGGCTGAGGCTGCAAGCTTTGCTAACATGTGGGTCCCATTTTGCCGTAAACATGACATTGAGCCCAGAAACCCAGAATCTTACTTCAATTTAAAGAGGGATCCTTACAAGAACAAGATGCGGACAGACTTTGTCAAGGATCGTAGACGGGTAAAGCGTGAGTATGATGAGTTTAAGGTCCGCATTAATGGCCTCCCAGAATCTATCCGCCGTCGTTCTGATGCCTATCATGCTCGGGAGGAAATAAAGGCCATGAAACAACAAAGACAGAACACCGATGATGAAGCTGTGGAGAGTGTGAAGATCCCAAAAGCTACATGGATGGCCGATGGAACCCATTGGCCTGGGACTTGGACAACTGCTGCACAGGAGCACTCTAAGGGTGATCATGCTGGAATAATACAGGTATTATTTGAGCAATGAACCTACTAACTATTAATGTTGTCCCATAAAGACTTTGAAAACTAAGAGTATTATTTGAGCAATAGACCTACTAACTATTAATCTTGTCCCATAAGACTTTGAAAACTAATAGTATTATTTGAGCAATAGACCTACTAAATATTATTGTTGTCCCATAAGACTTTGAAAACTAAGAAAGTTTTAGGAACTGAAAGACGGGAAGAAAAGCTTAACATGGCTTCTTTAATGATGCAGGTGATGTTGAAACCTCCAAGTGATGAACCATTACAGGGCACAGCTGATGATCCTGGGCTAATTGACTTGACTGATGTTGATATCCGTCTCCCCCTGCTTGTTTATGTTTCCCGTGAGAAGCGTCCTGGCTATGATCATAACAAGAAAGCAGGAGCCATGAATGCCTTGGTTCGAGCCTCCGCAATCATGTCTAATGGCCCCTTTATCCTCAACCTTGATTGTGACCACTACATCTACAATTCTCAGGCTATGAAGGAAGGCATGTGTTTCATGATGGATAGAGGTGGGGACCGGCTCTGCTATGTTCAGTTTCCTCAGAGATTTGAGGGTATCGATCCTTCTGATCGCTATGCCAATCACAACACTGTTTTCTTTGATGGCAACATGCGGGCTCTTGATGGTCTTCAGGGTCCAGTTTATGTTGGAACTGGATGCCTCTTTCGACGGATTGCCCTTTATGGATTTGACCCACCTCGATCAAAAGACAACCACCCTAGTTGCTGCAGCTGCTGCTTTCCCCGTCGTAAAACGCACGCCACTGCTAACACCCCAGAAGAGAATCGGGCCCTGAGAATGGGTGATTCTGACGATGATGATATGAACCTCTCTCTGACTCCAAAGAAGTTTGGAAACTCTACTTTCCTCATTGAGTCAATTCCAATTGCAGAGTTCCAAGGTCGTCCCCTCGCAGATCATCCGGCTGTGAAGAACGGTCGGCCACCTGGTGCTCTCACCATTCCCCGAGAGCTTCTTGATGCATCAACTGTCGCGGAGGCAGTAAGTGTCATCTCCTGCTGGTACGAGGATAAGACTGAGTGGGGACTGCGTGTTGGGTGGATTTATGGGTCTGTTACTGAAGATGTGGTAACAGGGTATAGGATGCACAACAGGGGATGGAAATCTGTTTACTGTGTGACCAAGAGGGATGCCTTTCGTGGGACTGCCCCAATCAATCTCACAGATAGGCTCCATCAGGTCCTTCGTTGGGCTACTGGTTCAGTTGAGATATTCTTCTCCCGCAACAATGCCCTATTAGCAAGCTCAAGAATGAAGTTCTTGCAGAGGATTGCATACCTCAATGTTGGCATCTATCCTTTTACCTCGATCTTCCTAATTGTCTACTGCTTTCTCCCTGCACTTTCCCTCTTCTCTGGCCAGTTTATTGTCCAAACTCTCAATGTCACTTTCCTTGCCTACCTTCTAACCATTACTATTACTATCTGTTTGCTTGCTGTGCTTGAGATCAAGTGGTCGGGTATCGAATTAGAGGAGTGGTGGAGGAATGAGCAGTTTTGGTTGATTGGAGGCACTAGTGCCCACCTTGCTGCCGTGCTTCAGGGGCTTCTAAAAGTTATTGCTGGGATTGAAATCTCTTTCACACTGACTTCAAAATCAGCAGGTGATGACGAGGATGATGAGTTTGCAGATCTCTATCTTGTCAAATGGACATCCCTCATGATTCCGCCAATCACCATTATGATGGTTAACTTGATTGCAATAGCAGTTGGGTTTAGCCGGACAATATACAGTGCTATACCACAGTGGAGTCGTCTGATAGGTGGAGTTTTCTTCAGTTTTTGGGTTTTAGCACATCTCTACCCCTTTGCCAAAGGGCTGATGGGAAGAAGAGGCAGGACCCCCACCATTGTTTTTGTATGGTCTGGACTTATTGCAATCACCATTTCCCTTCTTTGGGTGGCAATCAATCCCCCGGCAGGCGCTGACCAAATCGGAGGCTCGTTCCAGTTTCCCTGACGAGTCATTGGCAATGAATCCACCCGAAGGCACTGACCAAATCAGAGGCTCATTCCAGTTTCCCTGATGAGTCATTCTTTTTTCTCTCAAAGTGGATCTGATAAGCAACATTTATTCATTAAATTCTTTTCTCAACAAGTCATTATGCTAACGAAAGAATTTGGTATGCCTTCTACCCATTTGTTGCAGTTCTTTACTCAAATCAGTAAGGCTGAATCCTTACCATTTTTGGGTTATTGGCATGAATCTTGTTTCACTATTTAAGTGTAATTTTATGAACATTTTAGCAATATGAGATTATAAGGCTTAGGAAATTGAAATTTGCGCTATAATCAGAAAATTTTCTTTGTATGTTTAATTTTTATATGATGTCTTTGATATGGAATATTCAATTGATTGCTTTTTGACTATGGTGATTAGAAGTTGCAGTTAGGTGTATTCTAATTTGGTGAGCTGACTTTCAGAATCAAAGCAAACTATTCTGATTGGATTCTTTCCATTTTATTTGATCTTCTATACGTAATTGCCAAGAAGCGCTGAGTTTAGAATCAAAGCAAAGCAAACTATTCTGGTGGATTCTTTCTAGTTTATTTGATCTTCTATACTTAATTACTAAAATATTTCTGCGCTGATTTATTGTCGAAAAGCAATTATTTTCTTTTGCAGTTCAATTATACGCGTGCAGCTCCCCCATTCCTAGCTAAGGATTGGCTCTGATACCATTTGTGTTGATATTGTCCGCATTGCACATTCTTCTCTCGGTGCTCACAGTTATCAAAATGCGTTTACACAATTAGGGGTCTCCACACAAACAAGTCTCAATAACTTCTCCCCCAAGTGATGTGCGACACCTTCGTAGATTCATTTTGAAAACCGTGAGTACTAAGAGGAGAGTGTGCAAAGCGGACAATATCTACATGGGTTGGGACTGGTCATGACATTTGACTTGGAGAACCATTTTTTAACTAGATATTCCCATAGAAAATTCAGTTGTGAATCTGCACTAGGCATGTTAAAGAGCTTTTGTTTGGAGAAATTGTTCTTCAATCATTTTGTCTAACCATGAACTGAAATTCATACCTTTCTGTCTGATAACTTTTGGAGCTTCAAGAAAAATTGAGTCATAGCCATTAGCCAATCCTATTGCCTATATTAACCGATTGTCAGCTTTTTAACTGTTCCATATAACTCATAGTCTGTTCCTAGCAATTGGTGATACCTTAAGTTACAGCTGCTTATTCAAATTAAACTGTTTTGATTCTTGAAAAATTCCTGAAATTTATTTGAAATTCAAATGTAATCGGTGCATGGTTAATTTACTTGCATGCCTAACAATCCTCAACAATTGGGGTGTATAGATTTCAGATTGTTTTGTTTTATATTGTCGTGGTCCTCTGTTATATGGGGAATTTTGTCCCACATCGGATCTGGATAGAAAATGTAATGGATATAAATGGATTGAGTGTTAGCCCACCTAATAGTTTAAGTTTTTGGATCCGATCACGACCGGTTATAGTTAGTATCAAAACTTGATCCAAATCTTGATCTGGTGTCATGCGTCTCGATGGTCAACCCAGGTAGACAGGGTGGCCCAACCGCAACAAGAATTCGGATGGGGATGGTCAACCCAGGTAAACAGGGTAGCCAACCTAACCCAGGTAGACAGGGTGGCCCAACCGTAACAAGAGTTCGAATGAAGGAGAATGTTACAAGGAACACTTTACTTATTATTTTTTTTAAGGCCTTGCTTAATCATCCCTTTGGGAGCTAGGCTACAAGACCCTAATTGTGCGCCCACACACCAAAAAAACAAAGGTTTTTTTTTTCTTTCTTTTTTTTTTTCGCATCACATAAGCTATAAGAATTAGAGACTCCAACCCTACTACTACTCTCTCACAGCCCACCGGACCCTACCATTTTCCTTCTTAAAAATATGTGAAATCATAATAATAGTGCAGGTAAGCAATTAGGCAATATCTGCATCTCTGTAATGGTTGGAGTTAATGCTAATTACATAACTTACAACCCCTCATCTCTCTATATTTATTTACTAAGACACATTTAATCTCCCTCCCTCTGTGTGTAACTGTTGAGTTTTAATACTAATTACATAACTTATTGACAATGGAAAGACCTGCACTTTTAAGAATATTCAGAACTGCATAGTTAAGTGCATTAAGTTCACAAAAGGAAACCTAAACTTATGAGAATGAAACCATCAAATTGGATGCTTAAAACACTCGAGTAATTAAAACCTGCAAGATTTTATTATAAAGATAAAACCCTTTTTTCCTAACCAAATTCTATCCTAAAAAGAAGTCATTCCCCATTCATGCAGAAGGCATGAACTTTGGTTGTTGGAGCAGAGGATGCATGTTCAAGCTAACCTCAATTAACCGTCCCGAAACCGGTTAACTTTCATTCCTAATAAGATCAAACACCCATAGAAGAAATCCACAAGCCATCCATTGAAGCAAGAACACCCCATCCACATGGCCACTTACATGACTTTGTCGATTCTTCTCATGGCACTGATAGTCTCGTCATCGGCCATTGCTACGGATATTCCTTCAAGAAGCCAAGACCTTGTTATTGCTATCGAAGAGATGCAGAAAGCCAACTACTTCACCTTTTGCATGCTACTCAACATGGCTCCCGCAGATTTGATTTCCGGGAATGTCACTTTCTTGATGCCCAACGACAGGACGCTAGCCAAAACCATGATTGCACAGAATGCTGTCTCGGATTTCTTACTCCGTCAGTCAATCCCATCGCCTTTGCTCTTCGACAACATACGATATATGCCTACAGGCTCCATCATTCCAACGTTGAAGCCGGGTTTTTTCCTTAATGTTTCGAACAGTGGAAGGAAGAGTTTTTATCTCAACAATGTCCGGATCAACAGCCCCAATTTATGTACGGAAGGGTCTTCCATTAGATGTCATGGCATAGATGGGGTGTTGCAAGCACACACAGTGACACCAGAGCATAACAGTACACTTCCTTCGCCTACTTGCAGTAATAGCAGCTCTAATTGTTCCGGTCCTAATGCAACTGCTTCGCCGCCTTCTCCTTGGTGGCCATCACAGCCACCTCCATTTGCTGGCATTAGTCTCAGTCCAACCGCGCTGCCTCCTACTAATGCAAGTGACAGTTCCAAAAATTCGGGTCCTTCTCAACGGTTGTCCTATGGAGGATCATTGACATTCTTTACAATTTGTCTTTTGACACAAGTCTTGATATAGACCATAGAGTACTGCAGCTAACAAATTTTAATGGTGCTAATTACTGAATCATGTTTGTTGAGGTTCTGAGAACTTGAGTATGGGCCAAGTGCTGGTACCATTTCCATGATAATGTATTGTCCAGAGATCAATTTATTGGTTTCTTTGAAGTTATTTAAACAGATTTTAGTTATCATCATCGTTGTTGGCTTGTTGCTACCACTATTATGCAACTGCACCATAACAACTACCACTAAAATATCACGAGTTTTTCGGTAATTGTCTCGTGTATGTGAAGTAGGAGAGTACATGTAGCTCATAGCTTATAAGAGTGAGTTTTGTAAGAAGGCTGATACTACCGTCATGAACAAAAATAATAATAAATAAAGCAAAAGGAAAACTTGTGTTTGGCCATTATGCGTTACTTCTTGATCTCTTTGGAGCAATGTTGTTAACCTTTTAAGAAGGAAAAAAAAAAAAAAAGTAAAATAAATTAGTATCAATGGAAAATAACTAGCTTCATGCAATGCCCATTTTTGACTTGCTCTTTTTTTACTTTTCTGTTCTTTTTTATTTATTTATTTTTGTGTGTGTATGTGCGTGTACATCTATACTTAATATTAAGTATCATCGGGTCATTGTTTAAGATGGTATGATCTCTCATATCTAATGAAGTATTAAGTACCTCGTTGTTTAAGATGATATGATCTCTAGTCTCTAAAGAATTGAAAAGATTTATAATAGGAGGGGCGTTTTGGAGATTTAAAAAGTTTTTAAAACTTCTTTATTACATACATAAGTTGTCTATTGGGCACATTTATTTTCATTTTATTAATAGCCTATTTATTCTATTTAATTTGGATTTTTATGTGATTTATTATTAGGCTTATTTAATTTGGCTGTTACAAACCCTTGGGCTTTGCCTATATAAGCTTGTTTCTATTCTTATTTTGTGATTTTTTATTAGTTTTTATGGTTTAGAGTCTATGTAATTATAGAGACTTTAAGACAACATAGTTACACACGAACTTAAAAATTATGTGAATGGAACGGCCTTTAATAATAATAAGATAAAAATATTCAAACCGCCATAAGGAGGAGTGAGATGAGAGGTGTGGTTGCTTATATATATATATATATATATATATATATATTGTATTATTGTAATTTTGGGGGGACAATCTTAATATTTTATAGGTATATAATAGAAAAACAAATAAATCAGTAGCATATAATACTGGTACGTGCATGTTTATATTATAATATTTGATGTAATTTTCTATTTTCATCGATTAAAATTAGTTTTATTTTTTCATATACAAGGTCCTATTTCAAACTATTTATCGTTAGATTAAATCCATTTTTAAGTTTTCCTTAAATTTTATTATTTCTTTGATGAGATAATGTTGACAATTTTCATATTTCCACCTTGGAATGATTATAATAAATAAAAATAAAAATTTGGCTGAGTGTTGTTGGGATAATGATAGAATGAATAGGGTCGGTTCAATTAAAAAGAATAGCAAAAGTTTTCCGTTGCCGGGACTTGAACCCGGGTCTCTCGGGTGAGAGCCGAGTATCCTGACCAACTAGACTACAACGGAATCTGTGAAGACGCTTACATTCATAACTATTTCATTATATTCCGAAAATTACACTATCCAGTGGTGTTGAATTACTTGGAGTAACTTTTTTGTTCTAATGAATAATTTTTTTAAAAAAATTTTCCTTGTTCTTATGACCTTGGATGAGATTATTCATAGCTGGTAATTTCCCAATAATAATATTTTATGAGTGTATAATTGAGAAAATTAAATGAACAAGGGTGAATTACTATAAAAATAAAAATAAATAAAAATTCAGAGGGTCAATTGTCCCTGCTGAAGTACATGTAACTCCTTCCCTAACTATGAAATGGGAGTATATTTTTTTTCCTAGTTGGTACTCACACACACATGTCTCTTCGGAAACTTGAATCTTGCGGCCTAAGACTCATAGGCAAATATTCGTTTTTGCCCTTTAGCACATTGAACATGTGGTGACCTCCTTGAGCACATTGAATTCACCTCACAGCGCAGCCCAAGACTTGCCGGCAAAGATCCTTTCTTGCTGGCTTCGTCGGCAAATAACCTTTCTTGCCCTTGATGAGCAAGCAGACATGGGGTAGGCCGACGAGGCCAATAACCCATCTGTCCTTTCTTGCACTTGACACCATACAAACAGTTTGATTTACCTTGAATATACTCCCATTTTATCAAAGGCCAGTAGTATAGCGGTATCAGCTTTTTACTTTTCAAAGGAAGAGGTCACCACTGCGACCGAACAAAGCATTCCAATGGCTTTGACTGGTATAACCTTCCCGACCCGGTTTTTTTTGTTTTTGTTTTTTGTTTTTTTTTTTTTTTTTTCACGGTTTTTCATTATCTACATAAAAAAGATATGCACCAATAATCGATGCTGACCACCTATATACAAGTTTCATGTTTCTCTGACTATCGGTTTGATTCAGACTGCTTGTTGAAAAGATCATTGCAATTTTCACCAAAGAACAAGATCTTGAGGTGTTCTGCAAATGTTAACCTAGGTTGACTGTTATCTTTACCTTTTGCTCGAGTTGGGGGTAACAAGTTAAGAAACAACCACCATTCTCACCACAATACAAGGTTTCTAATATATAACTTGCTAATAAAAATTTTAAACGTTGGATAAGTGACCTCTGAATTTTCTTTAATGAACATTTTTAACTCACGGTACGAGAATCGCCAAGGACAAATAGCTGGATATAAAGGGCAGTTCACGGCATGGTAGTCAGAGGAGCCTTAGCATTTACGCAGTCAGCTATATTACGCGTTGACAGTTCTGCACTGATGCTGAATGTTCTAAACAAAATCACATCAGACTTGGATATAACAAAAAATATGAAGTTCATTGCTAACTCTAAAAGATCTTGATTAAAATCACATAACGCATAGATGTAACAAACAGTATGAAGTTCTGCACAAACTCCAAATATCACAAAGAAAATCCATCAGACAGTACTACTTTGTGAAAACCACTAATAGTTACACCATGTTGTCAAGAGTATGGTGTTTCCTCACCATTTACTCTACCATGGCATCAACTGGTGCTTCTGCAGCTGGTGTACCGGATTTTCTTTTGTTCTTACCTGCACAGCAGAAAACATATAAATTTGCATCGCCGTTATCCCAAAATAAAAGCAAGAAGTTTGAACAATACACCGAACAATAGTGTACCAAAAACTTGATTGCGCTTTACAATGGGAGCAAGGTTGCAGATTTATGCATACATGCAGCGGAACTTACCCTTCTTTTTCAATTTAAGCTTCAGACTCTTCTTCAAGTGAAATTTCGCTGGAGCTTTATTGGCATCTTCAGATGTCCCTAATTCCCACAAATTAATTGGCATCAGTATTTGGACAGGAACCACACTAATGCAATGTCAACATGAAAATTTAGGATTTTTTAACTAGTCTAGTTACATGGAAATAAATCATAAGCAGATTTAAATGGGTGCCATAGAACACACACTTGTATCCCTTGCCACAAACCGATCGTGCATTCATTAGGAAAAAGAATCTTGAATGCCATGCTCTCCATACTTCACTACCATGTATTCCTAGGGGAGATTCAAGCTGCCTACCTGTCTCAGCTGTGATTAGTGTGGTAAGAATCAATGTCAAACGTAGTTCAATCTATAAGGACTTGAACGGTAGAGGGTTTGAGTTTTGAGGGTGGTATGACCGAACCCAGGGATGACTCGTGTTGTCTGCGTATCTCAGCAAATATGTACACAGACAAGGATGATGATGGTATGATGACAAGAAGGATATGGATATGACACAATACGGACAAGTCAAGACAATAGATTCTAAAGAAATAGGGTATGCATGTGTTGAGAATATAGAGATATATGCAAGCATATGTATGTATATATCGATTAAATAGTTTGCTCTCGCCTATGCAAGGTTCTGGGAAGGACGAAATGGAATTGAAGCTACCAGTTGTACCGAGTCTATAATGCTTAGCAATATTGAACAAGCAGGTCCTCCAGTCCAACGGACCCAATCCTTTTCTTTCTTTTTTTTCCATAAAGTGATAGCTCTTAAACTCAAATTTGCATCCTCATGCTTGACTACAAAAACTTTTACCATTGCAACAATGACCCTCCTAGTATGCATGCATATGTATAAATAGAAACTGATTGTTTGCCATGCTATATAGACACACTATGACAATTTTTTGGTGGATCTATTAAGTAACCTATATTTATAACTTCTAATATTAAAATTAAAATCACGTGAGAAAATTGAAGAATATGTTGCATAGACGGACTTGGAACCAAATTCAATACGATTTATCATCATTATATCTCCAGAGCTTTCTTTGGGTAGATAACAATGCGGAAGTCAAATTAAACATAACAGTTTGTTTGATGTCACGAAACATACACATTGAGTTAATAGGAGCATGATTGCTCAACCAGTGTTTCACTGCAATCCTCTGATGTCATCTAATAATTGTGTTGGGTTTCACCCTTGATTTCTTGGTTATTATTCATAAAAATCCTTTTACTGATTTTTTGTTGTACAAAAATGGTTTGTTCTTTAAATGGGTGCTGCAGTAGTCAATTGACGTTTTCTGGAGAAATATAAGGAAATTGTGTGATGTAGAAGGTGCAGTAGGATTAGTCTTAGTCAAGAATAAAAAATAATCTCTTTTGGCAAAACAGGGCCATTGCAACACCCTGGTGCACCCATTCAAAACAAATAAGTTAGTCAAGTAATACTTATGAGCCAGGAACACTAATCTGGACTTATCATTTGTGCAGTGTAACCTCTAATAAAAACCAATTGTGCATCCTTATGTCACCTTCGAAAAGGATTTGAATCCACCCAGCACTATAATATGGGAATCACAGGTGCATGATTTGTTTACTCGACCTTTTAATTTGAAGTAAAAATATTCGTTAAGAACACTAATAAAATATTAGACGGGTAAAAGTCCTGCAATTGTTCAAATGTGATCGACCTGGAAGCTGTCTCATTGCTCATTAATTGGTGTTGCACAACACCTATTTGGTAAAATCCTGGCTTCGCCACTGCAGTATGACATAATAAATGGGATTCTTGTTTTACTCTTTTAAATCCATACAAAGTTTTCAAAATTTCATCAGTATACCTCGCTCTATCTATAACCTTTGTCATATGCATATACATACATATATATATAGGAATATATCCTTTCTTGCCCTATAACACACGTGTTTCTATACATAGGCACAGTCACAGACACATAATAAACATATATATATATATATACAGAGAGAGATATGAATCATATGATGCTATTACCTTCTGCAACAGCCATCTCAATATCTTGCATAGTGATGAGACCCTTCCCCATAGACTCCTTCTGCTCCTGTTTAACAAATTACACGCACATATACATATGAACAAACAATTATCACAATCTAGTGAATCTACTATACATTTATATATATAATTATATATGAAAGTGTTTGTGTGTGTATATAGAGAGAGACAGAGGAAAAGAAGTAGAAAAAAGAGGAGGTAGGTGGAACGAACCCTCCGCCATTTTTTGAAGAGCTTGCGCTTGCGCTTGCCGGAGATTGAGACGGGTTGGGGCTTTTTCTTGAGCTTGGCCGTTAAAGGGTCACCGTGAACGGCTCGCTTTTGCTCTGCTAACGCAGCTCTCCTTCTCTTCTGTACTACGTTGAATTTCGCCATCTATTCTTTTCTTTTCTCCTCCTCCCAAACACCAAAACCCTAACCCTAACCCTAACCCTAACCCTCTACCCGCTTTAGCTCCAACTTGCTCCGTTTTAAATTTCTTAATTCATTTCTGGCATGGAAAATACTTCTTTCCTTACAACCAATTTAATAATATTTATACATACTCTAGTCTTTTTATAAAATAAAAAATATACTATCTGTGCCTCAAAAAAGTGTCATTTTTGTGGTATCGTGACACTTTAATTTGTGAAAGTCATGATTCTTCAAAAATAACACTTTTTACGAGACGGAGAGTATATTGTATTATGTATACTAGCTTTAAATATTTTTTTCTTTTTTCTGAATTATTTATTCAACTAGGGTTATTCTCAAATCTAAAAAGCTTTTGATAATGTACTTTTCCAATGCAATTAAATTGAAGATATAATAATACTTAATATGATTAATATTAAAAGCACAACACAAATTGATAATTCAACAATAAAATAGTAATATAATAATAACATGGTATAATACTCTCCTTAGCATGTTTACATGTCTCATCATTTATGTAAATAACTTTTTGGTACTATATTTTTCTAAAACAACTAAATTGAAGATATAATACTAAAAGTAAGACTTGCTTGTTTTGTAATTCTAAAAATAATTTTCAAGAATTAAGAGAATATAAAATAATTTTCAGAGGATAATAAAAGATTATGTATTTTTATAACTGAGTTTTCAGAAAATAATTTTCAAAAAACTTAACCAAGTAAGAGTTTTTTTTGTACAGTTTTCTATTTTCAGTTTTTTGATAACAGAAAACTGTTCTTAGAGTTACAAACCAAGGAAGGACATATTTTTCAAATGTCACTGAATTAAAGATATAATGCTACTTAATCTGATAATCCAACAATAAAGTAGTGGTATAATAATAGCATAGGATTATATATTCTCCAACAATGGTTTTGCAATGTTCTTTATTCGCATCATTTATGATTTATGTTATTATATAATTGTTTTGCAATGGTTGCTTATCAATCTTGATTCACATTATTTTTTCAACAAGTTGTTTTTAAATTTTGTTTTTGGTTAGTGATAATCTCCAAAAATAATAATAAATAAATACTTAAGGTTTAGTATTTTAAATTACTTGACTTGTAATCGAAAATGATCTTTTCACATTTCAAATATTAATTGAACCCTCTAAAAATTTTGTATCAGCCAACGCTATGTACCTCTTTTAAGATTAGATGTAACATTCTTTTTATAATATCATAAAGATTAAAGTAGTAACAATAATAATAAACATTAATTTTAGATTTAATTTTTTTAGGGAAAAAAAACCAGGATTGTCACAAGTTCCCAGTAACTAATTGGAATTTCATTGAAAAATTCCTATCCAAAATTGACTTAAGTACAGAATTCAACCATTTTCTTCAAACCTATCCACAGTAAACAAATTTTGATAATGGAAAACAAAAATCAAACCATATTTTGTAATTTTGTACATTAATCAAGTTTATTACTACTACTACTCAGTACTCAAGTTGACCCCATACCATATTTATGATCCCAAAGGTCAAACAACCCATAAAAAATAACATAAAATTCACAAACACACACATATAATTATATATATAAGAGCCCACCGTATCAAAGGGAAATGCAACTTTGCACCCTGCGTGTAAGAACGGATTCAAAAATTGTCAATGAGGTGGGTTAATATTTTTTTGGATGGGCTAATACTAGTAATAATTATTTTATTTTATTTTATTTTTAATATTTTTTGGGCTGGTCTAAATTTATGTATAGCCAAAAAAAAAAAAAAAAATTCGGGTTGGGCTTGAGCCCTCAAGCCCACCCCTGGATCTGCCGGTGTCTGCATGGATCCTCTGCTGCACACACATTATGGAACGGGAGCTGTACAACAATCAAGGGCTGTGATAGAAACACACAGCAGTGTGTGTTTCAATTTTGATTGCATTGGATCCCAACTTGTAGCATTGTAGCTAGACAACGCTAAAAACTTCTCTGATATTCAAGAATGAAGAGAACGAGACAAGATATGAAAAGTATCCTTCCCTAAAAATGAACTTGTGCTTATATGTTCTTTAAGTTTTATTCTACTTCCAGCTGAACTTGTGCTTATATGTTCTTAAAGATTCAACGGACCGAGTATGGTCTCACAGCAGATGTTGAAAGGACAAGCATCTCGAGCACAGATGTTTGCTTGGAGGCAACAAAGCCTAGAGGAGTTTGGCCTCGATCTCCTCCAGACTGAGCCCCTTTGTTTCTGGTATGATGAAAAATATGAAAATGAGCGACAAAACTGCTATTCCTGCAATCAGAAGTTACATTACACTGTAAGAAGAAATAACAATTGGCTTGATATGATGATATTAAGTAACAAATACAAGAAGTTGCAGACAAACAGGAAAGAAATGAAATAAGCGACCTCATGTAGTTCAAAATTAACAAATATAACATGTAGGCGCTAGAACATGTCTGAATTCAGATGTATTTGACTTAGAATAAATATAAATAAATAAAAAAGACTTAACCACACTGGAAGCACTTTTAACTATTTTTGCCAACAGTAAGATATGAACCCCCAACACACCTCTCTCCCATATATGTCAAGCTGACTCTTAACCACTATACTACAACAGCTTTGACACGGAGAACTGTAAAATGATGTACAGATTTTCCCCCCACAAGTCATGTAACGTGTATACACATGCGACTCATGTTCCCAGACAACAGATATGTATATATATACATATAAAGAAATATAAAAATGCAGTGCATGTATATGTGCAGAAACATGTTTATACATAGTCATTATATAAAGTGCATAGATATTCATTTGTATACATTTTGGGATGTGATATTCACACTTTACTATTGTACTCTTGGACTCCACTTGTTTTTAACATAAAAGAAATAACAGATAACTCTCAAAATTAGAGAATAAGAATATTCTTTTAGGATAATTATAGAGAGTGAGAGTGCTTTGGAGGAACAACTATGTCATTTCAAAAAAGAAAAGAAAAAAAGAAGAAGAAAGAAAGTGGAGTGAAAATATTATTTCCTTATTCATGTGTACTCATACACATGCCTACGTACCAATTATATGTAGTACATCAATATGAAATGCCCACATTCATGTTTATATAAGCTCATATAAAGTTTTTATCTTGCATTTTCTAAGAATTGTTATTTTTTTTCCTAGGTAAGAATTGTTATATAAGACTTGTTAAATTAATTTAAACTTTCAACCAAACATCAAGAAATAAAAGAAATTTTTTTTTTTTTTGGTGTTAAACATTTTACATCGAAACAAGCAGTGCATATAGGTCAAAGCAGCAGCAAAATGCCAAGTGTAATTATATATTCTGCAGATAACATGTAGCTAATACAATGGAATCATTTCAAAAAATCTAATGCTGATAAATTGAAATGGCCAAAAAAATTAAGCACCTTCAGAGGAGAAAATGCAAACGTTACTAGTGCATTTGCTCCAAAATTTACAAGCACTGCTATACTTAATCCTCGCCCTCGTAGACGTAATGGGAAGACCTCTGAAATCATCAGCCACCCGATGGGACCAAATGATAGCTGCAAAACCATTCTTCATAAGTTCCTACCCTGTGGTACAGCATTACAACATATTAGACACACAGCATCCAAGTCAAATCGACAGGAAAAACGGAAAGCTAAATATTCAATTTTAGCTAAAAGCAAATTGTTCATAAAAGAATTATAGAAATTATTCAATTTGGCACACATGCCACCATGTACAAGTTAATTTTTCATTTTTATTCTGATGCACATGAAAAATTAGCAAATGATCTTATCTTCCCATTTCAGAGAAATTCTTCTCTTCTTTTCATTTTTTCCTTGTCACACTAACACATGCAATTGTGGTTTGTAGCTCCACTATGTCTAAATAATATAAGTATATTAAATGAGTTAAGTTTATAATGTTCATGATTATGACCCAAAAAGATTCTAGAAGAGAAGATTCTTCGACTAACAATTACTATATTTATAAATAGCAGGGAGACCTTGCCTTTGTAACCTAATTTGGCTATTTGCTATCTTGCACAGAAGAAGACTTGTTTTATCTGTAGCTACACACTGAACTGATGCAATGAAAGGGAACTAAGAAATTGTGGGGTCCTGTCCTTTATTCTATTACTATCAGTTACAAAATCGACCCTCTAATGATTTGTAATTACAGGAGGCTCAAAATTTATAAAATAATAGAATTATATGACATTTTAAGAATATTTGGTTCCTAAAATATATTCTATTCTGTTAAGACAAACACCTCACTATGTCTTACAACCAATTTTGATGTGGGAGTACTGAAGTAGTTATAATCTAAAAATAAATAAATAAATAAAAAAGACTTAATGGTTACATGCGCATCCTCCTCTAGAATATATATTTTGCCAGCTTGTTAATAATAATAAAAGCCTAAATTAGGTTCGGAAAAATCTTAATATCCTTTATTGAGCTTGTACTACTGAATCATATCTTCATTTCCTCTGTAACTTCTAGAAATAAAAGTCATGATTGGCTGAGTCTAGAGACATATTCCTAGAACATAGTAGGCACAAATATCGGTAAGCCTCATTGTCAATAAAAGTTTTATTATCAACCACTAATTATGAGTTGTCGTCGCTATAGTTTCTTCCACTTTATATCATAATTCAAGTATATCGTCATTAATCATGTTTAATGAAAAATCACCCCTTCTTTTAGGATAGAAAAAAACATTTTATATCCATGGATTCAACTTTACCAGACAGCCTTATGACTTATGAGACACTATATAATTTTATCCCTTTAGTTCATGAGCCAATCCTATATTTCATACGACTTTACACTTCAATTTCAGATCCAATTAATACAATTGGTTAATAAATGTCATATGACATGTCACCGACATGTGTAAATATATATATTTATGTACATTTTTTCAATCAAATAATTCATAATAGAATTATTTAAAAAATAAAAACTACTGATTAGGTAATAAATTATTGATCACCCATCTAGACCAAATTAGTTCCTCAAAAAACTATTAGTGAAAATTTATTAAATATAAATTACTAAAGGAGCACATACGTGGACAAAATACCCCCATAGGGTAAAAATACAACTGGACATTCATTTTAGAATAATGTACAAACTGATTTTACACCCGAGTGAAAATAAATAATTCTCAGCATTCTTAAACGACCAAGTCCAATAAGAGAATTATACAAGGAATCAGAAGGAAATCAAGTACCTCATAACATTCGACATATAGTAGCAGCGCAACTACAGCCACAACCGGTGGTGCATCATCAAGGTAAGTGTAATATGATCCCAAAAGGAATAACGAGATTACCTGCCACATAAATAAATTACATAATTCTTCAGAGCTTGTGACTTGATAATTATTGTTGACAAATCCCCTAATTCATGTAATATCAAGGTTAAAGGTGAGGAAATTGAAGGTGGGATTGAATCTGAGGGGATAACCACAGTTTTGTTCAATGCGCCCACTGCACATCTCAAGAATTCAGGCTAGAAACAAACAATCAGAGATGTCCCAAGAGAATGAAGAAGACTTACAATACCAGAGACACCTCCAAGTAGTAAAGGTCTTCTCCCAAGTCTATCAACAAGCAGAACAGCTGTACCAGTCATAATCAGCTTTAAGAAAGAAAGAAAAATAAATAAATAATAATAATAATAAAAACTCTGGGAAATTAGAATAATGAAGAAGAAAAAGAAGAAAGAAAAAAGAGTTATTATGTTCCATGATTCCATCAATAAAAATTTGGGCTAACAGCTTGAGAGCAAGGGTAAAAAAGAGGAGGAGGAGGAGGTGGGTGGGGGGCAAGCTTCAATGGAAAACCTTGTGTACAAAATAAAAGAACTGAATCATATTTGTTTTCCATAAGTATATTTATGTATACTAAATCACATTAATGGAAAATTATTGATTCAAAGTGCCACCCATACAAGTGTGTGCAGGAAAAAGAAAATAGAAAAGAAGTAACATCATACAAGAATTCAAGTATTGAGCAAAAGCTTCATAAATTGACTTCAAGGCCAATGAGTTCTAGTTCAGTTCACATTGCAAGCTTGTCAATTGAGGGAAGTCAGATGTTAGACCTACTCAAGAAGATAGCCTATAGGTAAGCTGAAACAGTACCTCATAAAATAATCATTACTTAAAGAAAATTTAATGTCACTTGAAGATATCAACCTTCAATAAGCCAAGAAGAATAGAAACCCTTGTCGCATCAGATGCTGCAGAGAATCCTGCACTCTATCAAATTATAATGAGTTAGTACAGAAAACCATATTTAAGATAAGATTCATTTCAAAACTCCAGTGGTACTCAACCTAAATCAAAGGTGTACCTGAAAGATTGATGCAGCATAATATAGTACACTAGGTTGCCCTGTTATCTGCCATGAAAGATTGTGATGAGTTCAAATTGTTGAAACCTAATAACTAGTATAGGCCCTCAACTAACGAAATACCTGCTGAAACAAGACTAATCCTGCACCAATAATAAGAGCTTTCAAGCATTTCCCTCGAAATATTTCCCCTAGTGTAGCTTCTTCTTCTTCACCAATATAAGAAAGCTCAGCCAGCATTTCATCTACTAGCTCAGGAGCTGAATCACCAATAGCTTCACCCCTAAGCCAGCACAAGGAACATATGGCAGTCTCTCTCAAATCCTGCATACTGCCTTTTCCCTGTATAGCACGAAGAAGTAACCATCTAGGTGATGCAGGTAACCACCACATTCCAATTCCCATAATCACCGCTAAAGCGGAGCTAGCTCCATACATATAGTGCCAACCACAAACTGTATCAACCAAAAGGCTACCAACTGTATAACCAACCTGCAACAGACACCAGGTAGATTGCAGAAATACTCAAGATACAAATAATTATCTTTTATGTTGGGAAACTATCACAAAAGAGAAAAAAGAGAAAAAACCAAATAAATCTTGCTTTGTAGCCCGTACAGAACAACTTAGAACAAAATCAGATCTCCTCAGAATACTTACAACCATACCAAAAACTATAACGAACTCCTTGAGAGAAATTAATCGACCTCGTATCTGACTTGGGGCAGTCTCAGCAATGTAAATCAGAGCAGCATGCATTGACTGTATCAGCATAAGGCAGAAAGATAACATGACTTGCAATTGCAAAGGAAATGATGATAAAGAAAAAGAGGGGGGGAGGGGGGTGGGGGGGTGTGTGTGAATAAGCAACATATTCGGAAGGCAAAGCTTAAAAAGAATGTATTACAGTTCAACCGTCACTTCTTGAGCAACTTTAATCATTGAGATCCAGTTGATTTTCTTATTCTTTTATTTGGTCAGCAAGTCTGTCATACTGGTTGCTTCTTTTTAATTCTTCTGTTTTGGATAGACAAGTGGGGATAAGGGATGAAGGCAGTGCCCAAACTCCTTTGGATATGCAAACCCAAATGCACGATTTACCAACATAGCTAACCAGCTTTACCTAGCGGGGTGCATCGTTTTCTTACACTGGCCTGGTTCTTCAAAATGTGAAAAGCAAAAGACCAGTCTCAGTTACTACCAAGGTTAACGGGCCGGCTGCTTTGCGGTCCGACCCAAAAACTTAAGCTATTAGGTGGTGCTAACACCCCCCATTCATTCTCAATCACTTTCCCATCCAGATCCGATGTGGAACAAGACCCCTCTAACATTCTCCCCTACCCAAACTCGCAATGCCCTCATTGCAGTTGGACCACCCTGCCTACCCAACCTGAACCCGGACACCTTCCGGGTGGGCACACCCAAGCGGGCGCTTGACGTTACACCGGATCAAGGACTGAGTCGTGGCTTCAATACCAACTATAACAGACCTAGTGATTTGCGGTCTGACCCAAAAGCTTAAGCTATTAGGTGGAGCTAGCACCCAAAGCATATATACCCAATCACTTTCCCATCCAGATTCGATGTGGGACAAGCCTCTTATAACACAATGGTTGTAGCCTAGTGGTACTTCCTCGCCATCCAAAGTAGAAGGTCGAGGGGTTCAAATCCCCATAGGGGCAAAGTGAGTGAGTGTACGAGTTTCAAATAGGAAGGGGAAAAAAAACAGTTTAAGTTTGAAAAAAGCATATGAATCCTTCTAAGAGAATTTTTCAAGAAAAAACACGTATAATGAATATTAAATTTATGCAAGGACTTTATTGTACAGGACAGTGTTTGGTGCAATAATTTAAGCTCGGACTGACAAGCGTGAGCTCACAAGTTCGATTTTTTAAGCAGCCACCTTGTGCAGACTAACGCAAAAGGTTATAACCCATAGGTCCATCCCCAGTCTTATCCCAGCACCATGCATTGGTGGAAAATACACTGAATAATGCCCTTTCTTCACATGATTAATTGTGGTTATTTACGGGTGGGAATGTGCTGTGAATCTAATTGTTTGCATATTCATCCAAATCAAACACACATGGAAGTACCTGTACAGATGGACACAAGAATGAAATAATAAAATTCATAAGAACTGAATTATAATATAATAGCAGAAATGCTGCAATCTATCTTACCAGTCCGATTCCAATACCAAATACAAAACGCCCAATCAACATAACAAACAAGTCAGGTGCCACTGCTGTTATCAGAGCTCCAAAAAGATACAATAGAGCAGACACAAACAACTCCCTTCTTCTTCCTATAAGTCAAATTCATCAATCAGACTACACCAAAATAACTAGACATCAAGAACTCTAAATTATAATCCCACAATTCAGAAGAATAGCCAACCTAGGAAGTCGGCAATATTAAAAGCCAAAACAGAGCCAATCAAGGCACCATATAATGAGCCACTGGTCTGCAAAAGGCAGCAGCCACATAATTTTTTTTTTTTTTGTCAGTTTTTACTTCATGTTCCTAAATAGCGGCAAAGGTAGAACAAGTCCACTCCATGAAAATCTAGTGGTACCAAGCAACAAAGAGTTATAAACTCACTATGAGGCCAATGTCTACAGAAGAAAAGTTGTACCATGTAATCCCGCTTAACGTGGCAGACTGCAAAGAAGTGAAAAGGAATTAGAAATTAACTGTGCGTGTGTGTTTGGGGGGGGGGGGGGGGGGGGGGGGGGAGGGGGGGATTATTCATTAAAGTAAAAGGACCAAAGAAACATACTTGAATGGGAAATTAAAGATAAACTCATTTATTAGGGAAAAAAAAAAAAAAAAAAGATCAAAGTTCAAACTCCTCCGCCAGGCAAGATATAGTTGCTTCTTGTAGGCTTGTTAAGATTATTAAGTTTATTTTTTTAGTTAGAAGCATATATTGGGATCTTAACATAGGCCTATCTTTACAACTAAAACTACTTTAAAGCACCTCGGAACCTTGATCATTTTCCTCACCAATTTCCTATACAACAACTGAAGAGTCAAAAAGTTTAAAAAACGTATCTTGAAGAATGATTAAGTGGCTTCCTGCAAGCACTTAATTTCTTAGGTTGCATAACATAACTGAAGTAACACAAATATGGAAGGTTCCAATAAATCAAGAGGACTGTTAAATTAAAATGCTAAGGGAAATAAACCAATCCAGAAGTATCTATAAGCCCATAAATGTATTCCAGTCATGCACTTTACATATATAAAACTTAAGAAACTACATTAAATTAGAAACAAATAAAATGTATAAAATAAGGTATTAATAAACTATAGTCAGAAAAAATAATTTGTTGAGCTGTGTAAATTTATTTTAATAAATTCAAATACAACCATGTTGATGCAAGCACTGCTAAAATGAAATATGGGCAAAAACTGACCATCAATACATATATAGTTAACAAAACATCTAATTATCTTAAGAATGTTTTGCATGAGTATATGCTCCACGAATAGTAACCAGTAATTTCGTAAAATGTTTAAAATCAAATTGAATCAAGTACCATCTAAGTTTCTATATCTATTTTACAAAACCTTTTTTTCCATACAGAAAGACTTTTCATGTGGTTCATTGGATTTTCATAGAAACATTACATCTTCTAATATAGAGGTACCTCCGGAAAGTAAACTGTATTATTATGAGAAAAATCAGAATTTAATACCATGACAGTTTCTTAATGGTTTTCCTTATATTGACATATACACACATATACGGCCACTTAATTTTAAATAAACTCCTAAGTCCTAACCCATGCAAAGAATACCAATCTTTCTCCTATAACAATGTAATAGAACCAACATGACAGCTGTGATGAACAAAAATCATTCTATAGTTGAGGACGCAACAAAAACATACCTCTATAGAAATTGTAGCACAAGATGTGGCACCAATATCATAGCCATAAAGTAGTCCTCCAAGAGCTGGGAAAAGAAATCTGAAATGATTGAGCCATACATTACAGTTTGAATAAATGAACCAGATGGATTGCTTTTTTGCCCTAAGATCAAGCAAACCATAAGGGTTGCTACTAGAAATTCAAACCCAAAAGACTAAGCCTAAAAAGCTTGCAGTCCAAATAGGAACTTGATATTTTGCTTAATGTGCAAGTTGGTTTAAGACATAGACACTAGGTTTATAGTAACATCTGGAAAGCTTGAGTCATTAACATGTTCTTTACATGGTAATTACTGGAGAATTTATATAGACTGGACAACACCGAATTTATATAGGAGTTAAATTTGACATCTCAAACTTGATGGAACTGTTATATTATAACTTTATTGAATTTTTTTCTTACACAAGACATGTATATATGATTGTATTAAGGAACAAAAAGCAAAGAATATATGTATCACAGTAATAATTCGAGATAGGAAAGCATAAAGAAAGAAAAGGTGTTTACTAAATAAGGCTGGTTCTCCCAATCAATCTACGGGCTATTGCTTCACGGGCAACCAAGCAAATTCTTAGCTTGTTTCTTGCTTAAAATTCTTTTATGATGTCCACATAGATTCTTTTATGAAATCACAATCTCCTACTGCAAGAAATGGTTTTTATAACTTCTAGAGTTTTTCATATCCTTGATAATCTTAGAAAGAAGAAGAGACCCAGCTTGATCTCGTAGCAACTTGTCTGTCAGAAAAAAAAAAGGTTGGCTTTAGCAAGCTTCCCATACTGAAAACAACCAAAATGCCCAGTTGTCATCCAGAATGGGAATTAACTGGATCAAATAGGTGAAGGGTAAGAGGAGTTAAAAAAACATGCTAACGGGGAACTTTATACAAAGTTACACTTCCCCTTCTGTGTTGGAGCTCACAATTCCCTTTAAGCTTTTGAGCCTAGGTTTGAGTTTTCTTCTGCTGAGCTGTAGTCTCTTACTTCTAAAGGAGCTGAAGCAGTAGCAAAAAATTTGGGAGGTGAGGAGGAAAAGATATGCCACTGCTGCTCGAGCTCCTGTTATCGACAGCTAATAGTTCAAATGTTGGATTTTGTTGCACATACCAAACAAAAAAAAATGGTGCTTTTGCTCATACAAAATGAAATGGGTGATGCTTAAAACCAACCATTGTATTAACAGTGGTAAAAGGGAGTAACATAAGCGCAAAAAGAACAAAAACCTACTGGTCACCTTCTGTCTCAAATGGATCGCAGCACAGATCATAATATGGCTAGTATCTTTCCTAAACCAAAATCAATTAGCCAAGGTCAAAATCTAGTAGTTTAAAAGAAATCCTAAATCACTTTAAGAGTATAATTGGCTCAATTTGCTTTACCATTCATCATCATCATCCTTACCTTACTCCCATTCTTAATAACATATGAATAAGGCCGGCCACAAGAATTGTTTTTTTTTTCCATTCTTTTCTATTACAAGTCATCTCTCCTCTGATATTCAACTTTTAAAATCATCTCTAATAACTTCCATGTTAATTTCCATCGCCCTCTTTGTTCTTATCTTCCATGCAAATTAGTCTTCATTTTCTTGCTGGTGCATCTAAGTCTTTGTTGTACATACCCAAACCACCTAAGCTAATTTTCTCTCATCACTTATCAGCAGCAGTCCTGATCTCTCTCTCACGCTTTGAATAGTAACCTACCTCTTCTAGTCACTCTAGTATCATCTTAACATCAAAACTCAATTTTCTCGTTTAAAGTTTTCTCAATTTTCTTTTGTCTTTTTTAATATTTCCTTCTTCTCCTTTTGTATTTGTTATCTCTTTTAAAAATAAAAATAAAAATCTTCTTGCACTCATGTATGATGAATGTGCTGTAACTTTGTTTCCTCTTCTTCTTCTTTAATTTTATTACTGCAATTTTATAAAGTCTGTATTCTATATTTTTGAATTTTTCCTTACTGTAGTTTTTTTTTTGGCAAAAAATGACATAATATTTGAATCTTGATTATTACACTTCTATTTTCCCTCATCTTAATTGGGAAAAAAATTTACTGTGTTATGTTCATTATTCCTCCTCAAATAAATCCCTGGCTCCCTCCCTCGGCATAATTGCCTAGTATTAAATAATATACTTCAAAATAAATAAATAATAATAATAATAATAATAATCAATAAAAAACCATAAGACAACAATGAAGTTGAGCAATAAATGCATTAATTAACTTACGGGAGGATAGCAGATAGCACAGAATAGTTTTCCGAATGTGCTTCCTCATTGATAAGAGGCTCTTGAATACCGTTGATTCCACCTGATGACTTTCCCGCCTAATTTACAACAATAAAGTTACACATATATACATACAAAAACACACACACGCGCGCACACACATATATATAATATTATGTATACATACAAAAACAGAGAGATATTATGGAAACGTCAAATCAGAAACACTTATCCAACAACCTTTCCGATGGAGGAGAAGGTGTGCTGCTCGGGATCGGAGGAGTTTGAAAATGTGACAACAGAATTTTACTTGAAGGCCTTTTTATATTGCCGAATGAAGAGCTAGGGTTTTTTCTTTGTATTGATTCAGCCATGTGAAATGTGCATGTTATTTTCAAAAGGACGTGCCGTATGTACTTTGTTAGGTGAGTCGAATTAGTGCTGCAAATACTGGTTTCGCGAGAAGAGAATGGAGGTTAGAGAGAGAAAGGGAGGAGAGAATGAGAGAGAGAGAGAGAGAGGAAGAAGGGGGAGCGGGAGCGGGAGCGGGGGCGGGGGTTGGGAATTCTAGCTATACTGCTCCGGAATTCAAAATTGCAGACCAAAAGAAAGCCACGTTGAATAATTAGATGCAGCGAAGACTCAGAATGGGGAAGGCGATTTCGTGGACCCACGTGGAAGTTACAGCCTTATAATTTTACTGATTTAAAAATTACGCCAACCTCTTTCAAAATTAACTCTATCAATCATAGCCCTTTGGTGACGGTCAATAACACATACCATATTTATAAACTCAGGGTGTATATCTCTCCATCATTTGTTAATTCTAAAAGTGACCCTTAAGCTGTGTTCTGTTATATAAAATTGAAATTTTAAAATTAAAATTTGTAAAATTTAAGAAAATTAATTTACAAAATTAAACTAAAAATTTTTTCGATTCTAATTCTCATCCTTTCTTTTGAATTGAAAATTACTCCTATACTAGCTGTAGAAAGACAATCACACTCCTGTCTGTGTACATTAATTCCAATTCTCATCCTTTCCTTTTATTTTATTATTTTATTATTATTTTTATTGTTATAAGGGGATTAATAGATCAATCAGCTCAGTTGGGTTGGTTCAATAAGGGGAGGTAGGGAGGCCAGCAGGGGCCGTGGCCCTCCCAAAATTTTTATTAACTTTTATTAGTATAACCTAAAATGAAAAATAGTGTAAATAAATGCATACTTACTCCCCTTATAATATTTTCTAACTATAAATGGTTTCTAACTTTTTATAAAAAATACATGACTTTCTTATATTTTTTTTTTTCTGTTTTTACTTTGGCTCCCATAATATTTTGTAACTATAAATAGTTTCTAACTTTCTATTAAAAATACACTACTTTCTTATACTTTTTTTCTGTTTTTTTGTGTTTGTTATGGAAGTTTGATAAAATAAAAAAAACTTCTTTAAATAACTAATTGATTGATTAATTTCAAATTAATTGGTTATATGATTGTCAAGCTACCAATCGATAATATATGAATTTTATTGTCTCAAAGATAATTATTTGATCTCTTGTAGTAGTTATTAGGTCTTTTTGATTAGTTTTTGTATATATTTATGTCATTTTTTACTATATAGGCCATTTTTTTTTTTTACACAAATGGGCTGACGGTTGGTTTGATAAAAAATTATATGGCTATAATCGATAATATAGGCTTTGGTAGGCTAAGCCCACCAAAAAAAAATAATAATAAAAAAAATTACTAAAGGTAATTTTAGCCCAACCCTTAAAAATGTTTTAGTAATGCTAACTCACCCCATAATAGATTAGCTTACCTCATTATGCAATTCTTAATCAGCCCTTATATATATATATATAACTTAAAATAATTTTATATTAATTGTAAATTCGGCCCCCACCATAAAATCCTGGCCTGGGTGGTGGTAAACAGTGGATTATCAGTTTAATGGGTTGTGTATCTTCATTCATTTATTATTATTATTTTGTATAAGAAGTTCATAATCAATCAGTAAAATTAATATAATAATGGAGGTTTTTTTAGTCTTTAACATTAATTTCTACCGGAATCTGCCGCCGGCCACGTTGGAGGGAGGGAGAGAGAGAGAGAGAGAGAGAGAGAGAGAGAGAGAGAGTGAGAGAGGTAAGTAATATTTTCCTTACCGTGGAATAGTCCTAAAAAAATATGTTTCAATTAGTACATTTATTTTGGAACAGCTTAAAAATGCAAAGGAGAATATTTTTTGTAAATTTTTTTGGTGAATTTTTTTTTGGTGCCAAGTACTAATGAATTGAAAATGTCACATTAACCTAAGAGTAATGTTCTTATGCTACGTTTGGTGTGCAGGAATGAAGTGCCCATTCCAACCATTTGTTTGTTTGGTGTGCAGGAATGAAATGGAATGACCATTCCAATGGAATGAAAATCCATTCCATTACTAAACCTATAGAATGGCCATTCCATTCCATAATAAGATTAAATATTTTTGTAATATTTCCAATAAACCATTCATCACATTTGAATAAGGCAAAAATATTTTACATAGACCAAAAATCTTTCACATTCCATTTTTCACGTTTCTTGAGCTTCTTTATTAGACGTGGTAAAGGTCTTTCACCTTCTCTCTCTTCTGAATATACTCAGAGCTGCCATTGACAAAAAGTTACAAGACCTTCAACCACATTATATATATATGTGTGTGTGTGTGTTTGTATATATTTATATATTATTGAGATTGATATATCATTAAAAATATATATATTAAAAACATCTCACCGAAGAATCTCGCAATGACATTAAAAATGTTGTTCAAAGAGATGATAATGGTCTTCTTATCTTTGATGAAGCTATAGGACGTGGTATTCCTGATGGAGTTAACACATTAGTATACACCATAGCTGACCATTTCATAGGTATTCCAAGTAACATCACCTCCAGAATATACGACCAACTTACCAATCTCACTTGTCCAACCATGAGTGATTTTAGGTGGTATAAGGATGTATTCTTATCCAGAGTCATGCTTAGAGATGATAGTAATAAACCATTCTGGAAAGAAAATTTCATTAATGGTTTACCCAATCTCTTTGCCCATAAGATTAGAGATACTCTAAGTAAAGCCACAGGTAGTATTGATTATGATAATCTTACTTATGGCAATATCATCAGCTTAATCCAAAAGGAAGGATTAAGGATGTGTATAGACATGAAAACAAGTAACCAGTTACAAGATGATAGGAAAATAGCTAAATATGAAATGAGAACCTTTTGTGAACAATATGGTCTTCCACCCATAGCTCCTTCTAGACAAAATCCCAAACCTCAGAGGAAGAGTTACAAAGGTAATCGTAAACATTACAAAAACAGGAAATCAGTCTTTCCAAAAAATGAATATTATTCTCAAAAGTCTAAACCTAAAAAGAATTTTAGTAAAAAGACTTTTAAGAAAAAGAATACCCCTGGTAATACAGATGCTAGTAAAGTCAAATGTTATAAATGTGGTCGACTAAGTCACTTTGTAAAAGATTGCTATGCAAAGCAAAAGATCAGTCAGTTACAAATCTCCAATGAAGTTAAAGAATCTATTTATCACATACTCCAGTTAAGAGATACTGAAGATAGTAGTAGTGATCCTGAAGCCAGTTCTTCCTCACAGTCATCTAAAACTTCCCCCAGCTCTCCTAATATTACATTAGGATGTAAAGATAGTTGTTGTAATCCTAATAAGTCCCTTAATGTTCTCACCAAAAATGATGAACAAGAACATCTACTTATTGATTTAATCAGTAAAGTAGATGATCCTGAGTTAAAAACCTTGTATCTTAAAAAACTTAAGATATTATTAGGCAACTCAGAACCTGAACCCCCAACCGTTAGTAAACCCAATTTTAGTCTGTATAAAACTTTAGAAAGATTTAATAATAAGCCTAAAGAAGTTACTATTCAAGACCTTCAAGCAGAAATTAACATAATTAAAACTGAGATTAAAAATCTAAAATCAGAACACCAAGTTATGAAGAATAATATCCAAGAGTTAAACGTAAATCCTGCCTTTTCCCTCACAGGAAAAGAATCATCTGATAAAGAAGTCTCTGATCATTCAGAGGCATCTAAACATTCAGGATGTTCAGAATCTTCTAAAAAACTCCAAACTTTAAGTCACATTTCATTTAAAAAATGGTATGCTAAAGTTACTCTTATCAACAACAAAGATTTCAAACTAGAAGTCGTTGCTTTGATTGATACAGGAACTGATCTTAATTGCATTCAGGAAGGCCTCATACCAACTAAATACTATGAGAAAACCTCTGAAAGGCTAAACTCAGCTAATGGAAGTAAAATGGACATAAAATACAAGTTAACTAAAGCTCATATTTGCCAAAACAATATATGTTTTAAGACATCTTTTGTCTTGGTCAAAAATATGACTGATAAGCTAATTCTAGGAGTTCCATTCATCTATCTCCTCTATCCTTTTACTACTGATAATGAAGGACTAGTTACTCGACCTTTTGGACATGAAGTTCAGTTCAAGTTCCTTAGTCCTCCCTCCAGGAAAAAATTAAAATCCGTAATTGATTCTTCTGTGTCCAAATCCATAAACCTACTTCAAATTAAAACTCCTGCAAGGGAGTTAATTACATATAGTATATATAATTTCTTATATATATATATATATATATATATATATATTTATATATTTTTGAGATTGATATATCATTATATATATATATAATGATACATCAATCTCAATATATTTAGCCTTTACATCAGCTTCTTAGGTTAAGTATTCAACCCATTTTTTGATAAAATTGTACTGATAAAATATTAATTAGATTGATTTTATTAAAAATAATGAAAATGGTATTTTTGAGAAAAATCATTCCATTTCATATTTAACGGTAGTCAACCAAACAATAGAACGGTAATAATCATTCCATTCTATAATGATTCACCGTGTCAAACCAAACATTAGAATGATAATACTCATTCCATTCCATTCAATTCTCATTCTCATTTCATTCCAAGTTGCATTCCATTTCATTCATGCACACCAAACATAGCCTTAAGAGGTACTTCTTATGAGAAGAGCCAATAGCTCAGTTTTTTTTTAACTCATAATTTGACTTTTCATATATCTAAAAAAAAAAAAACTAGCTAACTATTTCATTTAATGCTTAAATAGAGAGATCTCATTACTAGAGGGGCTCTCAATAGCATTACTCTTCACACAATCATTCTGGTAATTTTATATAAAAAAAAAAAGGGTAATTTGCACTCACTCCTCCCTAGGTTTGCAATAAAGATAGATAAATATCACTTGGGGAGAGTGTGATCTAATTACCCCCTCAAGCTTGTAAACTTGAACAACACCACCCCCAACTATGATAAAAGTATATTATTGTCCTTTAGCCTTTGAATTGACTCATTTAAATCATTTAATTACAATATTAATCTTTTATAAGTCCTTTTAATTGACCAAAATGACCCTTAGCTAAAAAAATAAAATAAAATAAAAAAAGAAACAACTCCACCATCTATATATATATACACACACCCACGAAAATATACACATATATACATACAGACTTCAACATCACCCCCACCAACACACCGATGTTAACATCACTAAACCACCATACCAAAGCTTATGATTGAACCATGATTTCCCAGTGGAAGCTTGTGGACGATAGTGGTCCTAATTTGGGGGTGCTTACGAACAATTGTGGTGGTGGTAAAGTTTGGCTTTTATTATTATTATTATTTTCGCTGAGGGTCACTTTGGTCAATTAAAAGGACTTATAAATGTTAGACTTTTACCGTAGAAAATACCTTCTGTTCCATACAATATATTGATGAAAAATTAATAAATCACTAAAATAAAAAATACCTTATTTTTCATGTAATATATTCATGAAAATTTAAGAAATTTATAAAATCATTTTTAAATTTTCTACCTAATTTTTTTATTTAAACAATTAATTTAAAAAATTAAAGGTAAATTTTAAGCAGAAGAAAAAGAGAAGCAGAAGCTATCACTTTTATTTAGCTTATCTGTCACTGTTTGGAACTGTATTTTAGAAGAGCTTTTAAGGCCAGAAGATTTTTAATATGTTATCAAATTAGTATGATTTCTTTTCATAATTTATTTCAATAAGAAAAATAGATTAAGTGTAATTTAATAAGAAAGGGCATTGTGGTCATTTAATGAAGTATTGTCTAGGCATTGAGGCATTTTGCAACAAAATGTGATAATTCAGGATTATTGTGCACAAAATAAAGTTCAAAGGGGTTTTTTGCAAATTTAAACAGAATTCAAGGGATTTTTTTTGTACTTTATCCTAAATTTTAACATTGCAATTTAATAATTTAAATTGATCAATTTAAAAGTTAAAGGACAATTACGTACTTTTATCATGGTTGGGAATGGTGTTATTAGAGGCAATTAAATCACACTCTCTCTGTGTTGTATCATCCTACCTTTATTACAAACCTAAAGGGGTGTAAGTGCAAATTACTCTAAAAAGAAAAATCAATATAGTTTTTTTTTTTTTTTTTTTTCTTTCTAAATCAACATAATTGGTTAATTAATTATACAAGGATCCAAGATCTCATTGATAATTTACGTGTGACTTTCAATGTTAGTGAGAGTGGGCACCACCACTGAACATTTTAATAATTTTACTTATATATATATATATATATATATATATATATAATCTTGAGTAATTATACAAATGCCCCCAGTTTTATCTCGGGCGCCAAGAACTCCATCATGCACCGTCTCTCCCCCTCCACCCTTCATGAATAAGGGCAGCCAAGAACTCCATCACCCACTATCACAGTCATTAATTGCCTATATGCTATGCATCACTAGATCCCAAGTAGTAGTTGTGTAGGTAGAGAATGGTAAAAACTTTTCTCTAGATTCAAGACAGAAGAGAACGAGACAATATACAAAGTAACCTTCGGTAAAAATGAATTTCCATTCCTAATGCAAACGGACAATATCTGTCTATAGTACTTCTACTTCCTAGTGAATACAGCAGATATACCAGCTGAACTTGTGCTTATTACAACCTCGCCTAAAAGATTCAACGGACCAAGTATGGTCATCTCCCAGCAGATGTTGAAACAACATGAATCTCCAACACAGATGTTTGCTTGGAGGCAACATATCCTATAGACATTTGGCCTCGATTTCCTCCAGACTCAGCCCCTTTGTTTCTGGTACGATGAAAAATATGAATACGAGAGACAAAACTGCTATTCCTCCGAAGATGAAAAACAAAATTCCAGCTCCCAGCAATTCCTGCAATCAGAAGTTACGTTAAAAGGAATTCTTCTCAATAACCATGGTAAAATATCTGTAAGAAGAAAGAGTAAAAATGAAACAAATTGTTGACAAACATATGAAAGAAGTAAAATAAGAGACCTCACCTGGTTCAATATTATGTAATCTAATAATAAAGTGACTTAGAATAAAAAATAAAAAACAAAAAAAGACGTGAGAACACTGGGAGCACTTCAACTTTATTTTTGCCAAAAGTAAGAATTGAACCCCTCTCTCTCTCTCTCTCTCTCTCGTATATGTCAACCTGGCACTTAACCAACAACCACTGTACTACATCTTTGACATGGAGAACCATAAAATGATGTACAGATTTTTTTCCCCCTCTAGTCATGTATACATTTTTTTTTTTTTTTTTTTTCATAATTGGTGTTGTATTGAGCTCAAAAAATCAGCATGAATACAGGAGCACAGAGGGCATACCCTCAGAAGTCATGTATGCATTTGGCAGTCAGACAACAGATATGTATATGTATAAATATATAATAAATATTAAAACACAGTGCATGTATATGTGCGGATACGTGTTTATACATAGTCAAATATGTTCATATATAAAGTGCATAGAGATACACCTATATGCATTTAGGGATGTGATATTCGCACTTCACTTTAGTAGTCTTGGACTACACTTGTTTTTTTAGATAAAAGAAATAACGGTTACCTCTTAAAAGTGGAGAAAAAGAATATCCTTATAATTGTAAAGCTTGAGAGTGTCTTGCACTTGGAGGAACAATTATGTCTTTTCATTTTAAAAATAAAATAAAAATAGAAAAGAAAAAGAAAGTGGAGTGAAAAATCATTTCCTTATTCATGTGTACTTATACATATGCCTATGTACCAATAATACGTACATCAATATGAGATGCCTATATTCATGTTTATATAAAGCTCATATGAAGTTTTTATCTTGTATTTTCTAAAAATTATTCAATTATTTTAAACTTTCAACCAAACATCAAGAAATAAAAGAGAAACATTTTTCCGTGTAAAACATTTTCCATCGAAACAAGCAGCGCATATATGTCAAAGAAGCAGCAAAATGTCCAAGTAATTAATATTCTACAGATAACACGTAGGTAATACATGGCAATCATTTCAAAAAATCTAATGCTGAAAAATTAAAACAGCCAAAAAAATTAAGCACCTTCAGAGGAGAAAATGCAAACGTCACTAGTGCATTTGCTCCAAAATTTACAAGCACTGCTATACTTAATCCTCGCCCTCGTAGACGTAATGGGAAGATCTCCGAAATCATCAGCCACCCAATGGGACCAAATGATAGCTGCAAAACCATTCTTCATAAGTTACTACCATGTGGTAAAACATTACAACATATTTGACACACGATCTCTAAGCCAAATCGGCAGGGAAAACGGAAAGCAAAATATTCAATTTTAGCTAAAAGCAAATTGTTCATAAAAGAATTATAGATACTATTCAATTTGGCACACATGCCACCATGTACAAGTTCATTTTTCATTTTTTTCCCATCACACATGAAAAATTAGCCAATGATCTATTCTTCCCATTTTAGAGAGATTCTCCTCTTCTTCTTTTTTCATTTTATCGGTCAAAATGACATATGCACTTGAGGTTGTAACTCTACCTATGTCTAGAGAATATAAGCGAGTTAAATGAGTTAAGTTTATAAAGTTCATAATTATGATGCCTCCTTTTGATCTTATTCACTGTGAGGGGACCCTCTTGTGTATCCACTTTGGGTGGTGCTAGTTATTATATCATCATATTGGTGGATGACTTTTCCTGCTTCACTTGGATTTACTTATTGCACTCGTGATCAGACTTCCTTCAGGTCTACAGGGATTTCTATACCATAATCAGGACACGGGGATTTCTAAACCATAATCAGGACACAGTTCTCCAAAAAAATCCCAATTTTCGTTCTAATTCTGGTGGAGAATATCAATCTCAACCCTTCAAAGAGTTGCATGTTTCTCAAGGCACAATTCCTCAGTTCTCCTGTACTGACACACCTCAGCAAAATGATGGCGTCGCTGACAAAAAAAGATTTTAGAAGTGAAGATTTTTTTACTAATAATAACTATATTTACAAATTGCAGGGAGACCTTGCCTTTTGTAGCCTAATTTGGCTATATTTGCTATCTTGCACAGAAGAAGGCTTGTTTTATCTTACATTGTAGCTACATGCTGAACTGATGCAATGAAAGGGAACTAAAAAATTGTGGTGTCCTGTCCTTTATTCTATTTTTATCAGTTACAAAATCAACCCTCTAATGATTAGTTATTACAGGAGTCTCAAAATTTATAAAATATAAATAACTTTGTCATTTTAAGAATATTTGGTTCCTAAAATATATTCTATTCTGTTAAAAGATAGTCACACACAAATACTGGTAAGCCTCATTGTCAACAAAATTTTTATTACCTACCTCTAGTTATGAGTCATCGTCACTATAGTTTCTTCATATCCATAAACTCAACTTTACTAGACAGGCCTCTGAGCCACTAATATAATTTTATCCCAATAGTTCATGGGCCAATCTTATATTTCATACGACTTTAAACTTCAATTTCAGATCCAATTAATGCAAGTGGTTAATAAATGTCAAGTGACACCTGTGACCGACAAGTGTACATACATATTTTTAATCAAATAATTCATAACAGGAATTGTATATAAAAAAACTAAAAACCTATTGATATTAAGTAATAAATTATTGATTACCCACCTAGAGGAAATTAGTTACTCAAAAAACTATTAGTTATCAGACATAATTAATTTATCGAATATAAATTACTAAAGGAGCACATGGCCGCCTGCCCCCCCCCCCCCCCCCCCCCCCCCCCCCACCCAACACAACCCAAAAGGTAGGGTGAAAACCACAACTGGACATTCATTTTAGAATAATGTACAAAGCTGATTTTAAATCCAATTTGAAATAAATAATTCTCAGCATTCTTAAACAGCCAAAGTCCAAGAAGGTAATTATAAGGTAGTCGAGTACCTGATAACATCCGACATAAAGTAGCAGCGCAACTACAGCCACAACTGGTACATCATCAAGGTAAGTGTAATATGATCCCAAAAGGAATAACGAGACTACCTGCCACATGAATAAATTATATAATTCTTAGGAACTTGTGACTTGATGATTATTGTTGACAAATCCCCTAATTAATGCAATGTTCAAGGTTAAAGGTGTGGAAATTGAAGGTGGGAATTAGTATGAGGGGATAACCACAGTTTTAATCAACATATAAAATTTGCCACTGCACATCTCAAGAATTCAGGCTTGAAACAAACAATCAGAGGTCCTAAGAGAATATAAAAGACTTACCATACCAGAGACACCTCCAAGTAGTAAAGGTCTTCTCCCAAGTCTATCAACAACCAGAACAGCTGTTCCAGTCATAATCAACTAAAAAAACACACTTAAGAAATTAGAATAACGAAGAAGAAGAAGAAAGAAAGAAGAGTTATTATGTTCCAAGATTCCATCAATAAATATTGGGCTAACAACTTGAGAGCAAGGGAGAAAAAGAGAAATATGGAGGGGAGAAGCTTAGATGGAAAACCTTGTGTACAAAATAACAGCACTGAATCATATTCGTTTTCCACATGATTCAAAGAAAAGTAAGGATACTTGTGCATACTAAATCACATGAACGGAAAATTATTAAATTCAGAGTGCCATCCATACAAATGAGTACAAGAAAGAGAAAATAGAAAGAAAAAAAAGTAACATCATACAAGTGATCAATTACACAGAAATTTCTTATTACAACATGAAACAGGTTCAGCTTGAAAATGAAAGGACAATTATGGAAAAAATAAAATAAATAAAAATAGCACCATAGACATTATTAATTGCTATAGAATTTAAGATGCTACATAACATCACTTCACATGCCACCCTAAGTCCATAGTTCTTTAGCACCAACCGCATGCACAATCTTGCAGAGTAACTAGCAAACAGTACTAATTAATTAAATAAAATATCAAAATGACATAATATACAGGCCACAGGAATATAATGCCAAAATAACCCAAAGAAGAAGCAGAATTCATTTTACCCAGGAAAAAAAAAAAAAAAAACCAAAAGAAGAAGAAAATATAAAGATCATAATTGACCTTGCACTAATTTGAAACTCTTGATAATGCAGTCACAGAAGTGTTGGAAAGAAAAATTGATGATAATATTAAAAGAAGTAATCTTTAAAGAATTCATTGACACAAACTGAGAAAGGAATTTCCTTCATTGATAATGAATAATACACAAAATGTTAGCTATATATATCAACCCCTAGCAGCAGAAAAAGGAAAACTAACTAGGTTATATCAGATCCCATGATTTATGGGATATTCTAACAGAATAGAAAACTAACTAAATCAGCCTAATTCTAGGAATACAGCTGTTACAGAATCAGCCTAATTCTAGGAATACAGGTTGTTACAGAATTTCCTAAATAGCTAACTATACACGTATAGAATACAAGTCATTAAACACGTTTTCCCACACTCCCCCTCAAGCTGGCGAATAGGTATTTTCCATTCCCAGCTTGGATACAATACTCTGAAAAACTGAACTACTTAACCCCTTAGTAAGTACATCAGCAAGTTGGTCATGTGTAGACACATAAGGTGTACAAATCAATCTGCTCTCCAACTTTTCTTTGATGAAGTGTCTATCAATTTCAATGTGCTTTGTTCGGTCATGCTGTACCGAATTATGAGCTATGCTGATTGCGGACTTATTATCACAATAGAGTCTCATCGGACCATCCCACTTAATCTTCATGTCTTCTAAGATAATCTTCAACCAAAGTAGTTCACATACACCCTGAGCCATTGCTCGAAATTCTGCCTCCGCACTAGACTGAGCCACCACATTTTGTTTCTTACTCCTCCACGTCACAAGATTTCCGCCAAGAAAGGTGCAATATCCAGAGGTCGACCTCCTGTCAACAATCGACCCAGCATAATCGGCATCCATGTTTGCCTCAAGAACTAAGCCTCCGTTCCTTTTAAACAGATACCTTTTCCTGGTGTCCCTTTGAGGTATTGTAACACTCGGTGAGCTGCCTGCAGATGGACTTCCTTCGGGCTATGCATAAATTGACTAATCACACTCACTGCATAAGCTATATCCGGTCGTGTGTTAGACAGATAAATGAGTCTTCCTACCAGGCGTTGGTACATTTCTCTATCTACTGCAACATCCTCCTCTGCCTTTCCAAGTCTAAGGCTCAGTTTGGTAGAGTAGAAATGGGAGGAAAGGGAAGGGAAGGTGATGGAGGGTGACTAAAAAACTGTGTTTGGGTAAAATGGGTGGAAGGGAAGGGAAGGAAAGGGAAGGGTTTGGAGGGTTATGCATAGCCTTCCACAGTGATTTGTTTAACCTCCCAAAAATGGGAGGAAATGGAAGGAAAGGGAAGGTAATGGTTGATGATGCCAGTTTTACCCTCAAATCAATATACATACAAGATAGCAGTTGCAGAAAGAATGGAGAGACGGCGGGCAACGGCGAACCCGAACTGGAACAGCGGCGATGGCGAACCCGAACTGGAACAGCGACGATGGAAACTTGAAAGATATGGGTTTTGATTTTCTGAACAATCTGATATACTGATACGGGTTTTGAATTTTTGATTCTTGCAGACAGAAAGATAAACTGAAATATATGGGTTTGGGTTTTGAACTTCTGAATCTTGTAGAGAGAGAGAGAGAGAGTTGAGAACGATAATAGAGATGGAGGCCGAGATTGGGAAGGCTGAAATGATTTGCCCTGGATCGGAACC